CAGATCAGAAATTCTGCTGGTCAAGCCATGAACACACGGACTTGATATTTTCTATTTAGACATTTGCTATCTTATCGGGCTATATTAAAATTGTAGATTAGAAAAGAACAAAAAAAATAGTGTGAGGATCAGGTGAAGTGCAAAATACTAAGAAAGAACTTGATTTTTTCATACTTCAGTGCTTCAGTCATCACGCAGTATAAGCGCAAGTACCGGTGGGTAATCCCCCATCTTTGTCTGGCCAATGAAACCACGTGAATTTAACATTCTTCTTTAATGTAAAGGGTTGTCCAATAGGGACACAGGAAAGTAAACGTCAATTTGACATAGACGCCATCTTTGTTTTCTGTCACCGACATGTCATTTTGTTAGTTGAATGTGTACCATTGATCGCTATGGAGTCGTATTCGATTGAAGACCGCATTAAAGTTATTCAAGAGCACTACAAAAATGGTGCAAAAATAAAAAACACGTTTCGCGCGCTTCGTGAACATTTCGGTCGCAACAAACGCCCAAACGAAACAACCATCGTCTGGTGCGTAAATTCGAGGCGACAGGTTCTGTGGCAAATCTGCCAGGCTCTAGCCGGCCAAGGAGCGTTCGCACACCGGAAAATATTGCTGTTGTGAAGGAGAGTGTTAGAGACGATCCGAAACAATCAACAACGCGTTGATTCCAAGAATTGGACATTTCGAGAACCAGTTTGATCCGCATTCTCCACAAGGATTTGAATGTACACGCCTACAAGATCCAATTGACGCAAGAGCTGCGTCGGGCCGACCAGTTTTCGCGCCGAACGTTCTCAGATTGGCTCCTTGAACACCGCCAAATTGATGCCAATTTTTCATCAAAAATCATGTTCAGCGATGAAGCGCGTTTCACTTTGAATGGGACGGTAAACAAGCAAAACTGCCGCATCTGGGCGAACGAAAATCCCCGTGAGTATCAAGAGCAGCCGATGCATCCTCAAAAAGTGACTGTGTGGTGTGCATTGTGGTCAAAAGGCATCATCGGACCTTACTTTTTCGAAAATGCGGCCGGGGACGCCGTTACCGTCAATTCTGAGCGATATCACGTGATGATAGAGGACTATTTTTTGCCGCAACTTGAAGGAGGAATGGATATGGACGATGTTTATTTCCAACAAGACGGTGCAACATGCCACACAACCAACGTCAATATCCATCGATTGCAGTCCTTCTTCGGTGATCGCGTGATTTCGCGCAGAGGAAATGTGCCATGGCCACCAAGATCGTGCGATTTGACTCCCTTGGACTTCTTTATATGGGGATATTTGAAAAGCGAAGTCTACGTCAACAAACCAGCCACCCTCCAAGAACTCAAAAACAACATCATTGCCGAGATAAATGCCATAGAACCGACCATGTTGCAAAATGTCATTGAAAATTTCGACCATCGCGTGGACGTCTGTAAATCCAGTCGTGGTGAACATTTGAGCGATATTATTTTTCATACATAAATGGTATAAATGAACCTTCAAAATAAAGTACCCAACTTGATTTGAATATCAATCTTTCTTGTTTTAATATGCGTTTACTTTCCTGCGTCCGTTTTGGACAACCCCATATACGTTAATACTAAATTATATTAAACGTATGATATTTATCTCATTTTCGAAATTTTTCGCAATCACAATACTTCCTCGCCAGTGGCGTAGGAAGTAAAAATCCGTCCAAGTAGTACAACAGTTCTTTTTTTTCGTCGTACCATTGCAAAAGTAAACCAAAAACTCAAACCCTAATTCTAATAGGATGCAGGTGCAGATATTCAAGAAACAAATTCAGTCTCATTTCAAGTCAGTGGTTCTGCAATGGAAGTAAGTGACACGGGTTTTCGTATATGTAAAATCCAAAACACATTCTCATTTTCAGATCGGAATATTTCCCGTCAGTAGACGTGGATAGTTAAATGTATTTTTTAACTCTGTAAAATAAGTGATGTCTGTTTTTAATTTCTGTGAGTTCCCTTTTCAATTTCGTCTTTATTGCTTTTTTGGGCATTAGGCAGGACGAAGTATGCTACTTCATGCTCTGACGCTTGGTTTCTGGGTCGTACTCAAATACCCAAGACTCGTCAGCTCGTCACCAGTAATGACACGTTGCCGAAAATGGGGACCATTTTCAATCGAATCCAAAATATTAAGGCACCTTTCCTTCCTGATGTCTTTTTCGTCTTACGAAACCATTTCTGCGCATATTTTTATCATCCCCAATTCACTGGTCAACATCTGATGAACGGTGGTTCCCCGATCATTTTGTGTCGATATTTTCATCGGTTCTAGAAGATGAAGTCCTTCCGCTTCGAGGTTCATCTTAGCACACCGTTGCTCGAAATTGATGTCACTCATTTTTAGAACACAATAAAAAAACGGTTTAAAAAAATCGCAACTGATAACCAAATGACTGGAGCGAGGTCAAACTTGAACTAAAGGCGTATCACATGTTCCCCTGTCTCCCCTCCAAGCCCTGCGCTACGAGTGTTGCCAGATCGAATGCTACGTTGGCAGTCTCATTACTTAATTTACAGACCTCGTATATCAAAATAGATCAATTTAAATACTCTCATTTCCTGTCGAAGGAATCAACTAATAGAAGTTGATTTCGATTCCAGACACGGATAGAACGTGACGATAGTGTTGTATCAACCTGAACGTCAGAGAGTAGAGGCTAGAACTAATCACAGCTTTTGCACGATATTTTACGTTTAAGTGTTGGAGAATAAGTTTTGTCGCTTCTCGTTCATCAAAAAAGGGGAAATCACAGAATATACTTTGGAAAATAAGAAAAAAAAATATTTATATTTTGTCGAAATAAGCATTTTCGGAAATACCCAATTCTCCCATCTTGATTCTAAAATAAATTAATTATGCTTCTTATTCCACATTCGCATATGATTAAACTACCGACAGCGGTATATGATTAAACTACGGACAGCGGTATATGATTTTAGACGTATCTATCAGTTGTTTGAACATTTGACGCATTTATGTCTCGTAAAGTAACGCGCACTTTCTATCACGTTCTGAACAGCATACAAAAGATAAGTAACCTAGAAAAATTTCGGACAGCCATGGAATGAATATTGGAAACATGAAATTGGAGAAAGTAGACCAAATTCAATTGAAATTCAAACGCTAATAGATGGGAGTTAGAATGTCAAGGTTAGAATAAAAATAATTTGGCATTGGCTTTGTTATGGAAAAGTTCATTATCACTATCAACAATCCACTTCCTTGGACGAAATTACAGCTGGAAGCATTAAAACATTGAACATGGAATAAAAATGTAAAAATGGCCATACATGTGGATAGTTTAACAATGAGCTTAAAACAGAAAAAAATACATGGCTTAAGTTGAAAAACGCTTTTTAGCGACACTTCTTTTTATACTTTGTATAAATAAAGCTGGATTATTATTGTTTATTTTTTTTGTTATCCTATAGAAAATACTGAATTTTATAATAGTAACTAAAAAGAATGTATATTTTTTATTGTTGTTTCATACTGTTTTTGAATATGAAAAGAAAACATGACTTCATGGTAAAGATTAGTAAATATTTTTGAAACAATTTTGTATTGTTATAACATAACAAAATGTTTATTATTAAGCTGACAAGCATTAAGAAAATATGTTACTCAATATTTTGTCCAGACAATTTAAAACCCCTATCTTCTGAGCAGTAGGTGATGTAAAGGCACCTAAGGCCTGCAGCAAAAGAGGCAATAAGACAGAGCAAAAAGAGATGGGGCAGAGTACTATTCAGATTATTTTTGGATATTTTGTTTGATAATTGGACATTTAGGGGCTCCCCCAGGGTAAGGTTGCAATAGCATATTATATTTGATCACCAACTGTGTGAGTATGGAATCTGAAAACCCTTGGAAAATCATAAAACATTAACATTTGCAGTGTTTGTCACGCATTACTGTTATTAATAAGGATTATATATATAGGAATGATTCTGCTGAAATTACATTTTTTAATTATCAGCTATCATATATATGTTTTCTGTATTCACTGTAACAATAGCTCAATTTTTTTTGAATACTTGTGACAAAGGGTAACAGCTTCCTGGGTCTTTAACACCTAAGAAGGTTAACACATCAAGGTACTAGTGGCAACATTTATAATTCTTGTGAAATCACTACCATCATACTCCATTTGGTGTTCAAGTGCTTTGTTCTTATGGTGTCAGAGGACAGTATCTCAATTGTATTCTTTGAATCAAGGATTAGGGTTGAATCACAATTTTTAGACATAAAATTGTAAATAGTGTCTTTTAACACTGAGACCTCAAAATAAATAAAAAATCAAATACACTCCTCTTCCTTTAGCAATCAAGAGATTATTCTATCAACACCAAGCTACTGTATATGCACAATGACATTTAAAACTATTTTGAAATAATAATATGCCCTATAGGTAGAGATCCCTCTTATAATAAAAGCATAATAATAATGTTTCTTGGTGTTAAATGTCAGCCAAGGGGAGGCAGTTTTCAGCCTTTGTAGTAATATAGTATTGATAGTGCTTTGTCAGAATGTGATAATGGTAAACCTTCCACAAGATCTGCCCTTTACCCTTTTTACAGCTTATATTAAATTGGTTGAAAATTATGTTTCATCATTTCATACCTTATAATAATAATTTGTAATAAAATTTATCCAAACTCATAAATATAATCTAATAATATCTACTTCTTCATGCATTGCAAGCAAAAACAGTCACTATGTTCTGCATTCTAGTTAATTCTTGTGTTATCTTCTGAATGAAGTAAGAACAACAATATACAAAGGCAAGTAAACTCTGTTCTTGCTGCTCCATACTTCCTTACCTCCCAGAACAAAGAACCATTTTTTTTTATTTATGTGTAATGGACTAAAGCAAAAATGGATTTATATCTTTCAAAGATGGTGATGAAAACATTGTGAAACAGAAGTTGAGACTGAAAAGCAGTGGGTACATAAATAAAATGTATACCTCTTTAACTTTGTCTCTCTTTTCTCTAACTGCTGGATCTGGATCTTCACCCCCTTTAACAATTGGGTAATGATCACTTATTGCAGGCGGCACAGTGACAATTTTTTCTGCAACAGTCCCCTCTGCTATAACACTTTCATCCACTTGATTCAGGTCATTGGTCTTTGAAGTGGATGAGCTCTTCTGCATTCCCCAGTCGGGCCTTTCGAGCACTTTGAGCTCCCCATCTTGCTCTATTTTGGCTCTGAGAGCTTCACGGTCGCCTATAAGATGTGGGTCTTCCTTAACGAAGGTCTCGTGTCTGAACACTCTCGGGGCTTCTCTGGTGTCTTCAAGGTGAGGTGGAGGCGGGATAAGCAGCTCAGGACCGGCTCTTTTTATCTGATCGTATACTTTATACACGCTCTCGGCCGTTCCTCCGGTTTTGAATTCGGGCAGGAAAAAGAAAGTACCAAAACATATCAGGCCGAACGTAAGAAAAACCAAAAAAATCACGTATCGTTCACGGGCGCGAAAAGAACGTCTTGATGAGGGGACAGGAACACCGTTCACGAATCTTTGGTGAGTAGGTAAGATGCCCGTAGCACTCATTTTTAAAACGAATTTTGAGTCTGTTCGTAAAGGAAACAAATCAAAAAGATCAACACTCACTACCACAGGCACCTCACCGAATGACTGAACGGGCACGGAACAAACAAGGCAGATGAGCATATACCAGACACGAAACATGAATATCATAAAAGAGAAAATACGAGATTGCAAACTTTGCCGACAATGGATATTATCATTATGCAAGTACACTTACACGCCATTTTAGATTTAGCGATCATGATTGCCTGGCCATAAAACCACATGTATTGACAGAATCTTTAATACAAAAGTTTCAATCACAAATGTGATCTGACAATATGTTATTATACTGAAGGCCACAGCCACGCAAGACAACTATTGAAATATACTCTCCTAGAATCTAGAAGACTATCCGTATCGAAATTTTTCTCGAAATCGTTGCACACCACTTGAAAAATGCAAATGAAGATTTGGAAACTGCCGCTTTGATGTACTACATGACTCCGTCGTTACCCCGGGATAGACATACGATCTTGTCATTCTTGTCACCTAGATTGCGGCGTTGCCAGCTCATCAGACAATTTTGCTATCTCTGCCATTTTGCTAGAATGTTTTCTTTAATAAATTGTGCACATTGCAGTCACTGAGGATTAGTCATATACTGAGGTATTTCTCAATCGCCAGATCAATATTAGTCAAAGATCATTTCCAAACCGACTCATTTTCACTACATAAGCTGACTAGCACTAGTAGTACTGCTTAAAAACAATATTACAAAATTTATTGACAATACAATCAGAAAAATTACTTAGCGTCGTTTTCTGGTGTCCTAATAGGAGACCACAATTACTTGTTATCATAGGATTTATAATTTTTGGTGACAACAGCTGTCAAGTTTTGCCACAGGTAAACTTAAAAAAAATGCTGAGGTACTGTCATACAATTTTTCCATCTAGGAATCATTTGTAATTCAAAATTGCGCGCGTTTGTGATTGTTAGAAATTAAGACGAGGGAAATAATGTTCATACTTTAGTTTTTGATACCATTTGCATTTATATATAAAATTTCTCTGACTGGAACAGTTAATAAATATATTTATATAATAAAATATTGTTTTTTCCAATTGTTGGAAGAATTCCTGTATTCAAAAAGTATTTTATCCTATTAAACTGGGCAGTTATGGAAGTTGAGTTTTTTGGCAAACATTGCTACGCCTCAAATTTTATATTTATTTTATATTTCTTTTTATTATAACATTCTATCAAAATAGCAGAGGTAACTAAATTGTTCCATGAGCTGGCAACGCTATAATCTAGGTAACACGATTGATAAGGTCAATTGCCAAAACGTATGTCTATCCCGAGGTAACCACGGAGTCATTTAGTATTTCAAAGCGGCAGTTTTCCAATCTTCATTTGCATTTTTAAGCGGTGTGCAACGTGCAACTATTTCGAGAAAAAAATCGCTAATAATAGTTGTCTTACGTGGCCATGTTATCTTTTCTCGGGCCCACCTTTTTTATGGGAACGTTCACGTTAAGGATTTTATCAATACATGTGGTTTATTCGCTGACATGCAGACAAGCATGGGAGATTATCGACACGTAAACCACAGGATAAGTTTCAGATGCTACATTGACTGTAGTCTGTGGCTGCCATGTCTCCAACATTAGTCTTCTTAGCAAATGTCCTGGTGGTTGAAAGACAAAATAAATAATTCATTGCTAAACTGATAAGCTTTAGGAACAAAGATGGTAGACAGTAATAAAGAGAGTTGTATGTCTATTCCTTATGTCTATCTCAAAAATGACATGCTTTACGTAGAAATGACAACTAATGTCAAGTGGCAATTATTGACGTTTGCAAAAGTTTGGTTTTATTTGGATGGTGTATGTATTTACATTTTATTACGTTTCTTTCATCTTAAATTTTAATCTGAAAGACTGCGTGCTTTTATAAAATACTTTCAGTAAATTGAGCAACTTGCAGCCGTGATTTCATAAACTCGGCACCATGGCGGATGCTGCGGCTCGACAGCTCCAGTATGAGTATAAAGCGGTAAGTACAACTTAGTTCTTTACATAATTGCTACATTTTGAGAAAAATATTGTTTGAGACCCATTTTCCTTGTAGAACTCTAATCTCGTACTGCAAGCTGATGTCAGACTTATTGAGAGGAGAAGCCGAGATGAAGCTACTGGAGAGGTTATGTCTCTTGTGGGAAAGCTCATTGGTACTAAAATGGGAGACAGAGCTCAAAGAACTCGACCAGGGAAGGCCGAAGAACGCAAAGTGAAGTATGTTATGATTTATTTTATAGCATTATAATAACCCAATATACAGAAATTTGAATTTCACTTTGAAGTATCAACTTTCTATCTACAATTGTAGGCGCCAGAAACGTGATGAAGCCCAGTATGACTTTGCGAGAATGCGTGGGGCGACTCTTCTATCAGAAGGTGTGGATGAGATGGTGGGAATCATCTACAAACCAAAAACTCAAGAGACCAGACAGACATATGAAGTATTGTTAAGTTTTCTGCAGGAAGCACTTGGTGACCAACCTAGAGATATACTTTGTGGTGCAGCAGATGAGGTACTGCAGGTATTGAAGAATGACAGATTAAAAGAAAGAGAGAAAAAGAAGGAGACTGAAGCACTACTAGGTAATTAATTGATGTCCGGTTGAAATGAAACATTACCTTGAACTGTATTCAGATTTTATTTATGGGGTAAATTAGATTTGAATATGGTATAGGTCCTTAGTAATAGTAGCTTTTTAGTTGATTAGCTTCCTGGCTAATGAAACAATGCTATTCAACCATCTCATGCGTATACAGAACCATATTTATTGTTTCTTTAAAATTACAATATTATCACAACTCCTTTAGATTAAAGCTTGTATTGCTTCTAAGAAAGGGAATCTTATTTTACCAGGCACCATAGCAGATGAAAGGTTTGCATTGCTTGTAAACCTAGGCAAGAAAATAACAGATTTTGGTAATGAAGAAAACAAGCAGACTACAGGTGAGGAGAATATTGATGAACAATATGGCATAAATGTGCAGTTTGAAGAATCTGAGGAAGAAGATGATGAAGACATGTATGGGGAAGTTAGAGAAGAAATGGATGAAGAAGAAGGAGAAGAGGCAAAGGAAGATGGTGCGATACATGCAGAAAACGTAAGCTTTCTCTGTTAATTTATTTTGACATAATTAAATTTTACATTATTTTCCACAATACTTCAAACTGCAACACATGAAAACCTAACAAATAACAGGTGATTAGTGAAATTTGAAACATATATTTAGTAGCAGTACTCACTGCTTCATGATTCATAGAGATAGAATGATGAATTATTGTTATAGCTACTAGCTATTAATGATCATGCTTACATTTCAAGTTGGCTAAGTGCTGATTGAACAAATGGACATCAGAATATCCTAAAATACCATAAAAAATAGTATATTTATCATCATCCTTGCATTATCAATACACATATTGCCTCATTGATCATCTCTATTCTCGTTTTTCTTCTATTTTCTACAGCTTGGAGGTGTAGAAGAACTGAAGAAGGAAAAACCTCTTCATCCCTTAGACATAGATGCCTACTGGTTGCAAAGAAGGTTATCCAAAGTCTATGATGATGCTATGGTCTCACAAGCAAAAGCAAATGAAGTTTTAGAGGTACTCAAAAATGCAAGTGATGATAGAGAATGTGAGAACCAGTTGGTACTCTTGTTAGGATATGACTGTTTTGATTTCATAAAACAGTTGAAGAAACATAGAAAAATGAGTGAGTATAAGTAGAGTATTTGAACACCTGCTTGTTTCAGGGTTTTAAACAACTTTTTCGTTTTAGTTCTCTATTGCACTTTGCTGGCTAAATCGCAATCAGACTCCGAACGCCAGAAGGTCAAGGACAAGATGTCTGAGGATTCATCTCTAAACCGCATCCTGAAGCTTCTCGAAACTGGAAAAGGTGATGATGACGACAATGAAGACGACAATGCTGCCAGACACAGAAGAAGAAGAAATGAAGATGATGATATGGACACTAGCAGTGCTCAAGTGGCAGGGTCAAGACACCTCATCGATTTTGAGGACTTGGTGTTCTCACAGGGGTCACACTTCATGGCCAACAAGAGGTGTCAGTTGCCAGATGGGTCATTCAGGAAGCAGAGGAAAGGTAAAGGCCAAACAAAAAAAAAACAAAGAACGATTGAGTCAAGTAAATTGACTCCATCATACTCCCCAGACACTCATGTAAATCTTGAATTGACTATGCCTTAAAGTGACCAGATTGTTGAAAAACGTAAATCGGATCCAAGAAAAACCACACCCGAAAAGAAGTCGATACCCAAAGAACATCTAAAGTTTGGGAACATTTTGGAATGTTTATTTTTTGCTCATAACTCCGCTACCGTTGGACTGATTTTTGAAATCTTCAGTTTTTTGTCATTGGTATGATAGTAATTTTGTATGAAAGTACTATTTGGGTTTTGTCCAAATAGTACTTTATAAGTTATAGGGTCTATGAGGAAACAATAGTTACGTTTGTTTTGCCAGTGAAGTGAGATAGATAGATATCAAATCAATGGATGTCTGGCTTACTTCAGTGTTCCAAGAGAAAAGCTCAGTTAACATTCATCTGATCATAGACTGAAAAATGTCATTTCATGCAGTTTGCTGACATGGATCATTACAGAAATATAATTGTAAGCAAAGTAAAAATGTCACAATTGAATTTGGAGGATTTTTTATAAAATAAACTTTACTTAAAAGCTGCAAGTGATGTCAATAATCTCACTCAGCTGGGTTGGTTGGAAGATTTAACCTCATCTAAACTGAGTTTTGATAGAAATAAGGTGCAATAAATTGAGCAACCTGAAGTGAGGCGGAAGTATCTGATATATTGTGTGTAAAACTCACGCGACTAATATCCCTGTTTTTAAATTGTTGGTGGGTTATTATTATCAAGAGAACTTAAAATGACTTGCTGTTTTATTTTTCATCATTTGTATTATTTCTGCTACTTTCTCGCTGTATAAGAAAACCAGTGGTTCATTGACAGGGTTGCCATGTTGGGAGATTTTTCCCAAAATTTGACGAATTTTTTAGGGGGAAATTACACGTTTCACGAATTGAAAGCATCCCCTGCTCTTTGAACCAAAGCTACCCCTTCCATTAGTTAACCGTGCTTTGGGGATTTTTAGCAATTCTGAAGGATTTTTGTGCTTGTTCCGGCGCAATTCTGTCTTACCCATCTCGCAATGTGCTCTAACAGATCCGGCCTACGAACACTTTCCTAAAAGTCTAAGATGCATCTGCTGTTTTTTTATAAAGCTTATTTTTTATGAATGATAAATAATAGTTGAATAGATTACAGCAACGTTGCCTGGCAAATACAGATACTTGCAGATTCAAGCGGCCAGATCGCGTACTATAACCTCAGATACCCTGTACGTGCGAAGTAGCTGATACTCGCTTTTATCAGTGCGCCCTCAGTCAGGCGTGAAGTTTTGGGTTTTTTCTCATTTTTCCGCTTCTTCTGGTATATATGCTCGATGCTTTAACTTGATAGTTGCAATGAGAGCAATGCCCATTTTTTCTCCCACTAGGCAGCACTAGTGTGGTTGAAGACAAACTCGGTTTTCTTCTTCTGAAATACCCTGCGAACCTCATCTTAAAATGTTCGTCACGTTAAACATGACCGCTATTTTAACTAGCCTCATCTACGTCTAGCTTCCTAAGATTATTAACCTTCTTTTTCAGGCTATGAAGAGGTCCACGTACCCGCGTTGAAACCGAAACCGTTCGGGGAGAACGAAAAACTGGTGCCCGTAGATCAACTACCTCGTTACGTGCAGCCCGTCTTTGAGGGTTTCAAGACGCTAAATCGTATCCAGAGCAAGCTTTGCAAGACGGCCCTGGAATCGGACGAGAATCTATTGCTGTGTGCACCCACTGGTGCCGGTAAAACCAACGTAGCTTTACTGTGTATGATGAGAGAAATTGGTAAGTTCGCATTAACGGAAACTTGTTTTTAATCTAAGGTTTTTGTTATTAACAATGCCGTCCATAGGGGCCGCCGTTGTGTCAAGCTGGAAAAATCGAGACCTCGCGAAATCGGAAGCAGTCTTGGCTGGAAATAGTTCCACTATCGACGAGATTATAACAAAGCCAGTTCTTCCGTTACAATGGAAGTTGAGCTTTAGCCATATGCGAGGAATATAAAAAACTATTTTCTCAGATAATAACTCAACACGTCAAAACTTGACAACATTAATAGTTTACCGATTACGTTTTTTGCATTATACTTCATAGAGAGTATATCATTGTTATTTTGCAGGCAAACACATAAACGCGGAGGATGGCACGATAAATGCGGACGATTTTAAAATCATCTACGTGGCCCCTATGCGGTCGTTGGTACAAGAAATGGTAGGAAACTTCGGCAAGAGGCTAAGCAGCTACAACATAACCGTGTCAGAGTTGACGGGCGATCATCAGCTGACCAGAGAGCAGATCCAGGCGACCCAGATCATCGTTTGCACTCCTGAAAAGTGGGATATCATCACCAGGAAGGGTGGAGAGAAGACGTTCACTTCTCTTGTGAGGTAAGTCACTATATAATTATAATAGCATTTATTGTCCAACTGTGACCCATTCACAGGCTATGAAGGCTGAAAATAAATAAAAATTAGCTAACTTTTATAAAAAAAGATCGCCTGTTGCGGATAATGAAGACATTAAGACGATAATAAAATAATAATGTAAATTAACTACAAATTTCCATTCAAGAACAATATTTTTACAGCTGACAAGACTGCTTGCTCAGCTGTTAAAACGAATTAAAAATTCAGAATCCTTTTTTTTCTATTGGAAATAATTCGTTTTTTACTCTTAAACATTAAACGATATTGGGGGGAGAACACACTTATTTGAAAACTTGAGATGAATGAGCTTCAATATTGTTTACAGTTTAAGACATATAAAAAAGCATATTTACAATCTTAGAAAAATATTTCAGAATTTTTAGTTTGCTCTAGCAGCTAGATAAAATCTTGTTTTTGAAAATCTATATTTTCTTCTATATATTATGATTTATTTTGCTTAAAGTTATTATGCAAGTTTTGACACACAGCCAGAATGAACCAATCAATGTAGTCGTAATTGCTAATGTTTATCACCAGATTTCAAGTTGACTTAGAATTTTTCTGTTTTTGATAAGCTCCGAAATGCTACTGAAATTTTCGGAATTGTTTGACATGCCTGCTGTATGCGTTCGGAAATAGAACAAAGTAATCCTTTTGAAACGTCAAAAGCGCACTTTTTTCCCGTCGAAACCTTGGGAATAAGAGTGCTGTCACTTGTTATCCTCATGGTTCATTGTTTGTTTACCTTATTTGGTTATCAAAAACTTCACAAAATTTGCAGAATACGTTCACGATAAATCGGGTACCTTGTATACATAGATTCTCTTATAATAAATACAATGGACGCAGAAAACGTGGTTAGGAATTAGTCGACTATTATCAAGTATCATAACATGTCTCTGCAATAATTTATGCGGTCAAAAAATAACATTTCACAGTATTCCAACGTAAAAGGTCATCTGTCAATCTACATTTCATCACTGTAAAGTACAACATTAATACAAGTGGTCATTTGTCAGATGTCAAAACTTGTATCGTATACCATACTGTATAAGGGGTTGTCTGCAGAGTTTTTGGGATGTTTTGAATAAGTTCTTTCATCCACTTCCACGTGGTTTTCCCTAATTTTTATTTGTGGTTTTGGAGCTGGAAGAAACATAACTAATTAGTTACTTTTTGATTGGCAGATTAATCATCATCGATGAAATTCACCTTCTGCATGATGAAAGAGGACCAGTACTAGAGGCCTTGGTTGCTCGTACGATCAGAATGATCGAGTCCACTCAAGAGGACGTACGGATGGTCGGTTTATCAGCTACATTGCCGAATTACCAGGACGTAGCTGCCTTCCTCAGAGTTAAAGCAGATACTGGCTTGTATTATTTTGATAATAGCTTCAGGCCTGTAGCATTGGAACAGCAGTACATTGGTGTGACTGAGAAGAAAGCACTTAAGAGATACCAGGTAATAAGTTGCTCATTGGAGTGAATCTGAGGATAAAAATTGGATATTAGTAAATAAATTTTATTTTTCTTATATAGCATCACAGAGTTTTCTATTTATTTATTTTTAAATGACATCGTGTTCAGGCAGCAGCGGTGGCCGCAGTGGTAGACTCTTCAGTCTCCTGATCAGTCGCCGTGCGCTGCGCGGGTTCGAATTCCGTCCTAAGATAAATTTTTCTCTTGGCTATGGATGTTGTGATTGTCCGCAGGTGGTAGACGGTCTCTGACTGTCGAACACGGAGGTACCACCCGGCGGATCTCGTACGCGGGGCCAGAATGTGTGCATGTTGCATGCACACGTGTTCCCTCGCCAGAGTCCGTGTGGCGTCCCCCCTTTCGCGTGCATCCCCCTATAGCCCCACGGTACCCCATGGGTATTTAGGCCTTGATGGCAGTTGGATATACTCCAACTTTTTTTATAAAAAATGACGTTGTTTGCAAGAAAATCGTGGAGGATCAGTTTTCGATCATGTCCCGAAATATTTTGGAATGTATTTGCAATGATACTAAGAGCGTTAGCTTATGATGATGATGATTGGACATGTTCCTTACATACAGTAACATCTATGTGTGAGGTCTCACAACCTTGGAGGACTTTTTTGGACCATATCTCTTTAACAATTAAAATTGAAAATACGTTAGGTGTTTCCACAGGGCAGAATTCTGGGACCACTTCTTTTCATTTTATACATAAAAGATTTACCTGCTGTAGTGGAAAATGCGAAATTCAAATTTTCGCCCACAACTCTTTGATTTATATAAGTACTCAAAATAGTCAGGTTAGTGTCTGTCAAATAAATTGAGACTTGAAACTAAGCTATGTTAGATGTTGTGAAAATATTGAATTCATAGAAACTTTTAAATACCTTCGGGTTCTGCTGACTCTCAATTAAATTCTGATATTTACATGAGAATCATGAGAAAATTATAAATAAGTATTTTAGCTAGAAATGATATATTTGATGATGGTTATGGAGTTTGTATGGTAATTATTTTTGTAATTCATTGTTACTATTTTTATTTTGATTTTTCGAAGGTGATGAACGAAATCGTGTACGAAAAAACTATGGAACACGCTGGCAGAAACCAAGTCCTCATCTTCGTGCATTCGCGCAAGGAAACCGGCAAAACTGCTCGCGCCATCAGAGACATGTGCCTAGAGAAGGACACGTTGGGTCAGTTCCTAAGAGAAGGATCCGCTTCCATGGAGGTATGTTAGATAGATAAATATGATTTATTGTCTGCAGAATACAATTATTCTTAATGACAAAGCTAACATTAAACTACTTGTATAACATAATTACATATGTGGATCTTAAGTAAATGAATTGCGGAACTCACACCTGGTGTAATATGGTCTGCGTATTAGAAAGTTTTTATGTTGCCGGTGGAATATTTTTAAATTGTTAATCCTTTTGATAGGATCAGGGAGACATGTAATTTTTCAGACTATTATAAATTATAGAGTGTTTCACAAGTCTTGTCTTAGGTCTTAGGTACTACTAATGTAAGTTTTTGTGTTAACATTTAGAAATAACGGCCTGCATCTAGTTCGTTTTTGTAGAATCAGCACTTTGTTTTAAACAATTTTGGGAACAGGCACACCAAAGGGAATCTTTCAAATTAAACAACGTACTGCTTAAGGCTGTGCTTTTTCCTACATTGTTACCAGTTGTTCTTATAATAAAGGAAATCTTTGCTAGTTGAGTAAGCAATTTGTCTACATGATTAGCAAAATCTAACTTATGATCACTGGTCAGTCCTAAAAATTTGATGGTGTCTGTTTTGTGTATCAATCCATTATTTGAATTTATAAAATTAAGGGAGCATTTGAATGTCATCAATTTTGTCTTATTAACATTTAAAGTTAGGTAATTGTTGTAACACCATTTTTGATTGATCATATACCACTATCAATATTTGCCTTATTTTATTTATATCTGTGTCTTGCCCAAGCTTTGTGCTATCATCAGCACATGCTATGAATTTACCACTTATCTTTAAATTGATGAAACGATTGATTTAGACTAAAAATAGGATTAGACCTACTACTGACTCTTGAAGACCTCTGCGTATATAATTTATTTGAAATATAATATTTTGATTATTTTGCCGTTTGGAATCAGATACTTTGCAGATGTTTTAAGCCAATTGAGTGAAGTTCCAGTACAACCATAGTTATTTAATTTCTATAATAATATATCATGATTTACACAGTCAAACGCCTTGGAAAAGTCGCATTTTAGTGTAACACCTTCACTCCTGTGATCATCTTAGATGATGTAGACTTGCAATATTTTGACGTAGCGAATACTCACCAACTGTTTGATCTAGGTATTGAGGACAGAGGCTGAACAGGTGAAGAACCAAGAACTGAAGGACCTGCTGCCATATGGGTTCGCGATACATCACGCTGGGATGACCAGGGTGGACAGGACGTTGGTAGAGGATCTGTTCGCAGACAGGCACATACAGGTTTTGGTGTCGACGGCTACGTTGGCCTGGGGTGTGAATTTGCCGGCGCATACTGTCATTATCAAGGGTAAGTCATTTTTTTGGACTATACGTACAGAAACTCAACGCTTATGTCTTCTGTGTACAGTCCAATTATACAGCTTCGGCGTCGCGTGTCCATTTGAAAGGATTCACAAGCTAGTCCAGTCGGAAAATTCACTTTTTGATTCAAGAAAAGAAGTATAAACTTAATGAAAAGAAAATATTTATTACTACCAACATATTCGTAAATTCGACGGGCTTTATTTCTTAAATATCATTCCGCCCAAATGTTTGTCATCCCTTCGGACACACTCTTCTAATCGCGCGCGCAAATTCTGAAAGACTCTCTTGCAGACTCCGAAGTGATGTTGTTTATTTCTCGAATACGGTCTTTAAACTCCTGGAGTGTTCTTGGATTATTGGAATACACTTTTGACTTTAGATAACCCCACAAAAAATAATCGCATGGCGTGACGTCGGGTGACCTAGAAGGTCAGTGAATGTCTCCAAACTTCGATATAACTTTTTGAGGAAAAAGTGCTTTCACTGTATCCATCGATTCTCTGGAAGTATGAGCAGTGGCCCCATCCTGTTGAAACCATGTGTGTCTGTTAAATCGACGTTATGTTCTTACAACAGGAGCAAAAAAAGTGTGAATCATGTCCTTGTACCTAATCACTTTCTTTAAAGCATAGACTGATTGGATTTTATAATGATGAAAACCCATTTTTTTCTTCATTATGCCATGCAGTGTTGACCTAGGGATTCCCAAAGCAGCTTCTGTTCAGAACGCCGATGATTTGCAATGACCGAATCACTCGACGCACATTTTCTTCAGTTGATACAGTAGGTGTGGGGCTAGGAATATGTTGACTAAGAGTAGAGCCTGTTCCATGGAATCACTCAATCTACTTTTTCTATAGGTTCTTACTTGGGGCGTCTCTTGGTCGAATGTTGTATCGTATACAAAATTTCCGGAGGGCAGCTGGATGTGAATCACCACTCTTAAAGTAAGCTGCGATAGCAAAAGGACGTTGCGCTCCGGTCCAACGTTCCATTGTGGCTATTTAACCCGCACGCCGAACGATCAAGACCTCTCCCCACTTCCTCGCGTATACGGTTGCCGCGTAATTCAAATTTGAAATGTGAACTTTCCCACTGTATTACAATAGTCGCGTATCATTTGTTTCAGGTACACAAATATACAACCCGGAAAAAGGCAGGTGGGTAGAGTTAGGTGCTCTAGATGTACTGCAGATGCTGGGTAGAGCTGGTAGACCTCAGTACGATAGCAAAGGTGAAGGTATACTGATCACCAACCACAGTGAGCTCCAGTATTACCTATCGCTCCTCAATCAACAGCTTCCGATTGAATCTCAGCTTGTCTCTAAGTTGCCTGACATGCTTAACGCTGAGATCGTGCTAGGCACCGTTCAGAATCTTAGGGATGCTGTTACTTGGTTGGGGTACACATATCTGTACATAAGGTAAGTCTAAAAAACTTTACTGAATGAAGAGATTTTAAATGGGTTACCAAATTTTCATTGTCTTAACAGACATCACAGATTGTTTTTGAGGAAATATTTATAGAATCTTTTGTGAAAATGATTAGTTACTCATGTGATTTTTTGTAGTTCAGACAATATGAAAAGAAGCGTGGTAATTAATGTTGTATCTGTTTGTTTTTTCTTTGCATTTTCGTATTCTTATTGAATGTGTTACTACAATAGTCTGGAAGGCCCGTGACATGCTGAGATTGCGTGAAGTCATTATTTCTAATTTTAAGATGGCACCACGCAAAACCAGCATAGCCCAGGACCGCCCAGGAGTAGGCATTCCCACTCCCAAAAAAGAATGCCCAGATCTCCAAAATGACAAACGAGCATAAGGATATCTGTCGTTTTTTTTAAATGTACCAGATGTGTCACCCTCGTCCATCGTTCCGAAGACGCCAAGACAGATAAATAAAATATGTCATTGCACTGGAGAAAGTCACTATTGTGACCAAAACATGTAGTTTGAATTGGCCAGAGAAATATGGGGGATTTAAATATGGTAATTGTCAAACATTTCAAAATTTAGATCAATGGCGTGGCAGGTATTGACATCACGAAAATCTTCGATTCAAACATATCGTTTTCCGGATGACCTGATTACCCTACTTTCTATCGCTTTGGAACGTAGGATATGTAAAAACCCTACTTTCTATCGCTACGGATATGTAAAAACCCTACTTTTATTGTTTTCCAGGATGTTGAGACAACCAACTTTGTACGGCGTCTCCCACGACCATCTGAAGAAAGACCCTCTTCTGGAACAACATAGAGCCGACCTCATTCATACGGCAGCTCTACATTTGGACAAGAGCGGTCTGATCAAATACGACAGGAAGACAGGACAGTTCCAAGTGACCGAGCTGGGGAGAATAGCATCTCATTACTATTGCACCCACGAAACGATGCACACGTATAACCAACTGTTGAAGCCAATGTTGAGCGAGATAGAGCTGTTCAGAGTGTTCTCGTTGTCTGGGGAGTTCAAGAATATTGCTGTGAGGGAGGAGGAGAAGTTGGAGCTGCAGAAGCTGATGGAGAGGGTGCCTATCCCTATCAAAGTAAGTTACTATTCTTATGATTCACGAAATTGGATTTATTATTACTAAATTAAAAAAATCGAGACATACGGATCGATTTAGCTATGAGAAAAAAAAATGATCATTTGTCTTAGCACTTTCGATATATAATCCTTGCAGTTTTAACAGGTATGGAATCTTAACGATACTTTGCATGATACTTCACCGCATCTCAATTTTTTAAAGTCTGACCTACCAGAGTGCAATATTTATCTGTGATAAGTTTTACTGGAATCTTTTCTTTCGGGAATACCCGGTGGACATGCTGCCCTCTTATGCAAACTTCTTTCATGTGGCCTCCGAGCGAAGCTTTGCAGATGGATGGCTGACTTTCTCTCTGGTCGCAAGATTTCCGTCATAATCGATGGGCTCTCCACTTCATCCCACAACGCCAACGCGGGTGTTCCCCAGAGATCGTCTTGGCTCCGACACTGTTCTTCTTGCATATTAACGACTTTCTTCCCTGTACGATCAATGACTTGCCGGTGACAGCACTCTACAACAAAAAGCGTTCTAGTGCTCATCCGGTTTCGATGGATGGCCGAGTTCTACCAAAAAGCCGTTCTTTTCGGCTGGTCGGAGTCCAGATTAATTTGAATTTATCAATAAATTGATCTCGTCGTATTATACCAAATTTTTATAAATTGGTCTACTTATTCAGTTCTGTTTTTTCTCCACTTATATGTATTGGTGTAATTAAAGCCGTTTGCATTGGGTTAATCACCAGTTTGAGAAATCCAATTTATTATGAATGTAAGAGGTGTAACCATATAGATAACTGTAATTTTTAAAGTTTCTCTTATATAGGATATGATACCTGGTGATTTTTTGTTTTTTTTTTAACTTATTATAGTTTCAATAACAACAGCATTTGCTAAGTAGAGTGAATTTGGTGTGTATTTTTTCTGTGGAGACTCACTATATCTTGAATTTTTTTTCTAATATTGTTCCTGAGTGTCCCCCCTATATTAGAAAAATATTCTACATATTTGTTAGCAATTTCTTGTTTTACTTTAAATGTATGATTTTGTTCATCTTTTATCATGTTAATTGTGGTATCTTTTTTTTTCATTTCCGTTTCAAGGCATTCCATATTGATGTAGAGATATTGCTACGAACATGAAACCTTATTTCCAGGAAAGCATGGAAGAGCCGAGCGCCAAAGTGAACGTCCTTCTTCAAGCGTACATCTCCCAACTGAAACTTGAAGGTTTCGCCTTGATGTCTGACATGGTATACGTGACCCAATCCGCATCACGTCTGATGCGCGCCATATTCGAAATCGTCCTCCACAGAGGTTGGGCCCAGTTAGCCGACAAAGCTCTGGCGCTGTGCAAGATGGTGGACAAGCGGATGTGGCAGTCTATGTCTCCGCTCAGGCAGTTCAGGAAGATACCGGAAGAGATTGTCAAAAAGATTGAGAAGAAGAATTTCCCGTGGGAACGGTAGGACTTCGCATTTATTTTAGGAAGGATTACTTACACACCAATAGTATAGTTGATAGTTGAAGTAAATACCTACATAATAGTATGTAGCACTGGATAAAGAGAAGTCAAACAACAGACGGTTAGGTTAGGGATACCCCAGGGATCCATTCTAGGTCCCACTTTGTTCATAATTTTTATTAACGACATCTTCAGCGTCTAGTGCTATATGCTGAAAACACTACGTCTATCTGCAGAAGAGACAAACTTGAAGACTTTAGTCAAGAAACTGCAATAAATGTAGAGTATGTTGAAGTCTGGTTATTTACAGATAGACTATAGACTAGCCTTAAACAAAGACAAAACACAAACCATGAATTTCTCATTGGGATATCATGGTAACAATATCTATGTAAAATCTCTTGGCTTTCATATGGACACTCGCTTGAACAGGGAAGAGTACGTCAATAACCTGATCACCAAACTTAAAAGTTTCTTTGCCCTCGCAAATTTGCATATACATCATCAATAAATATCATTATTATTATCAAATAGGTTTATTATGAGTCTCTTATTACTTTATTATCATTCGTATTTTTAGGTTATACGATCTGGGCCCTAACGAAATCGGCGAACTGATTCGTGTACCCAAACTGGGGAAAACGATCCACAAGTATGTTCATCAGTTTCCTAAGTTGGAGCTGTCCACCCATATCCAACCAATAACGCGATCGATGCTGAAGGTTAGTAAAAAACCATAGCTGATACAGGTCTCCTTTCTAAGATTTTGCATCTGGAGAAGCAACAGTTGCTTCAACCGAAACTTTAGTAATAATAAATATGACTGTGATCTTTTTCGCGAGATGAATGAAGCGAAATTGTTAAAGCTAATACTGATTTTTTTTTCTATGTTCAAGGTTGAGTTGACCATCACTCCGGACTTTCAGTGGGAGGAAAAAGTCCACGGACAATCTGAAGCTTTTTGGATTCTGGTAGAAGACGTAGATTCGGAAGTGATACTGCATCACGAGTACTTTTTATTGAAATCAAAATACGCCCAGGATGAACATCACGTCAAGTTCTTCGTACCAATTTTTGAACCTTTACCACCACAGTATTTCCTCAGAATCGTCTCGGATCGATGGATTGGAGCAGAAACGCAACTACCTGTGTCTTTCAGGTATTTCAATTTTTATACTCATAATAATAAAATTATTTCTAGGCAACCTGTTTGATGGTTAGCCATTTGCAACTTTACGTTTCTTCGAGAAAAATAATCTGTAATACGAAATGCTTACAGCGAACCTAATTCGTTTCATTTGAATTATTCTAGGCATCTGATACTACCAGAGAAGAATTTCCCACCCACTGAATTGTTGGATCTGCAGCCGTTACCCATAACAGCTTTGAGAAATGAAAAATATGAAGCACTGTATGCTGATAAATTTCCACAGTTTAATCCCATACAAACGCAGGTAAGATATTTTCATAGAAACTGTTTTCTGAATCACTTGCGTTTGTAATTTCGAAGACTTTGTGATTATATAATTTCTATTGTGCTGAATGTTGGATATTGGTACTTAAACGATTTTTTCTGTTTTCAGGTTTTCAATTCGGTGTACAACAGTGATGACAACATCTTCATTGGAGCTCCAACTGGATCAGGCAAAACCACAATAGCTGAATTTGCCATATTGAGACTGTTTGACAGAAATCCAGAAGGCAGATGTGTTTATCTGGTTCCAAAAGACGCTCTGGCTGAGCTGATTTTCGCTGATTGGCATAACAAATTTGGACAGAATATTGGCAAAAAGGCAAGTTTCTGGAGATTGAAAAATCTCACTGCTGAGTAGGAGCGATGCCCCAATTTGAACTGAGAAGAAATTGGTTTATAATGCGAATCTGGTCATAACTTTTTACGAATTTTAAACTTTGGTAGTTAGTACCTCTTTCGCAGTTTATTTTTAAATTATTTTCAATTCATTCAGTTCCTCTATGTACTCAATTATAATGCAGTTTTCTTTAGTCATATGCTCTTTGATAAAATTGATATCCTAGGTCGAACAAATAAATTCCGTTTCTATAATTTCTTGTCTCATTTGTAGGTGGTTCTTCTAACTGGCGAAACTGGTACAGATTTGAAACTGCTGGCCAAAGGTCAGATCATCATCACCACGGCGGAGAAATGGGACGTTCTTTCTAGGAGATGGAAACAAAGAAAGAACGTACAAAATATCAATCTGTTCATCGTAGACGAATTGCACCTCATTGGAGGGGAAGATGGTCCCGTTATAGAAGTGGTGTGCTCGAGAATGCGATACATTTCGTCTCAGATTGAGAAACCTATTAGGATCATCGCCTTAAGTGCTTCTCTAACAGGTAGGAGGAACTCATATTTTCGCATGAATTGTATTGAGGATACAAAGGACTTTAAGGGTGGCTGACAAGAGTGCCGGATTTGAATTTGCTGCTATTTTTTTTTGTATAAATGGTATGGTGTTTACTTGATGACAGCTGTCATGTCCAGACCACGCGATTAGACGTCATGGAGCAGTATTCAAACGAGCAACGTTTAATTATGGAGAAAATTACGCGGAAACAGTTCGCAAATTACGAGCAATTTTCGGTCGCAATGATGCGCTAAATGAGTCGACATTACAAAATTTGATACAGAATTCACGTTGCTGAATGTAAGGACCACTGTTCGTTGGTCGGTCCCTCGAATATATAGTCGCAGTGCGGGAAAGTTGGCCGAGAATCCAGGCACTTCCATTCGGCATCGAACTCAAGCCAACGGACCATGCGCAGCGCTGTGAATTCGTTGATTGGCCGCTGGAGCACCACCAAATTGATGCGGATTTCTCGAAGAAAATCATTCTCTCTGATGAGGCACATCTCCAACTGAAAAGGTACGTCATTAAGCAGAACTGAAGAATTTGGGGTTCTGAAAAGCCTGTTCTAATCGAACAACCAATGCATCCGCGCGAGTTACCGTTTGGTGTCATTGTGGTGTGGCGGAGTGATTGGACCGTATTTATTCGCAAATGCAGCTGTAACTACGGTAACTGTTAATGGTGTGCGGTATGTTGAAATGTTAACCGAGTTTTTGTGGCCCCAGTTGGATCGAATTGATGTGGAGGATATGTTCGTCCAATAAGACAAAATTGGCCACCAAGATCGTGCGATCTAACGCCGATGGACTTCTTCCTCTGGGGCTATGTGAAGGAAAAGGTGTATGCGCACAAGCCACAAACAGTTGAACGCCTTAAAGAAGAGATACGGTGCGTTATCGACGAAATAGAGCCACAGTTGTGCGAAAACGTTATCCAGAATTTTAAGATAAGACTGACGCTGTGCCAGAGGTTTCGTGGTGGCCATTTACAGGATTTCCTATTTCATGTTTAATTGCAACTATTCCTCTTCATGTTGAAATATAAATACTCGCTTAATTCGAAAAGAAATTGTGTTTTTCTTGAAAATCAAAGCCGGCGCTCTTATTGAGACACCTTTTAGTAGTGAAAATGATTACAGTGTATAGTGTTAGCAATGCACCGGTAACTATTTTTTTTTTTTTCGGTGGAGTTGGTTCTCTGGATTGTTTAAGCTGCCATTGGTGTTGTTAAGATTATATACGTATTTGCGTGTTGAAAGGCTTCTTTATTCATAGAAATGATTTATTATTCTTAGAAATTAACGCCCAAAAAATCGTTGTGCAGCTTTGTGTATGCAAAACGTCGTAAGTTACTGTATAAACGGTATTTTCAGAAGTTTTAATTTTCAAATATTTAAGAATCATGCAAGTGGTAGGTATAGAAGTCGACGTCATGCCGGAACGGAGGACAGGTCAATTCATAATAGCTGTCAGAAAAATACGAGGGATGTCTTTTAAGTTTTGCATTTGGAAATAAAACAACACGGTAGGTAGTTTTAAATGACTATTGTTTTTGAAGATTAATACACATCTGCATGCGCTCGAACCAATTTTCGAAGCACTTATTCCACTCGTTTGCTGGCAGATCCAAAATGGCATTTTTGAATGCGCCAACTGCTTCTTCTGGTGACTGGAACCGTTGACCACGCAGTCTGTTTTTAATTTTAGTTAAGTAAAGAAATCGTTAGGACTTAGATCGGGACTATATGGAGGATGGTCCAATAATTTCTTCCGTTAAATACTGCCTTGTTTTTTGGGCTGTGTGCGAGCTTGCTTTGTCTTGGTGGAGGATGATTCTTCTTTCGGGGTTGATTTTTCGAAGCTCGGTGATGACTTTTGGCAAACAAATGGTTGTATACCAATCCGCAGTAACAGTTCTTTGCTCATTAAGAGGAATTGCTGCAATATGACCCGCTTTTGACACAAATGTCGCGACAATCTTTTTCGAAACACTTCGAGAACGGATGACTTATGTTGGCTTATCTTCACCTTGGAACACCCAAATAGCCGACTGTCGTTTATTTTCTGGTTTATAACAGTAAATCCACGATTCATCACCACTAACAATGCTGTACACATTTTTTGAGTTTCCGGAATTGAAACGGGTAAGTGTTTTTTGACACCAATTAACCCTGGCTGCTTTCTGCTCTTCAGTCAACTGGTGGGGTATCCAACGAGAAACTAATTTTTTTACTCCTAATTCTTCATGTAAAATTTTTTGAATAGAGGTCTTTGAGATCTTCAAGGACGCCTCATTCTCGCGATATGTCACATGTCTATCTTCAATGATGAGTTTGCGCACAGCATCGACATTTTCCTGGGTGACTGCCGCTTTTGGTGCACCCACCCTGGGATCGTCGCTAAAACTCACCCGTCCACGTTTGAATTCTCCATACCAACGGGAAATTGTCGACTGATGTGGCGCTTCGTTGCCGAAAACAGACAGTAACTCAGCAAGGCATTCTTGTTGCGATAATTGTCTCTGAAAGTTGTAACAAATTATAGCGCGAAAATGTTCTCGGTTGAGTTCCATTTTTCTAATGACTTGGTGACACTTAAAAATTCACTGTAGTGAGAACACTGCACGTTTTGTTGTGAAACTTTGAATTTAACTTTACTAAAGAGTAAGGTTAAGATTCAGTACTGTCGTTCGATCCGCGCGGCCTACTATGTTTCTATATGCAAAACTTAAAAGACATCCCTAGTATAAAAAAATCTAAGTCGTGTTCTTTTAAAAAAAAATGGAAAAACTGGTATGATTTTTTAGATCCCATTACTACAAATTTCAAGGAAGGCAGTTTGCACATTTATTGTGAATTTAATAAATATATTCAGAAATTAATAAAAGTGGTATTACTCTCTGTCTTGCTGTGACTTCGTACATAGAATGACACTATCAATCACACCATCTAAGAAAAAATTGAAATTTGTATCAATGGCAACTAAAAGATGTAGATTTTCCGATTTTTTTAAAGCCTATAAGTTGAAAAGTACACGAGTTGGATTTTTTTATATTTTTTCTCATAATTATCATGACTTGGCCTATCCCCCGTTTCCGGTATGGCGTCGAGTTCTGCGACACCCTGTATGCTTTGGTAAAAAATATAACATTTGTAACCAACAGTGTACTTTTTGGAATAGTTATAATAGTTTTTGTTTTCAGATTACAAGGATGTTGCTCAGTGGCTTGGTTGTAACACAAACTGTACCTTCAATTTCCACCCAAGCGTCAGGCCTATACCGTTGACCTTACACGTACAAGGAATCAATATTACACACAATGCGTCCCGGTTGATCGCCATGGCAAAGCCCGTGTACAACGCTATAGTGAGGTAAGGACTTGTTAGTTTGATGTGTAGTTCTATTATTGTATTATCATTAGTTTTAATTTTTTCTTCAGATACAGTCCACATAAGCCAGCTATAGTGTTTGTACCAACAAGAAAGCAAGCAAGACTCACTGCGATAGACTTGCTGACCTATGCAGCAGCTGAGGGTCAGCCCAGCAAGTTTTTCCATGCTGAAGAAGAAGATATTAAGCCATTCTTAGACAGAATGAGTGACAAGGTAAAGCTTTACAACTTTTTTTACTCAAACCTCATTTATGACGCTTCAAAACAAACACTAGCATACGAACTAAAAATCCTCGTGCTCCTATTGGTCAGTTCGCAACAAGGTGCGAAAATTTTGCAAAGGATTGCTCGCGTTCACTTTGAGGCGAAGTAAATGAGGTTTGGATGCTTGTTAAAATAATACTTCATGAGCTACTAAACTGAAACATTTTCTGATACCGCACATAAAGAAATATTGCTACAATATTGAAAGATATTGTGTCAAACGTATCAGGTATATTTGTCGATCACTGTTTCGGTTTTACAATTGTTTAAATCTCTTCCTAAGATAAAAATAATAGCGGTTTTAAGTGACATCCTCAACGGACGCTAAAAGTGTGACACATAAATCACGGAGTACAGCGATTATTTTTTATAAGAAATAATTTATTCATCCTTCAAATCTTCACAGATATTCAACATGTCATCACAATATATGTAATAGATTAAATTAATGACGTTTGTATGATGATCGTTAAAACATTTTTTGGACACACATGAACACATAAACATATATATATATATATATATATATATATATATATATATATATATATAGGGTGACTTTGAAGTTGAGTCATTAATTTTCAGATAATGATTGTAGAAGGAAGATAAACCAGAATATGTGTGTAAAAATAAAAAAAAATTTTACCTTGTTTTATAAAGTATCCTCCCGACAAGTATTTCAGTGCGGACCTGTATTTGATCGTGAGGTCCCCTGTGAGGTCTTAAGTCACCTGATTCACGAGCCCGTTGTACTACGTTAACAAAGGCACGAGGGGTTGGTTGCACTCGATTGGGAAACCGATCCGCATAAACATGTACCATTTTTTATTTCGTTTGAGCCACGCAACAGACACTATTCACACGCTAACCGACAGACACTGACTGTATGTATAACTGAACTGAATAAAATACTTAATTGCAAAAACATCGTTCCAAATTCTTTCGCTTTTTTGTTTCCGATGCGATGAACCGGTAAGGCGGATTATATCCGTTGTTGCCAAACACGAGTACATGATATTATTATTGAGACAGGGCGGTACTCAAACTTCCAAAGGGCTATAACTTTGTTACTTTAATTTTACCAGAAAAATGGTAAAGGAAAAAAACATTTCTTTTGATCAGATCTACTCACTGTTAAAATAAATGACTCAACTTCGAAGTCACCCTGTATATAAAAATAACAGAAACAAATAATACACAATTTAATGATTTAATAGTTCTTGAACAGAGTGAAAACAACTGTTTAACAAACTATCCTTCAATGAATTCATGAATGAAGTTTCATTTTTGGAACATTTTACAGATATTGGCAAAGAGATGTAAAGTTTTTGGCCCATGTAATAGGGACTACTTTCATACTAAGTCGTATTATCATGCTTTCTAAATCGTCAATGTTGCTGCAAGATCCAAAGCCAACATGCACAAAGTTTTTCTGCAACTTCCTAACAGGGAGTTCCTTTTACATTTTACACCATGATGTGAACTCTCCCGCTATTGCTACCATCCTGGTGTGAAGTTCTTCCTGAGATTCGGTTGTATCATCAGTGTAAAATAGTCTACAAAAAGAGTGGAAATCAAAGGGCCAGGAATCGACCCTCGAGGTACACCAAGAGGGACTTGTACAACAAACTTCCGACTTGAACCACGATTAGTGTATTACCACGAAAGCCATTTTTAAACAACTTGTTTCCTATAAGGGTAGAGTCAATTGTGTTAAATGTCTTTGATAGATCAAAGAAGAGCGCACCAACCAGTGTTCTTATATCAAGACAGTTATAGGAATATGATGCACTCTCCGTTGATCTACCGGGACAGAAACCATTCTGGCAGACGCTATTGCAGTGCGTAGATGCGGTATACGACGACACTGTGGCTCGACATCACAGTCGCTTCGTTTAGCTCTCCCTCCACAATAGTTTTTTCTTGCTAAATTGAGCGCGACCCATATTGAAAACCACCCATAAATGTAGAAATTGAATCGTTAAGAGCAATGTAGGGTATCTGAATACCTAATCATTCCAAAATGGACTATTTGAAGCTGGTGACGATGGTCCTTCAGAAATAAGAGGACCTGAAAAATGGAGTGACGTTTGATACGATTGTCATTGATATAATTTGCACTGCAGGAACGCCGTTTTCCAGGAACACCCAAATCAACGCGACCCTAAAAGGGAAATTTTTCTCTTGGCTATGGGTGTTGTGATTGTCCATAGGTGATAGACGGTCTCTGACTGTCGAAAGCGGAGGGACCACCCGGCGGATCTCATAGGCGAGGCCAGAATGTGTCATGTTGCATGCACACGTGTTTCCTCACCAGAGTCCGTGTGGCGTCCCCCCTTTCACCTGTATCCCCCTATAGCCCCACGGCAACCATGGGTGTTTAGGCCTTAGAGCTTCGTGGTAGTTATAGTATAAAAAAATTCTGTACATTGTGGCTTAGCACAGCGTAAATGCAGACGTAGTGATACGGATTATTGGGTTGTGTGTTCGATTTCCACAAACTGCAAGATATCTTTCTATTTCTTCTTGTAAATTTTGACAATATTGAAAACGAATGCAATTTGACTTATTCCGAAAATTTGTTATTCTACAGACCCTAAAGGAAACTCTCTCGCAAGGCGTAGCCTACATGCACGAAGGCCTCTCCGCCAGCGACCTACGTCTAGTAGAGCAACTGTTCGACTCCGGCGCTGTCCAAGTGGCCGTGGTCACTCGTGACCTCTGCTGGGCGGTAAACATCTTCAGCTACCTCGTGGTAATCATGGACACGGAGTTTTATAACGGCAAGATCCACGCGTACGAGGACTACCCAATCACGGACGTACTGCAGATGGTGGGCAGAGCGAATAGGCCACTTGAAGACGATGACGCTAAATGCGTGCTGATGTGTCAGAATAGCAAGAAGGATTTCTTTAAGAAGTTTTTGAGTGATCCTTTGCCGGTAGAGGTGAGTAGTTGGAACTGATTTTTCTTGAATTTCGATAGCTCTTAAGCATATCCATAACCTATTATTGCCCCAAATAGGTGAAGAAGGTATTGTCACTACAGTGGATGCAAAGATTGTTCATGACCAGATGTTTGAGGCTGTATCGCGTTCTTCAAAGGACTGAAATTCGGTGCCACTAATAGCATTTTATCTGTGTAAATCAAATAGTGAAGACGATGGATGACGATGATCCATCCATCAATGAAGCAATTTAGGACAATTAACATCAACAATCTAAGAAAAGCTAAAAATTGAAATCTAATAAAAATCCAAGTGAGAATCTCTCAGAAAATATTCTAAATGATTGTTTCAATATAATTGGAGAGAAACTATTATTATTGGTGAATCATTGTTTAGTACATGGTGAATTTCCATCAAAATTAAAGTGCTCCACCATTATTCCTGTGCCAAAAGTTCAACATTCTCAGCTGTATACAAATATGCGGCTGATTAATGCCTTGCCCGATGTCGAGAAGCTGTTCGAAGGGATAATATACGAACAAATCATAGAATTTATTGAAGAGACCAAAATTTTTATAAAAAATCAAGCTGGATTTAGAAAAAAATGTTCCATAGAAACGGCAATCCAAATGGTGGTGGAAGACTGGAGAAGAAGTATAGATAAGAAAGAATATATTGTAACAACTTCAAAAAGGCATTTGAGACTATATATAGGGACAAATTGTTAATGAAATTGCGTTACTATGGCTTTAAAGGACCAGTATTACACAAACTAGAGGCAGTATAGATTTTCATCTGCAAAATTGTAATAGTAGGATAACTAGTAAATCTATATTTTAAAAGGGAGTATTTGAATTTAATAAATTGAATAATGATGAGTTCGAATTTAAAAATGTTTAAGGTGAAATTAAAGAATCACTTTATGAATAATCAAAATGCATAGTGACGTAATTTTAATTTTAATAGACAAGAATGTAAAATTACAGAAAATGGAGTGAAGAAAAATATGTAACCGAATCATTATACAAAATTGACATTGTAGCATTAATGCTAAATAAATCTTCAACAACAACGAGAAGGTGGTAAGTGCAATCAGCCTTAATATCCCGGCGAAAAACATATGGCTATTCCCGTTTTTCCACTGCCACAACATAATCCAGAGGCTCAATTTTTAAACTTGAAAGCCTTGCAATGTGGACTCACAACGTTAATTGGTCCAATAGCAACTATCTGTTGTGAATTTTCTCTCACATAGCTATGAATAGCTATTTGCGGAGAGGAGTGCCTGTTTCTTTTGGTACTTGAGATATTTCTTCTACTGTGCCTGCTCCATGCTCAAACAAACTGTCAAATGCGCGTAGCTTAAATACTCATTAGGTTTTCAATGATTTCCCAATTTTCTGCGCAGTTTTCTTGATTTTTCTTTCTGCAAGAACCTTCTATACAGCATTAGAAGACTTAAAAAAAATGATTGAAATTGGTAAAGTCGTGCTTAAGTTATGGCGTGACCACGCGAAAGTGGGATTCATTTTCATATATAGACTAGAAGATAGATACGAATTTTATGTCTGTTTATAGCTACAAACCTTTTGATTCACTAGTTTGCGAAAACTATTTCAAAAATAAATTAAGCTCTGAATATATTTTTTCATTGAATAAGATTAGTTCAAATGACGTATTACAGGCAATAGGGAGCCTAAAATCTGATGCGAAGGGAATTGATGGTATATCCCTATCAATGATCCAGCTTTGCATGCCAGTTATTCTCCATCACATCGTCCACATCTTTAACGACTGTTTGGAAAAAGGCTACTTTCCAAACACATGGAAACAAGCCCTAATTATTCCAATTCCTAAAAAAATTAAACCCACTGAACTGAGTGTAATGATCTCAGACCTATCAGTTTTTTACCATTCTTATCCAAAATTTTAGAAAAAATTATAAGGTTCCAATTGACCGCTTACCTAGAAAAATTCTTTATACTTCCCGACACTCAATCCGGATTTAGAAAAAATTATAGTACAACATCTGGCCTACTTAATCTGCAAGACAAAATTTTAAGTGCCTTAGATAAGAAAATGGCACTAGCCTTAATCTCTATAGACTATTCGAAAGCCTTTGACAGCATCAATCATAAATTATTACTTGCTAAATTAAATTACATAGGTCTTGACAGTGTATCCCTTTCATTTTTCGACAGTTACCTTCATCAAAGAACTCAGTGTGTTTTTCTCAATCAAGAAATGTCTCAAGTGACAATAATTCCCTCAGGCGTACCTCAGGGCTCTGTATTGGGGCCGCTTCTGTTCCTCATATATACGTTCGACTTAAGCCAAGGTATTGATAATTCTCATGTCCAGTCATTTGCAGACGATACGCAATTGCTTCATAATTTTAACCCAGATAATGTCAATAATACTACTCAAATTTTACAAAACGGTGTTAATAAATTAATTAAATACTCTTTAGATCACAATCTACTTATTAATCCACAAAAACCTAAAATGTTATTATTTTGCGCACAAAGAAAAACATACAATGTAACACAGCTCTTGAACATTCAGATAAATAACCAAATGTTGCAATTTTCTGATTCTGCAAAAATTCTTGGTGTTGTTTTTGATACAAAATTAAGGTTTATTGAACATGTTAAAAATCTATCTCAGAAAACCTACCTACGGATGCGCACTCTTATAGCAAACAGGTATTTACTAAATTTTAAGTTGCGTAAAAAACTATGTGAAGCATTGGTCATATCTATACTAAATTATTGTAATATCGTATACTATACTTGTTTAGACAATTTCACTAAAAACGTTATTCAAGTTATGCAAAACAATTGTATACGATTCATTTTTGGCTTACGTAAATTTGATCATGTATCAGCGAAATATCCTGTTTTAAACTGGTTAATAATTAATGACATGGTCAAGTACGAGTATAACTATTCAGTTTTTGGTCACAAATTGCTGCTCACGTCTAAACCTTATTACTTGAAGAAAAAAATTTCATTTAATAATGATGTTCACTGTAGAACTCTCAGAGAAAATAATATTAGAATACCCCTGCATACGTCTACACTTTTTAAACGCAGTTTTTCTTACAATGTTGCTATTATTTATAATGACCTTCCTAAAGTATATAAAGAATTTTCATTACCTGTCTTTCGACAAAAAGTTAAAAAATTATTACTCAACCCTCCAAACATATAATTTACGTAATCATTCATTTCTTTTTTATTCCATCTTTAATTCAGATTAATAATTTTTGGTGCATTTGGGTTTGGAAAGTATGCCTTTTTCTCTTTTTTTAAATTTTACTTTCGATGTAATGAACCAAATCTGTTTGTGGATAGTGTATTCTTTTGAACATCTGCTAGAGACTATATGGTTAAGTGTAAGAGTAGCAGCATGCTAAACTTCGCCATGTAAGTCTAACATTTGGCTATACTACAATGTAATTGTGGATAAATAATGACGTATGTTATTATTATTATTAATTTGTGAATGTTTGAATAAACGCCAAAGTCTGTGTCAACAAATGCCAGGTATTTCTATTTAACAACAGCCTTACTAGTTAACTCATAGATGGTCTTCTGGTTAAAGTTAAATACCGTTTTACTGTAAGCATGACATTGAAAAACGCTTTTTCATATATAACTGTAAGTTAAAAATCATGGTTAACCTCCGACTGAAAAACCGGGGCTTTGAGACAGATAAAAGTAGTGATGTCATGTAACTACAAATTGGCTTACGCCGTGAAGCTTTGTTAACTCAAAAGACCATTTTCCCCAAATATGTTTTTCGTATGCTAGGACTATTCCACATACATGGAATCTTTTAACATGGAAGCCAAATAATGATATCGGCATCTTTCCTATTCCCTATATCTTTTATTGCATTATTGAGTGTTTAATTTTGTTGCAGAGCCATCTGGATCACCGTCTACATGACCATTTCAACGCTGAAATCGTCACAAAAACAATTGAGAACAAACAGGATGCTGTAGACTACCTCACATGGACGTTCTTATACAGACGACTGACACAAAATCCCAACTACTACAATCTGCAAGGCGTGACACACAGACATCTTTCTGACCATCTGTCGGAACTAGTGGAAAGTACATTGTCAGATTTGGAGCAGTCCAAGTGTATCAGTATCGAAGATGAAATTGATTGTATACCTTTGAATTTGGGAATGATTGCAGCGTACTATTACATCAATTATACAACTATAGGTATGTCTTATTTTGTTTCTAGTACCGTGAACAATGTTTGAATGAATATTTTAATTAAGGATATATTAAAATATATTAGATCTTGTCAAGGCGCATATTTGGATCAAGTACCCAACTTTAACATATTTCTCAAAAGCTTCATTTGAGGGCATAAAAAATTATTACTTTTTTCAGAATTGTTCAGTTTATCCCTGAACAGCAAAACCAAAATCCGAGGCTTGCTGGAGATCATCTCGTCAGCGGCCGAATACGAGGACATTCCAGTCAGGCATCACGAACAGAATGTTTTACGTCAGCTGGCTCAGAAGCTGCCCAACAAACCGACGGCCTCTGGCGGTGGACAAGCGAAGTACAATGATCCACACGTCAAGACGAATCTTCTATTGCAAGCGCATCTGTGCAGGTTGCAATTGGGAACTGAGTTGCAGAGTGATACCGAGATCGTACTGTCCAAGGTAAGACAAAAATGTTTGAGGATGAAAAGATATTTATTTTTGTACAGGGTGGCCAAGATAAGGGTAATACCCATGGGGATCTCGATACCTGTATAGGAATAAATTAGGAAAACTTTACGTTATTCGAGGTGTATTTACATGCCGTTGACAAACTTGTGAAAAATTCATGGCTTACTGAGGTATAAAATCACCCATCGTGTAGTACCTGAAAAGTGCTAATGAAAAAATTCCAATAGTTATTTGATAATTCTTAAAGTCAGAAAAAAATTAAAATTATTTCGCCAAATTCTAGTTTTTCCAAATACCTCAGTAAGTCATGAAATTCTTACAAACTACTGTACCACTGTAAGTGGTGTACTAGGAACGTTTGACTCAAATATCCGTGTGATGACGTCTTTTGTAAACATTGTCTAATGCAGGTAGTAATTGAAACGGATAAGAAACCCGGATCATCAAAAAAAAAGTTAAGGCAATTTTATAAATACTGGGTGTGGCAGCTTAACTTTCTTTTTTAAAATGCCTGTCATTCAGTCGGTTGATGTCTTAGCAAAGCACTAATGGTCTCGTTCGAGAGGCGAGACTATAAAGTTTTGTCTTGACACTTTTCAGCCGCCATCATGCGTTGGAACAGTGAGGAGGATGCTTTTGCCCTTGAGGCCTACTTTCCAAGCGGATGTTCTGGGATCGCAATCGCTTCAATTTACTCCCGGACCGGAAATCGGTTGTTAGGTGGGTCACTTGCGTCTGCCCTTGGACCTTCCGATCATACTGTGAGAATGTGATCTTCATTTCCATCGTTACAAGATGGCAATTGTGCAGGAACTTGCTGAAAGTGACAGTTCTCGGATGAACGCTGTTTTTTTTATCGCGTTGAAGCCCATTTTCATTTGGGTGGATCGGCCAAGAAACAAAACATGCTCTACTGGGCTGTTACTAGTACTCGAGAATTGCATCAAAATCAAAGGCCTTTGCATGCACCTAAATTCAAAGTGTGGTGGCGTCATCCTCAGCTAGAATTATTGGTCGGACTGGTATTTAAACATGTTACAGGAATGTTTTTTCCACGGCTAGATGAGTTGGTTTTAGGGGACATTTGGTTCCAACGAGACGGTGCAATATGACACACACATCAAGAGCATCGATGGCTGTTCTGAGGCGATTTGGAGTGGCCAGCTCACTCTCCCGATTTGGCCCCTTGTGATTTTTTCTATGGCGTTTTATGAAATTCTGTGATTATTTGAACCGTCCAAGGGCCCCATCAGATGTAAAGACCAAAATTCAGGAAAAAATTGCAATTATAACGCCTGCTATGCTGGCAAGAGTCATGACGAACGCCAGAATTCGGTTTACTCAGTGTATGGAGAATGGACGACGTCACCTATCTTATTTTATCTTCAAACCGTGTAAAACAAAACTACATTATAAAAAACAGATCAAAATGTTCCGATTCATAAAATGGGTTTTATTGAGCTTTGAAAAAGCAGTTATGTTGCTGTACCCTTTATATGGTATGGTACAGCATAAAAACCGCAGAATCATACCACTTAAAATGTCTATAAAATCGTCACAGTGGAACAAATGTTTAGCGACAGTGACTGTAGAAAGCACGTAAAGCAATATAACCGAATATTTTGATACCCTACTATGTCTTGACGTTCAATGTTCTGGACTTTTGGTATCACTAGTCCACTAACGATACATCTTATCAATGCAAATGTTGACGTAGGTCCTCTTACTGAAATTTGTTCAAAAAATGGCGCTTTGGAGACCATTTAATTTGAGTCAAAGAAAATTTTAGGACAACTGGAACTATTTTTTGACATCAGTACACTATTACTGTTTCAACTATGAATCGAAATACTACTATATTGGTCACTGTTATAGAACTGTGTGGTTACCGCAGCTCTTTTAGAATATCGACAGTTATTATCTCACTGTTTTTGTGTGGTAGCATTGCCCTTAGTTGTGTTGTTGACCATCGAGCATCATTTACAACATTTCTCATTATTTTTTTTACAGGCTATTCGCTTGATCCAAGCTTGCGTGGATGTGCTCAGTTCAAATGGTTGGCTGTCACCAGCTGTTGCTGCCATGGAACTTGCACAGATGGCAACGCAAGCCATGTGGAGTAAAGATTCGTACCTGAAGCAGTTGCCTCACTTTACTAATGAAATCATCAAGAGATGCGCTGATAAAGTAAGTTTTTCGCTTGTTCCACACCATTTTAATCCGCTCTCTCAGGTCAAATTGACAGATAGTGAACCACGGTAATCTGACAAATGTTTTGCTGGCCGATTTCGGACTTTTTAACTATTCTAGCCATCCCTTGCTAGCCACCAAGTCATCTTTTTTCATTATTTAAAAAAAAAAACGTAGGTTTCGTGGGCAACATGAAAGAAATAAAAAGTACAAAGCTTCTTCTACCTCTGGATGTTCAGCTCTCTTGAGTATCTGTCTTTTGCCTGGCCCACAGTCAGTAGTTGACACACTGGTTTCAATCTTCTCGTAGTCAATGTCAAAAATTGTAGATCAACCTGCACCGTATTCACTTGCTAAACTGCTGAGGGATTTATTACGATGTAAGCGATCCAGAATATCATCTTTTTCTTTGATTGTCAATGTTTTGTGCTTTCGCTTTTGTGAAGATATTAGGTGCATGTCCAATCATGCATTATATTAAGGAAGATTTGCCAAAATTTTCGACAGTGTCGGATTACAAGGGCCGCCGGATTACCGCCGGTCCACTGTATTTGCTTTAACATTCTCAAACTCTCTTTATTTTTTTCTAAATCTCCTTTTGAATCAACCACTCTTACGTAAATTATTTTGATCTTTGTAGCGTGTCGAAACTGTGTTTGACATAATGGAACTAGAAGATGAAGACAGAAGCAAGCTACTCCAGCTTACTGACAGTCAAATGGCAGACGTCGCTCGATTCTGCAACCGTTATCCCAATATCGAACTGACATATGAGGTGATGGACAAGGACCAAATACATTCTGGATCATCAGTCCATGTAGCAGTTCAGTTGGAAAGAGAGGATGAAGTTAGCGGTCCTGTTATTGCACCGTTCTTCCCACAGGTGAGTGTTTCTGTTTTTTTTTTTTGAATGAAATGAACGGCTCTTTGGTACAGGGTGTCCAGTGGAAAAGTTCACATTTCAAATTTGAATTACGCGGTAACCGTATACGCGAGGAAGTGGGGAGAGGTCTTGATCGGCGTGTTCGGCGTGCAAGTTAAATAGACACAATGGAACGTTGGACCGGAGCGCAACGTGCTTTTACTATCGAGGCTTACTTTGAGAGTGGTGATTCATATGCAGCTGCCCTTCGGAAATTTTGTACACTATACAACATTTGCCGACCAAGGCTCTCCTCTTAGTCAACTCATTCCTGGCTCCACAACTACTGTATCAACCGAAGAAAATGTGCGTTGAGTAAGTGATTCGGTCATTGCAAATCCTAGGCGTTCCGCTGCTTTGTGAATTCGTAGGTCAACACTGCATGGCATAATGAAGAAAAAAAAAGGGTTTTTATCCTTATAAAATCCAATCAGTCCATGCTTTAAAGGAAATAAGTAATTACTTATCACGGAAATCTTGTGCTGAACAGATGTTGAGTCTTTTTCCTATGCGGCGCGACAGTCAATTCCGAGCGATACTAGGACATGGGTTCGAACCGTTCGTGCAGCTCCTGGTGGTCTTTTGTTGATCAGTAACACCACGTGTGCGAAGTGATTGAACCCAACGAAGAATTGTGTTTCGAGAAGGAACAGCTCGGTTCCGAATATTGAATATTGAAGTGGCGACGAAACTCGCGCTATACAGCCGTGATAGACTCATTATGTCGGACAAAACTGTCGTACGCGAAAAAAGCCGTGCTCTACCATCCACTGCTTCATAATGTCTACTGGTAAAAATGCTAGGAACGCCTGAGTCGAACGGCACTCTCCCCATCATTCTCACCCGAATAGTTGGAGAGAACTAGCCATTTCAAATACATCCGTCCTTTGTGCCGGACCCTGTATTATAGATATTTCCATCCCCGAATTTCACTTTGCGTAATCACATTTTTTTTCTGAAAAACTACGGATTCGGAGCACAACCAACCCCTTATGCTTCATGAAAACGAATTACATGTATAAAGCAACAAGGGTGGCTCCGGAGAGGGTAATAGAGGCAGACCGCAACGTTGCGAAGTTTAGTACTTCGTGGCATGTTAGGTATAGGTAGCTATGGTTTTAGACAATTTTGAATTTGTATGTGGTTTAGACATATAGTAATTATATCAGGTGAAGACACTTCGTGGTTGATCCCATTGATCTTGGGAGTCATCTGCATAGGGAAGCCGATCGTAATTTTTTTGTTATATCATCACACCCTGATATGATATGATTCAAACTTGACTGATTAGCATCAACATACTTTTACTAGTTTTTTAAGATTCCATTTGAGTTCGCTTTGTAACCAAAACATTGCGGCCGGCTCTTAGACTATTACTGGTTTACAAATAAAAACATCCATATATGTGGTCTGGCCAAGCTGCCATAAAATATTTATATATATATATATAACAAAAATAGGAAAATAATGGGCAAAATCCGCAAAAAGTGGATTTGAGCAGAATAGGATAGGTAACCCGAGCGATACGTATTTCTGCTGGTTGGCTTCATCAGGCCCGAAATGAATGCACATATGCAACTACAAAAGTAGAGAAACATGTCCATACATCCGGATACGGGTGTAACCTGAGGAAACAAAGATGGAGAGGAAAAAAAAGACACACGAAGTCCACAACAAGAGCCAACCTACACATTGTAGTATAAAATGGCTAGAAGACCTAGAATTTTCAAGGCGACAAATAACCACAACCACGCGGCCGGTTATAGCCACTTGCTGTGGTACTTCAAGCCCAAAGGCTCTACAAAGAGTAAATTATCATGCGGAGAAAGGTATATAACAAAAATAGGAAAATAATGGGCAAAATCCGCAAAAAGTGGATTTGAGCAGAATAGGATAGGTAACCCGAGCGATACGTATTTCTGCTGGTTGGCTTCATCAGGCCCGAAATGAATGCACATATGCAACTACAAAAGTAGAGACACATGCCCATACATCCATCCTTCCTCTCCATCTTTGTTTCCTCAGGTTACACCCGTATCCGGATGTATGGGCATGTGTCTCTACTTTTGTAGTTGCATATGTGCATTCATTTCGGGCCTGATGAAGCCAACCAGCAGAAATACGTATCGCTCGAGTTACCTATCCTATTCTGCTCAAATCCACTTTTTGCGGATTTTGCCCATTATTTTCCTATTTTTGTTATATACCTTTCTTCGCATGATAATTTACTCTATATATATATTGGCGGTTACGTCAAAAAGTCAGAGCAAAAAGTGCGTCAACTTCAAGTTATGCTAAATGAATTCATCCAAAAAGCATTATCTATCTGGCAACAACGCATTAAATGAGAGCACCCGTGTTTAGACGCCGTCAGCTGTTTTGTGGACGCCATGTTCTTGAAGTCATCTCTTATCTCTCTCAAATTTTATTTGCCTTGTCTCTCTTCCCTTTGCATAACTACTCTTTGGTTTAATGTGACGACCTCGTTTTCCTTAGAAATTGAGCATCACAGTTATACATGATCCTTTTTTGTTTCAGAAACGTGAGGAAGGTTGGTGGGTGGTGATCGGTGATGCAAAGACAAATTCTCTACTATCCATCAAAAGGCTAACGCTACAACAGAAAGCTCGCGTAAAGTTGGACTTTGTTGCACCAAGTCCCGGCCATCATAACTATGCCCTGTACTTCATGAGTGATGCTTATTCAGGATGTGATCAGGAATATAAATTCTCTATAGATGTAGGTGACTTTGAGTCTAGTGCGAGCGATTCTGAGTAATGTAAGGGATGTGATGTTCTTTTTTTATTTGTATTACGGTTGATGTAATATATAGATATGATAGTAATACATTAGTTTTTTTTATAATATACATGGACCATATAGTGTACTCATATGCAAATCGCTATTTTAATAGCATCAGCTGATTCCACAGTAATTGATTGAATGAGACAAAGATGTGCAGTGATTTTTTAATCTATAAAAACAAGTATGGTGTAAAAAACTATAAATCTTTTCGATATTTCCTTTACAATAAATTAATAGCTTATACAATACAAAAATAATATCTTATACCACAAAGCATATAAAGGCAGTGCTCGTTACAGCTAACAACAGATTTGCGATGAGGCTTCTACTCCCATTTTCTGGAATATACTTAGTTTTATCCATCATCCAATAGAAACCATGCATCCGGTTCTGTCTCTTCAATTCTGCTCCTACATGCTGTCGAATTTGTTCATTGTATTTGTTCAGCCATCTTCTCTGTAAGAGAGTAACACCTTTCTTGAGTACAGCTTTACACTTACTAGCTAAGCACTTTGTAATTTAGCTTCCCTTTTAATCACAAAATATACAAAAAATGACAAGCAGTTTGACTATGTACTTCTCACGCAACGCCGTCATCAGTTCATAAAGGATTGTGTTCAGCTCATGTTAGACCCTCTGGGTAACATACACATTAAATGGATCAAGTCAGTCAAACAGGCCCACACAATTAGTACATAGAAATTCCCTGCCCTACTGATAGTCCATCTGGTAACGTCGCCTTTCCCCGAAACCGGACGGCACAACGCGGCAGTAAGGCCAGAACACCAAGGCCGGCACGCTCGCCGGTGATTCCAGACAGCAGAAGCAGTGCGCGTATCGAAAGCATTTCTCAATCATTCTGCTTTAAGGGGATATGTGAAATATGACTAAGATGTGCGTAGAACTACCGAGGTTGGGAGCGTATAAATATACTATAATCAAGAGACAACACTCCCCCATCCCTATACAACCCCTAACCCCTCAATGCTTTACCCCTAAAATTTTGTTCAACAATGATCAGAATTCCCTGAAACGTCAAAATACGAAGTTTGAGTGATTTTTATTCCTTTCGTTTTTGGCTTTTTTCTCCGCAGCCGATTTTTCAAAAACTAGAAAGCCCCTTCGTTGCTGGCATAGCAATATCCTTGTATGGAAGTTTCATCAAATTCCAACCTTTACTTTCAATTTTATTATTAGAGAGCAGACCGACGGAAACGAGTACGAGGGCGGTCCGATAAGTACTTAGCCTACAATTTTTTTTTAAAATGGCGATTTATTTCTCAACATAGTCTACTTTTAGCTCAATAAACTTCAACTAGCGATGCTGCAACTTTTTCAAACTCGTCTGAAAAATACGTTTTCTGGAGGTCTGCAAAGTAGGACTCCGTGGCGGCGATAATCTCCTCATTCGACTCAAGTTTCTGTCCGGCGAGTGACTCTTTCAAGTTTGGAAACAAACAAAAGTCGCACGGTGCCAAATCTGGAGACTACGGTGGACGAGGCAGCAGTTCGTAGCTTAATTTGACCATTTTGGCAATGGCGACGGCGGAGGTATGAGCCAGTACATTGCCATGGTCGAAGAGCACCTTTTTCGTCGCTAAATGGGGCCGTTTTTTCTGCAGTTCGGCGTCGAATCGGCCCAATAATTCGGCATAGTTGATTAAGCCCTTCTCCAGGTAGTCGATGTAGATTACACATTGTGAATCCCAGTGTCGACTGTTCCTTGGTCTGTGGTGTGTACCAGTGGATCCATGTTTCATCGACTGTCACGAAACGATGCAGAAACTCCTTCGGATTGTTCTTAAACAGCGCCAAACACTGCTCTGAAGTGGACTCACGATTCCGCTTGATGACGGAGTGAGCTAAGGAGGTACCCATCGTGGATTTTTGTCACGTTATCCTCCGTGGTAGCCGTTTTCGGGCCACCTGGGCGTGGCTCATCAAAAACCGACGTGCGACTACGTGGAATCCCGTTAAACCAGTTTTTTACATCAAAAACAAGAATTGAATCACCGACCGGTATTGCTCTTTTTCCATTTTTTCTAAAATCCGTGGACAGGCCCGCTTCCACAAGCGGTCAAAAAAACTCATTTTTGAAATTTTCCGCTATTACAATACTTCCTCTCCGGTAGGCGTGGAAAGTAAAACTAGTAAAATTTTTGTTGGGTCTGCAAGTTGCATTGACTTCAATTTTATAAGCTTCATTTGAGCTTTGCATTTTATTTATTCAAGAGAGCTTCAGATACCAGAATCAAAGCTACGAGGTAAAATAAAAAAAGGTATTTTGTACCACTAACCTGATGAGGTGAAAGCAACTCCAGTTTGATCAAGTTTGGTTCAAATGGAACCAAGGTTATCACTTTAAATCCAAGGAATGCATGTCCTCCATGATTTAACCATGGCTTATCAACAACTTGTAGTATGTTTTCCAGCTTTATTCCAAACTGCCCGTCTCTGTAATATCCAGGCTCTAAAATAGATAAAAAAATAAAATCTGAATGATGTTGCATATAGCAAATCTTTATTCTCAAATATCCCTTCCCTCTCGCATTGACTTAATAACGTAGAAAATATAAAAGTAACATTATTTGTTGACTCACCATTTGAGAGGAAGTATCCGGGTTTGAATGTTTGTTCCGAACTGACTTTAGAATTAAAGTTGATTTTGATCGGAGCTGGAAATAAAACAAATAAATCACGTACATATTTGATGGGTTTTTGTCGAAATTGCAGATATGCACGAATATTCTAATATTATCTTTAATTTATAAAACATTTCGATTTTCATAGTTGATCGTTATGTAAGTTAGTCTAGATATTTTCCTCGACGTTGGAAATTGGGTGAAATGATATTCTCCATAAATGTGGTAAAGTTCCTAGACTACCAGAATCATACAGGCCAATTACTTTGAACAAAGGCACCACATACAGGGTGGCCCATCGAAAACGAAACACGCATTTACTGGCAGCTCAGTTTTTTTTTTTGAAAAACGCTCAGACCCGTCGATTTTGTTTTCGAGGGGGATACAAGTTTGGCAAAAAATCACGTTAGCAAATCTTAAATGGAAAGGGGGGTCGCGTGATACCTAATTTTAAAGGTCTTTCAATTCCCTTTATAATGATATAAAATTAATGTACTTCAGTTCAGTAGTTTTGAAGATTTATTGATTTAAAGCTTAAATAAAACTAATACATCATCATTAGTGGAGGTCAATACATTTGGCAGCAAAGTAATTTAAAAATGAAGAATGAACAGACCCGTTAGGCAAGTAAATGTTGAAAATGACTCTCAGTGCAATAATAAAGATTTTGCTCAAACCGTTGCCGCAAATTTTGCAATATTTGAGGAGTAATTTGAACGCACTCATTCACATTTCTTTGTCACAGGTCTTCTAATGATATTGGGTGAGTAGCATAGATTTTGCTTTTTAAATGACCCCACATAAAGATATAAAAAGGTGATAAATCTGGCGATCTTGGGGGCCATTCAATGGCACCTCTTCTACCAATCCATCGATCTGGAAACGTCTGATCTAAATATTGTCGAACACGTAATGCGTAATGTGGTGGGGCACCATCCTGTTGGAACATCAACCTATTGGCAATGTACCGCCGATCATTCTGATTTTCAATTATGGCTGTTAATGCAGGATCTATGGCGTCTTCCAGTAATTCCAAATACATTTTGCCGGTCAAATTTCCAGGTAAGAAAAAGGGACCAACTAAATGATCGCCAAAAATACCAGCCTAAACATTTAATTTTTGTGGCTGCTGTGTATGAACCTCATGATAAATTCTGGGATTAGAATCGGACCAATATCGGCAGTTCTGACGATTTACTACGCCATTTAAGAAAAAGGAACATTCGTTGGAAAAGCAAGTGTTGAATAGAACATGTTCATCGTTTATAATTCGTTCACTCATATCTTCACAAAATTGTAATCGCCGATCAAAATCGTGATCATTAAGTTCTTGTACCAGGTGAATTTTATACGGATGAAAACTATGGGCCTTCAGAATCCGTTGGACAGTACGTCGACTAACACCACACACAGTGTGCAATTTGCGGGTACTTAACGTAGGATCTACATAAACTTCACCTAAAACCCCCACTTCTATTGCTTCGTTCCTTATGGGATTTTTTATTGGCGACTGACCCAGTTTCCTGAAATTTAGCTACAAGTTCTAGAACATATTTTCGATGCACGTTACTGTTCTCATGTAGCTCATTAAATATTTCTGCTCTTCGTGATTTTTTGCCAAACTTGTGTCCCCCTCGAAAACAAAATCGACGGGTCTGAGCGTTTTTCCAAAAAAAAACTGGGCTGCCAGTAAATGCGTCTGTTTCGGTTTCGATGCGCCACCCTGTATATTATATTCTATATAAAATAAAGGTTACTAATTTATTTATTTATGTAAATTCAAATGGCGTTGCCATATTATTATAGGAAGGTTGCTCACATTCTCTAACGCCCAAAAACGATCCAACGCCATGACCAGTGTCTTGGAAATAGTCCATTCCAACTTCCCACAAAGCTGATCTGGCCACAACATCGACCATTGCCATTTTCAAACGGCTGGGGAATGTCAACATAGACAGCTGGATCATTCCTGATAGCACCCTTGTATAAGCTTCTTTCACGTCGTCAGATGGAGAACCAAAGTGCAGTGTTCTGGTAATGTCCGTTGTGCCACCTGTAAATACATGTTCTAAGCTTAAAAGTTTTAGCTCCCAACCAAAACGATATATGAGGTTCTAAATCCAAGAATGAATAAAAATAGTTCAAACTACTGATTTGTACACAGTGCCAGTTTGCTGACAATCAGCAAACTGATAGTCGGCGACAAATCATGGTCGCGAAGCTTTAAAATGCATGCAAGAGATGATTTGCATACATGTGGCTGAATTTCGTTGGGCCGCCGTTGAATTTTCTCTTTCAATGTACGTTTGTCCAATGGTGTTAAATCAGTTGATCTAGGGAGCCAATTCTGTATGGCATGTGTCACGGCACTGTTGAAACCTCACGTTATTCACCTGAATGTTATCCGATCCATACGAATGAGAATACAAGACCAAGAAATGTCTCATGCAGTAATTGAATTATTTCACGAGATCTGGCACCGTTTTCTTAAAATGCATGCGTTACCAATTTTGTTCAATTTAAACAGACAGTCGTGGATTGAGGTAAGAAATCTAACGTATCAACGAACATTATTTATGCAAAGTGGCAATGGAAATTTTCAATAACTCCACTTTCAATACTAATAATAAAAAATATGATATTTGAATGTTTCCTCCATTTTATAAATTTAAATAATGAATTGACACACAAAACAGACGCCATCAAATATTTACCATTGATCACAAATAAAATTTTTCTAATCATGTAGACCGATTGCATGCTTAACTGGCAAATATTTCCTGCATTATAAGAACAATTAGTTACAACGTAGGGAAAAGCAAAGCCTTAAGCAGATACTTTGCATTAGAAAGTAGATTGAGATAGAGCATTCTTTTGATGTGCCTGCTCACAATTTTTTTTAATACAGTACTTATTCTACAAGATAAACTATTAGATATAGAACTGAAAGCAATCCTAGAGATACATGCAGGTATTTATTTCTAAATCTTAAAATAATGACTGAAAATAAATGTAAACTCAAAACATTAAATGTGTTACGACATTAGACGAAAACAAGATCTTAAATCATTAGTACCTAAATCAACAGATCAACAGTTGTGAAAGAGTTCATAATTCATAATGGACTACGTTCCTGATGTTATCAAAAAAATCAATAATTTAAAGCATTCTGCCGTGAACGTAAAAACTAATATGTAAGCTTTATTATACCATGTGTGAGTTCTATAATTCATGTTCACATGTAATTTTCTTTTTAGTTTTAAGTAAGCTTTATCATTAATAATTATAAATATGCTTAATTGTTTGAACAATATACTCATTCTTATATTCTTCAGATAATAAAGCATATTCATCTATCTGTCTCATAACCCTATACTGTATACTGTGTATAAAAAATAAAATTCTAAAGAAGAAAAAGTGCGTTATATATTTGATTCAAATCTGAATTTTGGGACATTATAGATGAATGATGATATTGAGAATTAACTCGTGAAAGGATCAAAGCCTTTTCAGTTATGTGCCAGCCTTTTAGGGATATCTGCGGAAAGTTGGAAATACGTGAGAAGTGGATTGCGAAGGTAAGTTCCATATTCATCAGATGTGGGAGCTGCTTAAGGGACCGGTACAAAATAAGATCATTTTAATCGCTGCAAAATAAACGTAAGGGTTCTGGTTGGAATTTGAACTGGTATCTGTTAAACAGATTGGAATCATTGCCATATTCAACTTTGGCGAGATGGCCTAGCGTGGATAGAGTTATAGGTATCTCTTGAACACCAGAATGTCTTCAATTTTCTCATTCTTGAAGTAAAATCAATTGTATTAGTATTGATTAACGTATTCTACCTGGTATTACGTATGCCGAGTATTCCACGAATTATATTCAAATAATATATAGTCAGTTATGTCAACACACGTCTTTAACAACACACTGATCAAACATTGCATAGCAAATATGTTTATTTTATACAAGATTATAATCATAATTGAAGAGTATCGTTTGGCTCAGTGATTTTATTATACTATACAATATAAGTTTTACGTCTCAAAATATTGGTATAGTAAGTTGTTTCAATTTTTACGTCCTTGCTGAATATTTAACAATATGCATAATATCTCTATTGACGTATAGTAATCCGTAAACCATTCCTTAGAATTTTTGCAATTCGGGTTCAAATGATCACGCTATAAACAAAACTGAAATGTAAAGTAAATCCATATCTACTCGTATATCCTATTGAAATCAATTTTAAAACAGCAGGTAACAATTATTCAAATCCTACTTCCTGCATGTCTTCTTCCTCTTTCTAGGCCGTCTACATTACAGATGGTCATTACACGAATTGTGTTGACTAGACCTTAAGCAGCAATATCACTTACCAAAGTATTGCCCTCCTGAGTCCAAAACGATTGTGCTGTTTGTGAAAATTTGGGTATTTGTATTTATAGTAGGTTCATAGTTTGGGTAAGCTGAATTTTCACCAAACGCTACTACAGTCCGAAAACTGTTGCCCAGTGATAGTCTCTGTTCGTATCTGTATTCGTCCAGGATTCTGACGACGTCTAGTTCTGTGAAGTTCTCACCATCAGTTATCTAAAAAACACGATTATTCTATCAGTGATATAAAAATTCCTAAATCTTTGAAGTTCCGGTTTATTTTTGTACAGTCAAGACATTTCTTTGAAGTTTAGAGAAGGCTAGGAATTTTATTTGCATTTATATCAAGCTCAATTTTTTAAGATGTTATCAATCACAAACTCTTTGCACATCCGGGATCCTACAGTCATACTTTTTTTGAAGTCAAGTTTCATCGAGCATTTCCAAGAACGCCGATCTGTGTACCGCGTGTTTCAAACTCGAATCTCACCATTTGGATCTCAGAAACGGTAAGAGATACGAATTTTCTCAGTATACGTTATACAGGGTGTCCGCAAAGTTGGGGTTTTCCTTTTCAGAAACAACTACCCTTGAAATAACAAAGGTAATGTGTAGTGAAACGAGAGCGACCAAGTAAAAAAAATAAAGGAAAAAGTACTCACTCTCCAGTTGACGAGAAGGGCTAAGTACGTCTCTGCCTGAAATCATACCACTCCAACAGAAAATGAAATCAGCTGATGCGCTACCGAGCAGACGCAGGTAAACAAAGAAGGCAAAATGTTGCGTAAAAAGTCTAGGTATTGCATCCCGTCCAATCGATTTTGGAGAATAAATGGTCCAATGAGCATACAGTTCACCATGCCAGCCCAAACATTCACCGAAAATCTTTGTTGAAAATGTGCCCGACGGACAGCGTGCGGATTTTCTACTGACCAAACATGAGTGTTGCGAAAGTTGTTCACCCCATTAGGCGTGAACGTAGATTCGTCTGTCACCAATATGCACTTCAAAAAGTCCTGATTATTGTCATGTTGATGCAACAACCACTCACAAAACTGCAGTCTTGCTGGAAAATCGTTAGGTTGAAGGGCTTGTACACGTTGGACGTGAAACGGATACAGCCCCTCTTCACGCAGCGTTTGCCACACTTTAGTTTTTGATACTTGCACTTCTCTAGCCACGTCTCTAGTGCTTGTTGTTTTTTGAAACGCAATCGATTATACGGGTTCGTTTACCTCTACACGCCTGACCGTAACCGTCTGTTGAAGGTTGCATACTGACCTGACACCCTGACCCCGATCCAGTTCTGTCGTCGGGTTGAACTAGTGTCCTAGTACCAATTGGGGATGTCGCGAGTCGCAGCTACAGGACGGTATTCAGATATTTTTGATATTGCAGAGCCCTTTATCTCGGTTCCCTTAAGACATTGGTGTATATGGTACTAAGAAAAATTGCTTATGTTTTCAAGATCTACACGTCGTGTAAAGGAAAATCCCAACTTTGCGGACACCATGTATTTAACTGACTTTATTTGAAATATCAGATTTCAAAATAAAAAGTGCACTAACATTGCCACGTTTTCTCTTTTATAAGACTGCATACTCAGAATTTCAAATTAAAAACTATTCACCTTTTCAAACATCCAATATGGCGATCGTAAGGATAATTAAAGTTGTTGATTGAGAACAAAAGGCGGAACGTGATGAAACTGTAATTATGCCATGTGGTACAGGAAAATAAATAAAATCAGGAAAAAATAAAAACGATTTTGGGAAAATTCGGTTTCTTTCATCTCCAGAAATAGTCGGAATTGCGAAGCTTTGTAATGCTTATTTTATTAGTTAACTACATAAGTAACTTTGACTATCGAGTCAGTCTTCTTGATTTATCCACTTACCCGTTGTTCGATATACGCAAAACAGTCACACACAGCAGCAGAATCTTTCACATTGGCTTCTAGCATTCCTTTGATTTCCACCTGATTTTTCAAAGCTTTTAGATATATGATTGGAGACTGCATTGGCAATCTTCTTTCAGGATCAATGTGCTGGTAGATTGCATGGCTAGCACCTTCACTGTATACGCAGTAAGATGGCACTAGGATCTTTTTGTAGTACTGCGATTCTGTTCTTAGATCCGTCCAAATGTCATCGTAGTCTCGCAAACTGAAAGCGATTTTTTAAGTCGTATAAAGAAAGTCGAGTATCGAAAGATATAAACTTTACATGATGCTTTCGTCCGACCAAAAAGATAGACAACCATGCACAGCTGTTTCGTGTTTATTGTCTACTCATTAGCATGGTCTAGGTCTTTTGTCTCTGGACAAACGAACGAAAGCATCGGTGCGGTCTATCAAAATAAGAGCCATCAATCACACCAGAATCGACTATGCGGTTTGCGCTGTCTTATATCAACAGGTATATTTCCAGTTGAATCTTTTGATTCAGTCTTAGATGCGCACGCAATTTTTATTTAAAAAGATGTTGTGACCTTGAAGCCTCATTTGGAGTGACTTTTCAAGACTTCCTGCCTCCTGTTAATCCTGTTTAAAATCCTGTTTAAAAATGAAAATGCCCCGCATCAAGAGATTCAAAAAAAATTTCCTGTGTAAGTTTTTTATATGGCTAGAAAAGTCACTCTTCTGCGTATATTCAAATAGTTATGAATTTTTGCTTTCAAAAAAGTTTTAGGGGATGGAAATACCTTACATGGCCAATAACGCGTTAAAAAGTCGTCGAACTCTATATTTATTTATTGCCGAAAATGGGTAACACCAAATCTGAAATAATAGCAAACAGTTAAATCCTTTTTGACGCAAAAAATGCTTGCCCAAAGGTTTCTCCAAATTCCTAATTGTTACTTTTTTATAAAAATGCTCACATTTGATTTGCTGTCCAGCGACTTTGGATCAATCAAGTAGACTGGTTTGGGACTCACGCTCTTGCTGCAGTCTTCAAAGTATTAAAAAAGATACCAAATTTTCTTATACGAACAACGTAAAACAGTGTCGCCAATGGTACATCTAGTCGTACTTTTGTCTTACAAACAATAATTAGAATAAGTCGGTTGATTTTGACAGTTGTGATTAGCTAAAAATCTGAGAAATATACACTTTGACAAAAAACCTCTTTTGGACTTTGGGGGCCCACATTTTTTTCTCAAAGAAATTACCGTGACTTTAGTAACCAAGATTAAGCGTCGCTTTTAAACTGACGTATAGAAGAAGATGTGATGTTTACGAAACTGCCTGTTCAAAAGTACATTATTTCATATTACGTCTACGCACACGTTAAAGAGATGAGACTCTTCGGTATGGAATACCTCAGCGAATTCAAATGACGTCATGGGTTTGTCGGAGTACCTAACAGCTTATGTTTATTATATAAAATGTCTTTATTTTTGGTTTTATACTCAACATTTACAATGTAATATAAATATTTTCTAAAATCTAAAAACATCACCCTCAATTATCCACCTTTTAATTGTATATAAGGTAACGTTTTTCCGCATAGTTAGTATAGAAAGATCTGTCATCTCTTTTAAGACGATCTTAAGTTGTAGCAAAAGAAAGCCCAGTAGCAGCGAGCTCATACGATTGTTCAAAGTCCATGATAACTCGTGAAAACAACAATTCTCTCAAAAAATTACAATCAGAAGTTTGGAGAAAGTGTTAAGTATTTTTGATCGAATCTCTTTTTAATTTTACGCGCCACAAAGGCTTCATCTTATAGTTTGTATTTCAGATTTACTAGGTATTTTCCGGTGAAAAGTTATTGTAGAAATCGACGTCTTTTGGCGCTTTTTTGTAACAACAAATTAACCGTCACATCAAATTGTACGTGTAAGGTCTTATAATGGGTGATTTTTTTGCTAGTATCTTTTTGGCAACACTGTTTTTGACAGATGACGCGTGAATCGTGTCTTGTGTCATTGTCAAACCTGTTTAGTTTGGTCTATAATTTAACCATGAATCGACTTACGAACGAACAACGCTTGCAAATTATTGAATTTTACAATCAAAATTCATGCTCGGTTAAGAGAGTGCATCGAGCACTGCTTCCAATTTATGGGCAATTTGGTCGGCCTACTGAGGGAGCTATTCGGAAGCTTGTGACTAAATTTCGAACCCAGTTTACATTATTGGACATTAAACCACCAACACGCACACGTAGAGTGAGGACTGAAGAAAATATTGCGGCTGTATCCGCCAGTGTTAGTGATGACCGTGAAATGTCGATTCGCCGCCGTTCGCAGCAATTGGGCCTCTGTTACTCCACTACGTGGACAATTTTGCGACAGGATTTGGGTGTAAAACCTTATAAGATACAGCTGGTGCAAGAATTGCAGCCACACGACCTCCCACAACGTTTAACATTTGGTGAATGGGCGCTGGCAAAGTTGGAGGAAGATCCACATTTTTATCGAAAAATTGTGTTCAGCGACGAAGCTCATTTCTGGTTGAATAGGTACGTTAACAAGCAAAATTGCCGCATCTGGAGTGAAGACCAGCCATAAGCATTGCAAGAGCTACCAATGCATCCCGAAAAAATCACTGTTTGGTGTGGATTATGGGCCGGTGGCATCATTCAAAGACGACAATGGCCGGACCGTAAATGTGAATGGCGAGCGCTACCGAGCGATGATAACAAACTTTTTTTTGCCCAAAATGAAAGAGCTGGACTTGGCTGACATGCGGTTTCAACAAGACGGCGCCACATGCCACACCGCACACGAAACAATGGCCCTATCTCACGTTTGGGGCCCGTCAATTGGCCGCCTAGGTCGTGTGATTTAACGCCGTTGAACTATTTCTTGTGGGGCCATGTTAAGGCTAATGTCTACAGGGATAAACCAGCAACGATTGACGCACTGGAAGCCAATATTGAAGCATTTATTCGTGAGATACCGGCCGATATGTTGGAGAGAGTGTGCCAAAATTGGACCTTGCGCATGGGCCATCTAAAGCGGAGCCGCGGCCAACATTTACATGAAATAATCTTTAAACATTAAATTATATCGACCGTTATATCGACTCAAATAAAGATTTAATAGTTTTTTCAATTTTTTTGTGTTTTTCTTGAAAATCAAATCCTATACCTCTTAAGAATCACCCTATTAAAGGTATTTGCGTCTCCTGCAACTTTATATTGACCACTCATACCAATAACTCATAAGTATTTGAATACACGCGAAAAAGTGATTTTTCCAATTTTGACGTTTAATAAAAAAGCTTCCCAGAAAAACTTTTTCTATCTCTCGAAGAGGTGGCTTTTCGGTTACATTAAAGTATATAATTCCGTTGTAAAACAGGTGTTGTCAAAATATGGCCTATTTTTGCTAGTTTATTCAATTCATGTAAGAAACGAAATTTCGTCTACAGGGTGATCCAGAAGTCGAAAACGGGGGATAGGCCAAGTCGTAATAATTATTAGAAAAATATAAACAATCTAAATCTTGTAGTTTTCAAATTGTAGGCTTTAAAAAAACGGAAAAATCTACACCCTGTGATGATTTTTTAGTTCCCATTACTACAAATTTAAATTTTTCCTTGGACGAAGTGAAGAACACGACTTAGATTTTAACTAAGAGCTAATGTCAACCGGATTGCCCTGACGAACAACGAGGAATAGTAGTACGACGTCTGAGACACTCTGTATATTTCCGTTGTAATACAGTTTTGTCTAAAACAAGGGCTGGTTAGCTTGGTTTATTCAATTTATGTAAGAAACGAAATTTTGTCTATATCTCAGTTGTCCAACACATTTTGAAATTAGATATAAGTACTGAGAAAATTTTAAACCCTGATTCTGAATATAACCTTGAAAAAAATGCCAACTGTCGCGTAGCACTTTTTGAGTATAAACATGGGCCTTCTGTTGTCTACTGTTGATCTCAGTCATTAATAGCCCTTGCTTAGCTTTTAAAAACGTTCAAAGTAAAATATCCACTTTCATTCCCCGTAGCTAAAAACAAAAAAGAACGACCTCTGCAAAAACTGGCATACATACGTAATCCACCCAAGAAAGAGGTTTGTTTTGGAACTGCAGGTACACGATAGCTCTTGAAAATGCCTTCAATAGTATCTATACCTTGAACATTTTTGACGTTAACCTAATGCACGAGCTTCTTACAATTAACTCCACGTATCGAAATGCCAGGAAAGTGTTTCGCTGTCCAAGAAAAACCGGCTATCTTGATTCTAAATCTGACAGTCCACTTACTGTTACTTACTACACGGAGTCGCTTTTGACGATCCTGGAACCTATTCCCAAGTGGCTCCTGACTGTACCATTCAACTGGCTGGAGTTTACGTACAAAAAGACCTTTTGCATGTCAAGTACGACGTAACTTCGTAAATACGGGGAATTAGGTACGTCCCTGCCTCTGATGTTCAGCATCCATGCTATCTCGTCTAAAGCTGTGACCACCATCGCGTCTGCACCAACTTTTCTTAGTTCGGATCGCACTTCTTCCACTTTGGTTGTGTAGTTCTTACCTGCAATACTTTAGGATATTTCAGAAGAATATCTACATCAAAATAATAATCGTTTTATTGGTTAACCAGTTTACTTGACTCCTGATGGTATTCTAACAGCAACCATATACAGGGTGTCCCGAAAAAAGTGTGCGATATTCTACCAGCGGTTTCTAGAGCTTAAAATAGGAAGAAAAGTTTATATAAATATAGGTCGACAAACGTCTCCTAAGATCGCTACGGTCTTTTAAAGGGGTTCCCCTGAAGATGGTTTTTCCTTAATATATATTTCAGAAACGTGTTGAGATAAAGACATACAATTTGGTATTCTAGCCTAGTTTTTTATGCTGGATTTAAAAATAATAACAATTTTAGACAGTTTTGTTTGGAAGCGTATGTAACAGGGACGGACTCAGGTTATTTTGGCCCCAAAATTTTTATGTGATTCTATTTTTGAAATTTGAGAATTTGGAATTTGGAAATTTAGGGTTTTCTACATAAAAAAGGTACTCCTATTGAATATCGATAAATTGTGCCATTTTTGAATAAAATCAAACTAAAAAATTTGTCACATGATAGGAAATGTACTGCGAATTTAAATGAATTGTTGAACAATTAGCGATGGCAACTAATAAACTAATTTAATAATTGGTAAATAATACATAAATACATATTTCTATTGCAACATAGCTAACATTTGGGCAAAAACAAAAGAAATAAATTTTTTCTACGAACGAAATTGAAATTTGTTTAAAAGAGAAGACATACAGTTGGATATACTTGAAACTAGCTTTACAATAAGTGTACAAATAAATTCCCATTTTGTTGGATACAGAATCTCGCTCGACGAACTAATGATTGCGTAGCCCGAAAAGTAGAAAACCTTTTTCTTCTTATTTCATTTGCAGCCTGATGGGTTCTTTGAAGTAAATCTTCTTGAGTATTTACTTCACTCAAGTAAACTAGGTATTTCAATGACCTCCAAAAATAGAAATACAATGGATTTAGGTCCTCGGCCTAACCACCTGTCTGGAAAATTGACATTCAACCAATTTCGAACATTGCGTCCAAAATGTGCAGGGGCGCCATCATGTCGAAAAAACATATTTTCTTGAAACTGCTGACGCACATCCAATGATATTATATCCATGAGCTCATTCTGAAGAAACTTCAGATACACCTCTGAATTAAGACGATTGGGAAGTACAATAGGCCCAATTACTTGGTCCTCAATTACTCCTGCCCATAAGTTCAATGAAAATCTATGTTGGAAATTTGTACGGCGAACAACTTTTGGATTTTCATCTGACCAGTGATGCATGTTATGGAAATTAAAAGCACCATTCCTAGTACATATTGACTCATCCGACCATAATATTCTAGGAATAGCGTTTCCATTTGCTAATATCCACCGGCAAAACTCGATTCGTGGTAAAAAATCTGCATCCGTTACATGCCGCACCTGTTTTAAATGATAAGGATGTAATCCTTGCATTCTTCCCATTATTCCTATCTAAAATTATTATTTTTAGGATAACTATCAAATAGGTATTCATAAATTTTTCTTACTATTGATCGAGGTATATCCATGATTTCAGAAACATTTCGTATGCTTATTTGCGGATTATTTTCAAACATATTTAAAGCAATATCCATACGATGATTTCCCAGTGGCCTTCCTTAGCCCTGCATGCGCTGAAAACTTCCATGGTTTGACAAATTCCGGTGAATATCAGTAAACATTCGACGTCCAGGTACTATGCGATTGGGAAATCTTTGATATTCTCTTACGGCTGCCATTGAACTGCCATTGCAAAACCCGTACACAAAATGCATGTCAGTCAGTACTCTGTCTGTAAATCTTGGCATTTTAAATCGATTTAATAAAAATTTTGATTTTAATCTAGTAATTTTACACTACTAACAATGTCAGCTTAACGTCAAAATAAGTCATAACAAATCAAAACAACTTTTGTTCGCAGTCATGGCCAACTACGTGACAAATTTTTTAGTTTGATTTTATTCAAAAATCCCACAATTTATCGATATTCAATAGGAGTATCTTTTTTATGTAGAAAACCCTAAATTTTCAAATTCTAAAATTGAATTTCAAAAATAGAATCACACAAAAGTTTTGGGTCTAAAATAACCTGAGTCGGTCCCTGTTAGATACGCTTCCAAACAAAACTGTCTAAAATTGTTAATATTTTTAAATCCAGCATAAAAAACTAGGCTAGAATACCAAATTTTATGTCTTTGTCTCAACACGTTTCGGAAATATTAAGGACAAACCATCTTCAGGGGAGCCCCTTTAAAAGAGCGTAGCGCCCTTAGGCGATGTTTATGTAAACTTTTCTTCATATTTTAAGCTCTATAAACCTGGTAGAATATTGCACACTTTTTTCGGGACACCCTGTATAGCCAACAAAATAGCTCAGCAGATATAGTGATACAGACACTTATGGAATGGAAAAAATTAAAGGATCAAATAAAAATTGTAAATTTTTAGGCTGTTTATTTAGCTTTAGTGTGCTTATTTCAAAACATCGATAGGACCATTTCTTGCTCAGATATCAAACATCGTATAGAAGATCTAAGCATGGTTTCAAAAGCTGGAATTGATTTTCTAAGAAGGTCAATGAACAATTACGGAAAAACATATGGGCTGGAAAAAACAGGAAAAAGTGTATGCTTTTTTTGAACAACTAAGGGCTAAATTCCAAATATTGACAACATGGCTAATATTGAGCGAGACTCTTAGTCACTTTGATCTACCCCGACGTCTTCTTGTTTTGAACAATCAAAATTTAAAAAAAATTAATGTATCACGCTTATTGATGCTAAAATCTATAAAATAGAAAACAGTTCTTTGAGCCTTTTTTACATTTTGTAATGTAACCCTTCTTTAAGTAAAATGTAGGAAAAGCTCATAAAAATAGTTTAACATTTCAATAAACATGATCTTTTAATTTTTGCGATTCTTAAAAACAAAAAAAAAAAACGATTAGATCAAAGTGAAATTTCATAGGGTTATTGTGAGAATATCGGTCTGGAAAAATCAAACTCAACATTAGCTATCTTGTTATATATATATACAGGGTGTTTCAGTTTATTGTTGCATAACTTTAAGATCCGATAGAACTTTTAAAATTAATGCATAAAGTCTATATAAACATGGGTCGAAAAATGCGTGTCTTCCGAAATACAGGGTGTTTAAATTTTCTTTCTAAAATAGTTTTTTTTAAATATTTCGAACAATATTTGATGTATAACAGTAAAAATTGGTATACAACGGTTTTTTGGTACGACAAAACGAACCATGGGCATAGTTTTACTCTAGCCGCTAGAGGGCGCTCTCTACTGTACCTGTAATGTATTAAAATGACCGAAAAAATGTGTGCAATTTTTTGCCTTCTGAATAAAAAACTGATTCTTCGCACTTTTCAACATAAAAAATCTCTCTTGTGAATTTTCGTTATAGTTAGCCGTTTTTGAGATATTTCGATTTTGAAGGTTCGATGCATTTTTAATTATTTATGATAAAATAACGTTAAAAAGTCAGTGTCCCGATAATTTTTAGAAATAGGCTGTGCCTGCAAATATTTTTGAAATTGAAAGCAGAATAAGGTTAAACGTCAATTAGTTGACAGTTAGTTTTGTTGTCTGTTGAAACCTGAAACGTTTTTTTGCAATTGTGATTGCACGAAATTTAGTTTCTTTTACCTGTTTTTTTTTTGTAAGTTTTATAAAAATGCCATTTTTATTCTCCAATCAAGAGTTAGCGGATATTCATTTTGTGTATGGCTTTGTAATTGGAAACGCAGCAGAAACAGCCAGAGAATACGCACGAAGATTTCCAAACAGACGACATCCAACTCGCTCAGTATTTATAAGAGTGCATCGCCAAATAATTGAAAATGGTTTTGGAAATCTCCAAAGGGATCAAAACATAAATGTTCGTCAGCGCAGATTTACCCGTATGATTCTGCGTGAGTTTGATAGAGATCCGACCACAAGTGTTAGGAGAGTTTCTGGTGCCTTGGGACTTTCAGCAAGCCATGTTCACCATGTTCTTAGAAATGACCATAGACGTCCTTACCATTTGCAACCTGTGCAAAGACTACAGCCAGGGGACGGAGAACGAAGAATCACATTTTGTCAGTGGATTCTTGATAGAACTGATAATAATAGGGAGTTTTTAAGTAACGTTTTATGGACCGATGAGTCATGCTTCACTAGACGTGGAGTGGTAAATTTTCATAATCAGCATATTTGGTCGCATGAAAATCCGCATGCAGTTCGGGAAAGAAATTTTCAGCATGAATTTAGTGTGAACGTGTGGATTGGTATCTACCGTAATCGACTATTTGGACCCTACCTTTTGCCTGCAAGGTAAAATGCTGCGACCTTCTTGGAATTTTTAAAGGCTGAACATGCAAATATGTGGGATGATGTTATGCTAGATTTAAGAAGATTGGCCTGGTTCCAGCTTGATGGTTGTCCAGCTCATTATTCGAGAATAGTTAGAAACTGGCGAGACGAAAATTATCCAGAAAGATGGATTGGCCGTGGAGGACCAGTCGCCTGGCCTCCACGATCCCCTGACCTAAATCCATTAGATTTCTTTGTGTGGGGATTTCTAAAAGAAAAAGTGTACCAGACTACCGTAACCACAAGAGATATGCTAATAGACAGAATCAGGAATGCATGTGATGAAATACGGCCTTATTTGATTAATGCTATACCACGTTCGATCATTCGTAGATGTGAATTGTGTATTGAACAATTGGGTTTACATTTCGAGCAACTACTTTAGATTGTGTATGTATGTCCTAACTATCCAATAGCATTTTAGTTGTAAATAATTAATTTAATTTGTTAAAAATAATGTTGGTAAATTAAACAAATTAATATTCTGTTTTTTGTGTTTATTTGGAGTTAGGAATTATTGCTGTGTTTAAAAACACAATCTAAACGATCATCTTAATTACTTGTAATGCCCAAATCAAAAAGGTAAAAAAAATATTATTTTCCCATAAATAATTAAAAATGCGAACCTTAAAAATCGAAATATCTCAAAAATGGCTAACTATAACGAAAACTCACAGGAGAGCTTTTTTATGTTGAAAAGTGCGAAGAATCAGTTTTTTTATTCAAAAAGCAAAAAATTGCACAAAGAAAAAATTTTCGGTCATTTTAATACACTACAGGTACAGTAGAGAGCGCCCTCTAGCGGCTACACTAAAACTATGCCCATGGTTCGTTTTGTCGTACCAAAAAACCCTTGTATACCAATTTTCACTGTTATACATAAAATATTGTTCGAAATATTTAAAAAAAACTATTTTAGAAAGTAAATTTAAACACCCTGTATTTCGGAAGCCACGCATTTTTCGACCCATGTTTATATAGACTTTATGCATTAATTTTAAAAGTTCTATCGAATCTTAAAGTTATGCAACAATAAACTGAAACACCCTGTATATATATGTATATATATATATATATATATATATATATATAAATGTTTTTTTATCCATAAACGATCATTGATCGTTTTAGAGAATCCTGTCCAACTATTTTTGATTGTCTGTAGGATGATTGGTTCCTGAGATAACGATGATCAAAGCCAAAAGGATCATTTTCATAAGAAATCGAGTACTCAGCAACAAATTCACAATTTTTTCCTTCAAACTATTTCCTAGAATTGCGTGCCTCCTGCATAGAGTTTCGGTGCTTTCATTCGTTGTCTCAGAGACCAGAGACTAAGCCTAGACCATGCTGATGAGTAGACAAACAGTAAGAAACAGCTGTTTAGTTTGTTTAATGGCAAGTAGACCACATTCAGTATACAGCCAGAATCGTCAGCCATCTAGCGGTTACATGGTGACTATTAATCGCGAACCGGGTCTTTACAGTTCCAACAAATAACTGCAGTGGGCAAGTTTGGTGATAGATGGCGCTTTAGACAGCGCCTCATGGATTGAGGGTAGTTGTACTTGAAAAAGGCCATCGTTGTGGCCGAAATGGTGTCATCAGTAAACAGTATGTGGTTTCATTTAGCAGCTATACAAACATGGAGAATTATCAACATGAAAACCACAGGATAAGTTTCAGTTGTTACATTAACAATACTGATATTCATGAGAACACGATATACCCTCACATCTGTGCATATTTTTAACTAGTAAAATGCTCTCTAGTTCATTTCAGCAAACTAGTTCAATAGGTCGCGCTCACTAAAACGAACTGCGTTTAGAAACAAGTTCGCGAACGAACTATTTATTTTACACAAGAATAATGTCAGTGAAAGCGTTCCCACTCAATATTTCATCCGAAATGAACTAGAAGCCGATAAAGTTGAAAAATTAATGCCTTTGACATTAATTAATTTACATATTCATTTTAGTATTTTAATTTCTTCACGAGCCGCAATGGGTGGTCTTTTTTATGGCAGCTAGCTAATGTTTAATTTCTTCAGACCTTATAACTAATAGCATTTATCTTCTTTTCCATAACTTCCAGGCAATCAGTTATGCAACCTATTGCTTATAGTTGTGTTCCGTCTCCTTCCTCCTATCTCCTTCTCGTTCGTTCAGTCAAAACTAGTACTATTGGAACATCGGGATCCTGTAATACCAGTCATTCGTAGTGAACGAGTGAACGAGTCTTTCAAGGAATGATGAACTGGTTCACTTACTTCAATCATAAGAATTGTTGGATAGAACTAGTTCTTACGTGAACTACACACTACTATTTTTTCAACGTGTTGCTTGTTATGAACTTGTAATAAATAGCTGCGGTCATTTTTTCCAGATATCACACATTTCTTATAGAGCATCCCTTTTGATAAGTTTTCATTCATTTTCATATTCTGCTCTTACAATCACCCCCTGAACAATTATCTATAACTTCCGTCATATGGCCTGAAATAATACATTTACTAACTTGCTCAATATTTCTATACTAAGTGACATATAAATCCGAACACCCAGTTTAAATGGTTTTATTTTAATAAAATTTTGTATAAGTACTTAATGAAGCATAATAAGTAAATGATAAAGATTTCAAAATGTTTGCACTGCTTTAAAGCCCTTTGACCTTTAATAATGTGCGGATGCACCCTGATGTGCTACGCATTCTCCAACGCGCCTAGGCATACTTCTGATCAGGTGGTCAATGTCCTCCTATGGTATTTCATTCCAGGCAACCACCAACTCTTCTCGAAGTGCTTCTAGAGTCTGAGGAGGACGTTGCAAATTGAGCAATCTCCTACCCATCATATCCCACACGTGCTCAATTGGGGATAAGTCGGGAGATCTTGGTGGCCATGGTAACAATGTGACATCATTATGTTGAAAGAAGTCTATTGTGACTCTTGCAACATGTGGTCGGGCATTATCTTGTTGGAAAGTTGGATTTGCCAGGGTGTCAAGATAGGGTAAAAGATGGGGTTCTAGAACTTCGTGGATATAACGCTGCGCGTTCATGTTACCTCTGATGAAGATTAAAGGTGAACTGGAACCAAAAGCTATAGCACCCCAAACCATAACTCCAACAGTGTGATGAACATGTCTTTCAACAAAAAACTGTGGATTCCTCCTTTTACCACGTCGCCTTCTAACCCTGACACGACCATCGTGCATGCCCAAACAAAATCGAGACTCGTCACTAAAGACAATACTGTTCCATTCCTGATCCCAGAGTGACCGTTGTCTGCACCACTCAAGGCGATTACGTCGGTGTTCTCGAGTTAAAGGGAGGACCCAGTGTGGCCGGTATGAAAACAAGCCAAAACTTCTCATTCGTCGGTAAACACTTCGCATGCCAATAGGTCTTCCGTGTTCTGCAAACCATTCATTTGCAATGGACCTGGTAGTGGAGAAACGGTCCCTTAAGGCCAATAATCTTAGGCGGCGATCTTCACGGTCTGTTGTTCTACGGCGGCGTCCAGTGTCCCTTGCTCTTTGCGTACGGCCTTCTCGAAGCCATGCCTGACAACACCTAACCACAGTGTCTATACTTCTTTGCACTCTAACTGCAATTGCCCGAAAAGAAAGTCCAGCTTCCCGAAGTCCCACTATACGGCCCCTATCAAACTCACTAAGTTGACGAAATCGTACAGGTCTCTGTACTCTAGGCATCGTAACCGATCATAAAGGATGTCAAGAACCAAAATCCGCCAACGTTGATTCTTTATTGCGGCTGAAATATTCATTTTTAGAGCGTTAGTGAATTAAAAAAAAGCAGTATAAAAACCGGAATGTCCAACTGATAAGGCTGAACATTTTTTCACTTGTTATTTACAGTAAGATAAATACATTCACCAACTTTAATTAAAATAAAACCATTTAAACTGGGTGTTTGGATTTATATGTCACTTAGTATAATTTGCGAAATGGTTCCCACTAAAAATATTTATCGTTAATTTCTTGGAGAAAGGCATGGCCTGATCACGCTTGTCTCGTAAACAAAAAGCACAAGTACCTGCATATTCAATATCATAGACGAAGGCCTCTTTAACAGTCCTTGGAGGTCTCTCTTCTTCTGGCCAAATCACATCGACGAGACTGACGTTCAAGGCGACTAGTGATATCCCATGGGCAGCCAGGGACCCGTGTAGTGCGTCCCAAGTGTACCGAGAAACGATTTTTGGGTTTAGACCAACTCTGCTTCCAGCGGGGAGTTGTTCTCTCAGCCATTTGGACATGGAGGGGACTCCTCGATGACCTTCGCGGAAGAGGAGCCAGTTGCAGTCCAGCTGTTCGTCTGCCTAAAGAGATTTGTGTATTCCACAAAGCATAAATAATTTGAAAAGTTTTCGTGAATATGAAAATGTAAGCAAGGGCGGATCCAGCATTTGTGTCAACGGGGGGTCACAGGACTCATATTCAGGAGGATATTAGTGTCTCCAGTCTTATTTATTCTGGTACAGTTTTATAAATTATGGTACCGTACCCAAATACTGGATACTAGTTAGCCTGATTTGAAAATTTGTTAATTCTCATAACAGATATGTCCTCAGCGACCTGAAAAAACACGGATATATTTATGTTTCTTAAAAACGGTTGATATTATCGATATCAAACATAAATTAATTTCTTGAAACAACTGTAGGTAGCATTACAGTGATTTAGATCGAGAAGTGAACACTATCGGGGTACATCCAATTTAAAAAAATATTATGTTTAAAAAAATATTATAAAAAGGCGTAAAAATAGCAAGATATTGCGTTTAGGGCTAGTATGTTTCTGGCGAACTGAATGAGTTAATAGTGACAAATTGGTTAAGGCTTTCGCGGCCAGTTGATAAACTGCTGTCTTGATTCGGGTCTAAAGGCCGTGGTCGGTTGGAATTTCTTCCTAACGCTTCGCTAGCACGAGTGGCAAGCTTCTTCAGAGGTCCTTCCGTTTCCGATGCTGGATAGCTGGATGTAGACTGACGATTGACGATTTCACACACACACACACACACACACACACACCCTCCCAGTTTTGCCAGAGCGAAGTTTAAAATATCCGTCACACGTATCGCAACATTCCGATACATGCCGCTACGGTCTAAAAATTTAAGGGGGGGGGGGGGAGGGAGGCTTAAAATAAACAACAAATATATTTTTTACATACATTTTTTACACTGTCTAAAAACCCTACTAAAAATACAAACAGTAACATAATATAATTGCAATTTTTCGTAAAAACATATGAAGTATACCTCTAAAAAACAGAACTGTCTTTGGTTTAGAATTAGGAACTAATAAAAAAATAGAAGCTATCACCAATATCTTAATTTTTATAGAAAAAAAAATAGGACAAAGAAGAAGCGGAAACGTGGAAATGCCTACGTTTGCTTATTTTATTCACAGTCAGAATCAGAAATTACTTCTTCTTCAGCTTGTTCTTCCTTATTTACATTATATAAATTCTTTTTATATTTGTTTAAATGATTCTCATTAAAATTATAGGATAAACAGCACTGTTTTTTTGATTCCAAGTCTAATTTAATTGTAAGTAGTACAGACAAAGTTGATGGTATTATTTTATTTCTTTTTTTTGTTTTGTAATCAAGCATGAGGCAATGTTAAAATGATTAGAGCCAGTTTACCTATATTGCGAAATAAATATTCGTCATTAAAATTTCTGAGGTCGTTCACAAACGACCAAAATTCAATGACATTACTTTTTGTTTTTAAAATTTCCTCTTTCTCACTATCACTAAAATAAATACATATTTTCTTTAGTTCCAAAATTGCCTTTTCGGTTTCAATATGAAGGGCAATTTTTTTTAAAACGGCGTCATGAAAGGTATCACTTATAATAAGACGATTGTTCATCACATCAACCGGTGAGAGAAACTTTAGCTCTGAAAAGAAGTTGTCTTTGATAGGAAATCTTTTAAGGGACTCTTCTACCGATTTTTGGTAAAATGTGACACATTTTAATTTAAATTGTTCGATTGCCGTGTTATTGCAGTGTTTTATTGCATCCATTGTATGCGGACCAACAATCACTTGTTCAATTGGTAATAAGCAGTGGGGATCATTAGGATTTAGATTATATAATTTCTCATTTTTAAAATATTCTGGTCCCATAAAGTTTGTACATAGATGACGTACAAATCGCTCACTCTCTATTGATATGATATTGAGCATAACTTTCTCTGATTGAAAGAGAGCATTAAATTGGTTGAAAATGGGCAACACGAATTTAAAAAACATTAAATACGCCTTAACAAATGGATTCTGTAACTCATTAAGTATTACAGTTGCTACAGGATTTTTGTCTTCAATAGAAGCTAATCTAAATAGGCTAAGCAAGATGTCCCACTGATACAAAACTCTATCAACACATTTGGATAAAGCAAGCCACCTTGTTTTACCAGTGCTTAAAATTTTTTTAATTTAGCCTTTTTGAAATATTCCTGTAATTCTTCAAGAACACACTGCCTTTTTGGGCTTCTTGAGAAGTAAGAATATAAGTTTTGTAAAAGAGCTTCAACGTTGCTTGGAATCTTTTCAGCTGCCGCCACCGCCACTAAATGAGCAGAGTGGCAAATGCAGCAATTGACAATTATATTAGGATTATCTTTTAAAAGATAAGTTTTGAAAGATTCGTTATTGCCAATCATAACACTAGCGTTGTCGGAACAGTATCCAACAATATTGGTAATTTTTACTTGATTGGATATAACGCATTTTTTAAAAAGAGATTATAAACCTTTGGCGGTACCTTCATCTGCGTTTATTTTAATGATATCTAATAAATGGGTTTTAATTGAATTTTTATGAATATACCTTACAAGAATGCATAGTAGTCTTGTATTGCTCAGGTCTGTACTCTCATCCAATAAAATAGAAAATGGTTTATTTTCCAATTCTGAAATTTATTTCGTCTTTAATAACAGGAGCCAGCACATTTTTAATTATACTTATGCATTTGGATCTTTTTAATTTAAGTGAGGTAGAGAGATCTGGGTCTTTAAAACATAATTAACTAACTCCTGTTATATGATCAACAGTTCTAAAACTACAACTAAAAGACTATATCTTAAGCAAGCAAATATTTGCCGTTTTTCCAACTCACGTGCTTCCCGAGACTGAAAAGTGCTATCTAACGTTCTTACATTCGAAATTGCTTGTACATTAGTGGCATGCCTTTTTGATTTCGAATGATTCACTAAATCTGATTTTTTAGCACCCATTATTTGATTACAAGCATTTTGCTTTCAACTTGTCATTTTCAATAGGTCCCAACCAGCCTTTAAATAACGGATCTTCTAGCCATGATGAAGTAAACATTTGTTTTCGTGTCTTTTTCTTAACAGGTTGCTCTGGCTCTTGGTTATCCTGAGATTCGCAAGTCGAATTATCAGGCTCAGACCTGATTCCACTAGATTCCGCTCTTCTATTTTGTCTGTATTCAGGTTCGGGATGCTCCGAGTCCGACACAGATGCAGTCGAAGTGGATGGTACGGCCACGTTTGGTTTCACCGTTTGTTTTTTAGAAGGATTTTTATCAAAAAAATCGTTAATGGTCTACTGTCGCCTTTCCATTATTCCTATTTTTCAGAAGAAAAAGCGTTAAAAACAAATTTCGCGACTAAGATTTATTTCTGGATCAAACTATAATATGTTAGATATTTAAGCAGTTTTGTTACTTACCAGTAGATTTAATATTAAAATCTGCAGCAAATGATATATCAATAAAATGATCAACACAAAAATAAGAACACTAATATAAACGAAACTAAACAGTATATACCCAGAGCTGAAACATACAATACAAAGCGAGAATCCTAATATTATGTCTGCCTGCTGAGACCTGTTAGAAACGATTAGTATTGAAAGCAGTACGTACGCCATCTGTTATTGAAAAAAAAGGCAAGTGGAATAATTCTCTTCTCTGTTCCTAGATGGCTCAAGCGGCACCAAATGCACCAATTTTATTATTAATGTGATAATAAATCAGACTCTAGCCACTGACTATTCAGGATTTAGAACGTTATTAACGTTAAAACAGTGAAATAAATATGATAGTTTTGTATGTAATAAATTCCGCTACATTTTGGGCTAATTTGCTCTACCGCCGCTACGCCGCTCTTCTCAAAATAATCCGCTACAAATAGCGGAATTCCGCTACGTATGGCAACACTGCACCCTCCTACCCTGTGCGATCCCTCCACCGCCCCTGTTCCAGGCAACCTCAAACCCTTGAGGAGTGGGGGGAAGAGCAATCTGCTCCTCATTCCTCTCCCGCCCGAAGGCCTGCGTGGCGCTGCGTGGTTCAGGCCGCTGCGCATTCCCCGAGTGTGTGCTGCCGAACGAGCTAACCCCCCTCCCCAATTTTGCCCCTTTTTCCCGAAATTTGACTCGATCGCGCACGCGTCGCGGAAGCTCGTGGTGAGCGTTTCATCCAACTGTCGGTTCTCGACTTTTATGGACGGCCTCTTTCTTGGGGGTCCTGCGCTGGGAGCTTTGACCTAAGCCCCGCATTAAGGTTGGTGAGCCTTCGCTCTTTCCTCGTCGACTGGAGTCAGTCAGTCAGTCATTTGCTGTTTGTCTTCGTCTCCCGACGTTAGCCCCGAGTCCGTGCTTGACTCTGGCCACCTCAATCGACAGGCTTCTTTTTGTCCACCCGTTGTACACGGGCTGTTCTTTCCCCTCTTGGGTGTACAACTATTGTCGGTCTTCTCCACTGCTCTTTGGCCTCATCAGCTGCTAGGGCCAAATTTCTTCTGGCTTTTCGGTCTTTTATGACGCCTTATTGTTCTTGGGTCGTAATCCAGATTGACGATTTCTCTTGCGCAAGTTGTATTTATACCGGAGGGTAGGGGACGTGGCTTGTTCCGCTCCGGTTGACTTCGGGATGTCGATTGGCACTGCTCGGGTATTTCCGAGGACCGGGTGCCAGATGGGGTTGAGTCTGAGGGTCTCTTCCTTCCTATTGAAGTTATCTGGATGTTTGTGAATCTCGATAGCTTCCCTGGCCAGTCTATTGTGATAGCCGTTGACTGATGACAGCAACCTGCAGCTCCCAAAGTGTATCCTGTGGTCCCCATTGCTTAGTGCATGTTGTCCTAGCCGGCAATTTGCTTTGTGCTCCTTGAGTCTCGTTCCCATTGATCTTTTCGTGGTTCCAATGTATACTTTGCCGCATGAACACGGTATGCTCCTGCAGATGAGAGTGGGTCCTTCTTGACCTTTGCCGATCTGATGGTTTGTTGGATCTTCTTCGTAGGCTTGAAGATTGTTTTAATGTCATGTCTCTTCAGGACTCTGCCAATCCTGTCCGTGACTCTTGGCACAAATGGAAGATACGCTTGAGAGGCGGTGGGACGCGGTTCGGTTTCACGTGGCCTGGCTGGTCTCGAGCCCATTGATCTTTCGATGTCCCTCTTGCTGTAGCCATTTGCTTCGAACGCAGTTTTCAGGTGTTCAAGTTCTGTCTGGAGGTTATCCGGTTCGCAAATCCTTCGAGCTCGTTCTGTCAGGGTTCTGATGACCCCATACTTCTGACTTGGGTGATGATTGGACAAAGCGACGAAGGCCTTTAGACCCGAATCAAGACAGCAGTTGAGTTAATAGTGTTCGTGTATATTGTCGCCTTAGCTCTGACACAGCGTAACTCAAAGCTGACGAGTTTTGAAAAGAGCGAAAAAACTGCGGATCTTTGGATTCTCTATCGAATGATACGCTTACCTATCTTGACTGCGCCATTTTTTAAGTTACGCGATGTTACTGGGTGTAACACTTCTAATGTCACATTACATTTTCTCCAAGAGAAGAAGATTAATGTAACATACTATATCTTTTTGACGATTGGTTATTGCGACCCGATGTACAAATAAGCTCAGATATGACAATCTGCCAGTGTACTATTTTCAAAGTTGGTGATTTTATATTCTAGGTCTCTGAATTACTTATAAGGAGCTTCAAAATGAGGTATCGCACTATCTCTCATTATATTTAAAAAGCGTTCTAATATGGCGACCAGCCGCTATCTTGAAAATTCCAACTGCTACCTTTACGCTAAAATATCGTGTCCGTGCATCAATTTCATTACCCCCAAATTTCGGCTTGCTAACTAGATCTGTTCACAAAATTAGTAAATTTTAAAAGCTCTGAGCATGTTTAATGATTCAAGAATAATTTTATACAATTATTTATACCTGTAAATGGTAACGACCATCGGTCCAAAGAGCAGCCTTGTCAAGAGTAACCACGGCATCACCATAGCTTCCACTGAAGCCGGAAATGTATTCTCGCCGTTTTTCAAAGCCGTCTATATCGATACTCTAAAAAAAAGAGAAAATTGAAAAATTACCTCTCTCTTTCTCTCTCTATCTCATTAAAAACCAATTTCCAGTAAGAACATCCACGTGAGGTTCGGAGGTCTAGGGATTGCATTTATTCGTGTTCCTTGAGGAATGAGGGTCGTCTGATCTAGGATTTCAAATGAACAAAAACGCTTCTTCTTACGGTTTTTGGCGGTTACGCCATTTATGTCATTGGCATGTTACAATTTGATTTTTATGAAAGTCAGCTTATCTCGGTTGTCATTGAGAGTTTCAAATTTGCTGTTGGAGTCTATTATCGTCCTCCTAACAAGGATCTGTCTGCCTTCGTTCAAAATTTGGATCAAACTTTGCGGAGGAACAAAGAGGCGGAAATATTACCTGATGTTCGTCCGACGAGGTGATCAAATAAGCTTGTATAGGCAGTGTCAACAGCACAGTTTCGTCAGTCATGAGGTTCCTGAAGGCGGCAAGTCTCATTGTGGTATTGACTCTTCTTGCGGGTTGGGCGATGTGACCATATTTCGAACACGCTTTCCTTAATTCTCCTCTTTGCTTTTCCAAGTCCAAATTGAAGGTGTAGAGGCATAGTGTGGTCCTCATACCTGAAATAAAATGGTTTCACTCAAAAAGTGTGACAGTTGAAACAGCTTTTGGGGACAAATGATTAGAACAATACGCAAAACACAGACTGAATCTGTTTGTCTTCCATTTCTGAGACCATAGCCAACGGTATACAAAGTTTTTTCATGCTTTTTAGCAAACATCAGTATGGTATAGTTCTAGTCATTTGGAGAAAGATCACAAGCTAATATGGTTCACGGGCTGACTGAGAGGGGAAACGATAGCGACGCCTCCCCCTAGGAGCCCATTTTTTCGACAAATGTGTCACGGTGTAAAAATTATCTTGCTAGACCTGGATCGTGAGATGTTCAATTTTTGTATAAAATATTTTGTATTAGTTTCTGATAGTACCCTGTATAGTGGTTAACTCGTCTCGTAAACGCAGACGTTTGTAAACGCGAACTGGATTACTTGAAGGTTGTTTGTTATAATGCCATTTTGACATTTATTCAACGACTGTTGGAAGAAACGGGTGCTGAACTAACATATTGATATTCGTATTTATTAGACTGAATAGCCAACTATGGAAGAAGAAAAGCCAAAGGAAGCCCCGTATGCTGTTTCATTTCTCTCTGAAGTTCTTGGTACCATTATACTTATGTATATAGGTAAGTGCTGTGTGGATATTTAATGCAGAGTGTAATGTGATTTTTTAGTCGCGATTTAAGCGACTCTAATGATCAAGAGCTAGCGGATATCGTGGGATGATACTAAAAATCATCGCTCACATCAAATTCGAAGACATTTTATATCAATATCAATATTTACTGTAGTGGCACCATCAGTATTTAGGTCAAAACTAAAATTCCACTGCCTGACTTGGTGGGTTATATCTCAGATCGGGCTCAATTACTTTCACGGAGATTATCTATGGAGGCACAAAAGCAGTGGCGCTCCCAGGATTTCAGTCTGGGAGGGATAAATGAAAAGTAAATTCTCAGTGTGACGTACTGAAGTGTTATAATGATTTAACATTAAAAGCATGGACATATGCAGACATATGAATTTGTTACAGTAATTTCTGTAGAAAATACATTTTTTTTATTTTGAATCATACGGAATCAAAGTGTAAATACATCAAACCAAGCTCGAGCAATCTTCATATATTAAATCAAAAATGCAAAGTAATATTTATTTTTTTATTTATTTATTTGCGGTCAGTACACTGCTCGAACAGATGATTCCATTTAACGAACAGGAAATATACAACATACAAAAAAAAAAAAATCAATAAACAACGTATCAAGTACATTACACACATTACATCTAAATAAGTTCTTAACCTACAGTCAAAAACGACCTTTTTAAAAGCGATATAGTGCAATGAAAAATGTCCACTAAATTCTTTACTTTTTCATAGCTGTTACACATTACATATAATGGCGAAAAAAGTAACACATTGGTACGAGGCACAGGTAGATAGAAATTGGTATTGTTAAACCTTATGTTTCGGTACGGTACGTGTAATGACAGTTTTTCTAATAGAAACTGGCAAACAACTGTGTTGTTCAAAATTTTATATAATAAAACCACAGCGCCGTAATTTCTGCGCTTAGATAAATTTACCATATTAAATCTACTGAGCAATAAGTCATTGCCAAATCCAGCCTCAGGATAAATCCCATCTTCCTTGAACCATAAATATTTAGCAAAACGTAGCTGGATCTTTTCAATGCTGTCCGAATGTACATCATATGCAGGGTACCAAATTATACTACAGTATTCGAGCTAACATCTAACAAACGCATTGAATAACAATAAAAGAGTTTTATCATTATTGAAGCTCTTGCCACATCTAAGTATGAAACCCATCGTCTTGTGCGCACCGGTTACAATTTCAGTAATGTGTTGCACAAAAGTTAACTGTGGGTCGAAAGAAACACCTAGATCCCTCACAATGGAACAACCATCCAAGACTTGACCATTTATGTGATAAGCCTAACCAATTATATTCTGCTTACGTGTGAAAGACATAGTCTGGCATTTTGTAATATTCAGGCACAGCTGATTCAGGCAACACCACTCATACAGACGTACTAGTTCATCCTGAAGCTTCACACAATCGACAATTGTGTCAATTCTAGAAAATAATTTCAAGTCGTCTGCGTACAATAAGTTGCAACAATTTAGTTGGCCACTGAGATCATTCACAAATATAGCGAATAATAGCGGACCCAGGACGGAGCCCTGGGGCACCCCAGATGTCACAGAAACACTGACAGACCTAAAACCACGGTACTCAACGAAAAGTATTCTGTCCAACAGATAAGATCTGAGGAAATTTGCGAATCCAAGTGATATACCACATCTTAAAAGCTTCTGTATTAGTACTCCATGGTCAAGTCTGTCAAATGCTTTTGAGAAATCCGTATAGATAACGTCAATCTGTCCGCAAGTATCTAAAATTTCAGCAGCATGCTGTTTGAAACATGCAAGATTAGATGTAGTCGATCTACCAGGAAAAAAGCCATGCTAATGTGGAGTGATGATGTGTTTCATATGAGTGAATATGATTTGATTATGAATATAATCTATCACAGACTTGTCTACATAACAATGTCAGACAAAACAACAAAGAATACATCTTCATGAAAAAAATAACAATAACAAATATGTTACGACTTCTATAAAGTATAAAACTGAATGTAAGTTAAAATAAAATTCTTAATCATGAGAAAAACATAAGAAATATTCATTGCATAACTACATTCTCTTAGCCAGTCTCAAAAAACAAAAACATATACACTATGAAACTACATCAGTTTACAGTCTCAAAATAAAACAATCATTACATTAGCTTAGAAAGTGATTTGAACAGAATTTGAACAGACTTTTATATCAATCTGCTGGTCAATAAATAAAACCACATATTTTAATTGGATACCTCGGAAAAGATCACCATGGTGGTTTAAACGTAGGTAAACCTTAACTACATCTGCTTTTTTATTTATTGGCCAACAGAAGGGAGATGGATTTGAGAGACAACCTTAGGCAAAGTTCAGGTGTTATCATATTACAAAATCAAGGCGAATATTTTTGCTGGTAAACCGATCTATGATAGTATTCACGTCTATTTTAATATCCCTATGCATATACAAAAGAGCTAAACTCACTAATCGCTCTTGTAACATAGTGGAGCGCAGCCAAGTTATTATCCTCTTTAGATGGGAGAAACTTTTTTTAGATGTCGCAACACTTATCGGCAATGAAATCAATAATTGTAGGCATCTATTGATTGAAGGAAAAATGTTTTCATCACATGATAAATACAGTGACAATCCACTGTCTATAATATCTTGTGTACGTGACTTCCAAAGGTCAAATTCTGCTTTTAATGTGGTACTTATTAAATTTTTGTTTTCGTTACTACTGAGTCCACGTAAATAATCAAAGATTGTTTCTAATATGTCCACTACTTCAGCTTTCGAATTAAATACTGACGCAAAGAAAATATTAAAGTTGTATATATTCAAAGATTCTTCATTGAACCGGTATACATTATTATAATACATTATCTAGCAAAGGTTCAGTCTGTAATGATTGTCAGACGTAACTATGTTCGGTCTGTTCATTTGCTTGCTTGTTATTGCTTTTGTTCACCTAACATTAGGTTGCATGTATTAGTACCAATGCCCACACATAGTTTTGAGTCTAAGTTATTGGTTTTAATGAAATGCTTGACTGAGCAAGAATTTGGTCTGTGAGTTTGGGCTCCATTGTATCTTCATCAAAATTTGAGTAGCAATCCACAAATCTCATGAAGTCCTCGTAAATATGTTTTTGATAACAATATTGCAATACGATTTCATTTTTGACTTATGGCTAATGTCTGTAGTTTCGTCAAATATAACACTGTAATACTGACTTTGCCTGACGCGACTTAAAACTTTATCCAAGATTTCTTCGCCACGAAATTCTATAATTTCATTTTGGACGCGGCTGCTTATGTACGTAGCATATGCTTTTTAGTTCTCTAAGTTTTTTTTCAATAAATTGTCGCCGCTCTCGACTCTAAACAGTATTAATTCTCTGAAATGCCCTTCATTAATAAGGACATCCTCGTCATTCGTGCTGTCATTAGAAAAAAGTCGTCCCCTATCTATATGCCCTCTAAGTGTAGATTCTATTATAGGAGTCAACCTTTGCCAATTCTCTGATACTTGCTTAATTCGCTCTGAACCTATTATATTTCTTATATCATTCTCTGGATTTTCGTAAATCTTTAAACGGTTTGTAGCATCTGAAACTGCTTCTGTATGACATATTGAGTTCTCATGTGTCTCTCAATCACCGGTTTTGCCATACAATTTCGAAAATTTCTTCAGTGGTACGGTAACAAGTTTTCAAAATTTAGTTGATTTATGTACTCCTCCTAATTTTGCAAAAACCACGCAATATTTACAGAAAAGCCCTTGTAGTTCCTCTGAATATGACAACCAAGGAAATTTCTCGAAGTGTTTTTTTGATAAGTAACATTTCACTTCTTTATTATTTTTCAAGTGTGTGGAATAGGGATATTTGAAAGAGTCATTAGGGATTATTGCACACCTCAATAAGGTTTCATGGGAAGACAAGTTGCTGCTGAAATGTATACTTTATCTGAAGTCACTTGAAACACTGTGAAATACCGGGTTTCGTTTTATATATCTATATTTAACACGCTCTGTTGCTGCAAAAATCGCCAAATTTCGCAGAAAATATCCCCCGTATAAGATCAAAGGCAGTTTCACCGGTCCACGTGGAGTAAAGCACGCCTATGCGTGGACATAGCCAATGAGAAAGCGTGTATTTCAGAACTCCGAACAAGTGCAGGTGGCTACTGAAAATTGAAACAGTTTAGCCAGTGCCGTGTAGCGGTGAATAAACGTGTTTTCTTTAGTTTGTCCGTGTTTTTTCATAGATTTTATTAGTTTGTGTGTTTTTGACTTTTGAATACTCAGTTTACTTGTTGATTTAATTGTTGTGTTGATTGTTCTTGTGTGTCCTAAATATGGCTCTTTGGAGACCTTGGGAAAATGCTCCAAGCCACGAGGAGATGGTTGATGAACCTGTGCAGGCAGAATTCTTTCATAAAGATTTAGAGGAACAGACCCAAAGAGTAATCCTAAATATGTATGATTGTCTGAAAAACGAAAATCCAGATTCCTCACAAAATCAAATTTTAAACAGAATTTGTATCCTGACAAAAATCAGTCGGTCTACCATTTATCGGGTTATAAAAAGGGGAGATGTAGTCAACCATTCCTTCCACAGAAAGCGCATAGGGCAAAAATTAAAAAGAATAGACGTGGGTTTTCAGGAAGATATTCGTCGTATAATATACGGATTTTATAAAGAAAATTTGGTGCCCACGTTGGAAATGATACGGGATAAATTAAAAGATTATCCTGAAGATTTTTATAATTACAAATGCTTAGGCTTACTGCACTGTATTGTAAAACTGTGTGGTTTTCAATACAAAAAATTAGATAAAAGAATGGTGATTATGAAGTCGTCTCGAATCGTTGAATTGCGCCAAGAATTTTTGCACAAAGTTAAAATCTATAGAGAATAGAAAAGAAATCTGATTTACCTGGATGAAACGTGGTATGATACCCATGATGTTGTGCAGTACGGCTGGGTTGACGACAGCAACAAGTGCATTTTAAATGCACCATGCAACCGTGGAAAACGAATCATTATTCTCCATGCTGGCAGTGAAAATGGATTTATACCTAATGCCTTGCTGTTATCTGCCAAAAATATCAAAGAATCATGTGCCGACTATCATGAGGACATGACCTCCGACTTATTTGAAAAGTGGATAGAGCAGCAGTTAATACCAAACATTTCCCCAAATTCAGTGATTATTATGGACAATGCGCCATACCATTCCCGACAGAAAAACAAAATTCCGAATACAGGCACAAAAAACAAGACATTATTGATTTTATGAAGGATAAGGGAATGGAAATACCACAAAAATCAACCAAAGCCATATTATTGGATCTTATTAAAAGACAAACATTTGAAAAAGAGTATGTTGTTGACAATCTGCTTCAGCAAAATGGCCATGAAGTATTACGTCTACCTCCCTATTACTGCATTTTTAACCCGATTGAGTTGGTCTGGGCTGCTTTAAAAAAAAAAGTAAGAAAACATAATCAGACCCCTCAATTAAGTGAATCGCTATTGGCCACAATAAGAGATGCAGTATCTCATATTGCTGCCACAGACCTATGGAAGCAGTGTTCTAGGCATATTATTGAAAAAGAAAATGAATATTGTGTTTTGCCTCCTGTAAATCCCATTGTAATTCCTCTACAAGATGACTCTAGCGACAGCTCCGAAGGCGAGGATGATATATAAATACCTATAATGTAAGTCTTTATATACCTTTTTATATACCTACCTGCTATGTAAATATTTGCCTATGTCAAACGTTGGAATTCTGAAATTTTTCCATTTGTTAACTTTCAGTCAACATAAATTAAACTCCCAATATAAGTATTTTTTATCCCAAATCAAAAAAATAAGAAGATAGTAAAATCCATTTATTGTGAAATAAAAACATTATTATTATCGTTCTAAATAAATGACCGCACGCCTATGATACGTCATGAAATTACAAAGGACGCGCCGACCAAAGGTTTTTATGCTATTTCAAGTGACTTCAGATAAAGTATACATATGGCGCAACATCAACAAAATTGGATCGTTTAGGTTTCGCACCCGATTGTTCAACACTTGGTTCAGCATACAGTGCAAAATCAAGAAATTTTGAAGTGGAAGGCTCAAGTTGAATTATAGTATTATCTTCAGTTTTTTCCGGTAAATCTTGTGCCGGTGGATCAGACAGTTTGTTTTGTTTATAAAGTAACCAATTGATGGTATTCTGTTTCCTTTTACTCATCCTGACAACAGCCGCAGTCAACCAGTACTAAAAGATACACAAATATTGTTAATTTCAAGGCATTATTGGTTTTCACGTATTCACGTATCTTATAACAGAGAACCTTTTCTGTTTGGAAAACAAGATTTCTTAAGTTCACGCAATTTTCAAAAACTAAATATATAATTTGCCATCTCGGACGAACGAAATGCACTGAAGTGCTTATATACAGGGACAAAATAGACATAGATGATAATGATAGCTGGAGTATGGACCAAGCACTTCGTAATTGAAATTATATTAAATTTACAGTTTTCCGTCTGTCATTTTTTTACACACGATTCTTTGATAGTATAAAAATTAAAAACTAACAAAAATCAATTTTCTGGCTTATGCGTGATAAATAAAAAATCAATAGAACATAGAAAATAGCGTTAATACCAACCAGATCAACAACTCCGCTTGTTCACTTCTCAGTCAAATTTTGTTGCGGACTCCGGACTGGTACAGAATTTAGACACTAGACTAGACCATAAAAGACTAGACTATACCTTTTCCAACAGGAAGAAGTGCACACCGTTGCTGTTGGTGAGTAGTCGCTAGTCGCATGCGCACTGACAGGGTTGGCAGTGTTGCCGTTATCCTTTCTTAAAGTTACAGATTTTTTTATAAGACGTTTACTTTATACCACCTGTTCAAAGACTACTCGAATCGTCTGAGGGAGGGGTAATTACATCCCCCCGTGGGAGCGCCAGTGCACGAAAGTTGTAAAATTTCTAGGTCATTGGTCGAATTTTACCATTTTATGGCTACTTCTGTCTCTGAAAAGCATTAGACTCCATAATACAAGTATGTGACTATTTCGAAGTACAATTGTTCAAGGAACTCAAAAATGACCTCCAAATTTCAATTTGAAAATTTATTCGACAGATCTCTCAGTCAAAAGTCTTTTTTTCGAAATTTCTAACTTTTCTCTTGGACTGACAGTTCGAATTCCTTCCGAAACGAGAAAACAACAAGATCATTTGTTTTTTGTGAATGAGTAGGACCAACCATCCTCCTATATAAATGGGATTTTATACTCTGGCCTTTAAATTGGTCGAATAGGCCTTTGGGTCCAGTTTTTGATATGTTGGACAAACATTGACCATTTCTGAAGAGAACCTATGGAGGCATGAGACTGTAAAATATCAGATTCCTAGGTCGATCAGTTTACTATGGTAAAGCGTAAAGTTTCAAGGTTTGTATGTGAATTTTAACCTTTTTGGCAACATTTCCGTTTTCTCGCTACTCTTGTTATTGGTACGCATTAGTCCCCTCAATATGAAGTAAAATTGTCCAAATAGTTCAAAAGTTACGATCTGATAATTTTTTCGACGGATATTTAATTTGATTTTTTTCGAAATTTTCAATTTTTTTATTGAGGTGACAACACGAATACCTTCCGAAATAAAAAATGTACAAAATTATTAATCTTGCAAAGAAAAAGGATCAACATATCTAAATTAGTAGACAATTTACGATATTTTGGCCCAAAAAACGTTGTGCTCTAGCGATTTTTGAGATCGGGTCCCTCATCTTGTGCATATTGAAATATTGTTTTTCTTGAAAATATTTTTTAAAAGCTGCCAATTAACATTAAACAATGTGCAGATATGTTTGTAACAAAGCAGGATCTTTCTCCAATAACATCCATATTTTATACCTTCCCTAGCTTGATGAAAACGGTAAATTTTGGGCCAAAATATCGAAAATTGTCCCTAACGCCTACACTCGATCAAATTAGAGATGCCAGAACAAAATTCCATCCATACAGAGCTTCCTTTACGAAAAAAAAATATTTTGTGGATTTCTTTTCCGGGAGGCATTCAAATTGTCGGATTGATAAGACAATGGAACATTTCGAAAAAAAAATCAATTTGGAGCAATTTTGAGGTCAATTTCAAACTCTTTGGACAATAATAGTACGGAATAGTCATATTGTGCGAGGTAGCGAAAATTGGAAATGTTGGCTTTTTTGTATGCAAATGAACTTTTGCAGATCCGTCAAACTTATGTACTCATGAAAAAAATAATAGGTTCTCTTTTAATGAAAAAAATTGCCCGGCCTGACCCGCCCATTTATATAGGTCGGTCATTCTCTTAGTTCATCATCATCAATTTCTTATTATTTTCCAAACATTGTCTACGAGATAGTATACATTGTGTTCGCATGTTCTACATCGAAACGCTGGATAAACTATACGAATAAATGCCCATCTCTGAGGAGGGCTTCAAAGCTGTTTCTTTACTAGGTTGTATGGGTTGCGTGGACAGCTTTCAATTGGGGCCAACGCTACCAGCTTTTACATTTGGCCTTGCCATATTGGCTTGTATCCAGATTACTGACCACATAAGCCCAACGCACATCAATCCTGGCGTATCAATTGCATTCCTTATTGCTGGAAAGATGCACTGGAAAAGGTTGTTGGTGTATATTCCAGCACAATACATAGGGTGTTTGATCGGATATGGTTTGCTAAGGGTAAGGACATTTTGCAGTGTGCATTCATGAGGTCTATTGGCTATTCAAAGATTTCTTGGCAGTCAAGCAGCTAACTAGTTTGACGGAAATTATTCGTGAGCTGATATGGAATCCGTGAATAAGTAAAAGTAGATTAGGATATTGCAATTTCCTTTGGTGTGTCTGTTCTTAAAATTGAAACTCCGAAACATGATGTTTCAGCGATTTTACTTCCTATGCCAAAACTGGCGAAGAAGTGTTGTAATCGAGAAGGTACATATCACGAAAAACCGTGTCACTCATTTCCGTCAGTCTGTCAATCTCTCGCTCTGTCTGCCAACTCTGTCCCCCCGATAACTTGAGACGTACTGCTCGGCTTTTGATGAAATTTTCACACAAGGTTGTACTTTGTAGATTTTGGAAATCGGTCTAATGGTGGCGGAGCTAGGGGTAAAAACACGAAAAACTTCGTTTTTTGACTTTTTGGACCTACGGATCATTTTCGGAAATTTTTTGTAGGGGTTGAAACTTCAGAGATTCCTGCTCATTTTCAGACATTGTTTGGAAGGGATAAAAATTCTAGGTTGGAAGCTGTATGCAGTAAATGGTTGTAAAATGTTGCATATTTGGTGTCAGTGAAAGACCTCTTATTATTAAGAAGCTGCTGATCCCATGATGATGAGTGATACTATGCGCATGTTAAACATGATAAGTCACACATATACTAAGTGACATATAAATCCGAACAACCAGTTTAAATGGTTTTATTTTAATAAAATTTTGTATAAGTACTTAATGAAGCATAATAAGTAAATGATAAAAATTTCAAAATGATTGCACTGCTTTAAAGCCCTTTGACCTTTAATAATGTGTGGATGCACCCTGATGTGCTACGCATTCTCCAACGCGCCTAGGCATGCTTCTGATCAGGTGGTCAATGTCCTCCTGTGGTATCTCATTCCAGGCAACCACCCACTCCTCTTGAAGTGCTTCTAGAGTCTGAGGAGGACGTTGCAAATTGAGCAATCTCCTACCCATCATATCCCACACGTGCTCAATTGGGGATAAGTCGGGAGGTCTTGGTGGCCATGGTAACAATGTGACATCATTATGTTGAAAGAAGTCTATTGTGACTCTTGCAACATGTGGTCGGGCATTATCTTGTTGGAAAGTTGGATCTGCCAGGGTGTCAAGATAGGGTAAAAGATGGGGTTCTAGAACTTCGTGGATATAACGCTGCGCGTTCATGTTACCTCTGATGAAGATTAAAGGTGACCTGGAACCATAAGCTATAGCACCCCAAACCATAACTCCAACAGTGTGATGAACATGTCTTTCAACAAAAAACTGTGGATTCCTCCTTTCACCACGTCGCCTTCTAACCCTGGCACGACCATTGTGCATGCGTAAACAAAATCGAGACTCGTCACTAAAGACAATACTGTTTCATTCCTATTCCCAGAGTGACCGTTGTCTGCACCACTCAAGGCGATTACGTCGGTGTTCTCGAGTTAAAGGGAGGACCCAGTGTGGCCGGTATGAAAACAAGCCAAACTTCTCATTCGTCGGTGAACACTTCGCATGCCAATAGGTCTTCCGTGTTCTGCAACCCATTCATTTGCAATGGACCTGGTAGTGGAGAAACGGTCCCTTAAGGCCAATAATCTTAGGCGGCGATCTTCACGGTCTGTTGTTCTACGGCGGCGTCCAGTGCCCCTTGCTCTTTGTGTACGGCCTTCTCGAAGCCATGCCTGACAACACCTAACCACAGTGTCTACACTTCTTTGCACTCTAACTGCAATTGCCCGAAAAGAAAGTCCAGCTTCCCGAAGTCCCACTATACGGCCCCTATCAAACTCACTAAGTTGACGAAATCGAACAGGTCTCCGTACTCTAGGCATCGTAACCGATCGTAAAGGATGTCAAGAACCAAAATCCGTCAACGTTGATTCTTTACTGCGGCTGAAATATTCATTTTTAGAGCGTTAGTGAATTAAAAAAAGCAGTATAAAAACCGGAATGTCCAACTGATAAGGCTGAAAATTTTTTCACTTGTTATTTACAGTAAGATAAATACATTCACCAACTTTTATTAAAATAAAACCATTTAAACTGGGTGTTCGGATTTATATGTCACTTAGTATATTTTCCCTCCATCTGCCATAGAAATATGATAGATTTGCTTCACATAGTTTGATTCATCGTACCTAAGTGAACCGACCTAGTCACGATTAGATTACGCCTTTTGAAACAATTATAATAAAGGGCTGTCGATTAGATAACAAAATAACAGACAGACATACGTTAGTCACTCTCTTGGTCAAGTATCGTCCAGGTATTTCGCCACTACTCGGTGCTTGTAATCAAGCACGGGAATCACATACAAAGTATCGCAATTACGAAAATATTCAACGCTTTCTTTGTTCAATGATATCTCAATGATGCAAGTCAATGTCATTGATTAATGTCATGGCAGCAGAAAATACATCATGATCAAACTTCTTATAAACTTCAATTTTAGTGTTTCTGGCATTTTTGGGCATAATTAAAGTGTATATAACGGTTTTCAAAAACTAGTATCTATATTTCGATGCATACAGGAAACGATTCTGAGAAATTCAGTGTATGGTTGAATATGGATGCGTGCGAGAACTGAGTCCATCTACCTGACGACATTCCCTTCCCGTTATGACGCCTGTGAGAGGTCAAGTTCTTATCTACAAAAAGATGTATGTATGTACCTACTTATAGCCAGTAAAACATGACACTCATTCAAGAACATAAATTAAAGGTTGGTTAAAATGGGTACACTCATGGCTCATAAAATGCAGAACAAGAAATTAGTAGTGTCATTCATTCACTTTAGCCTATTACCACATAGCCCTGTCGACCGTTTTTTGCCTGCTACTGGAGCTGGGCTATCGATTTCACGTAGAAGGATCGCCACTTGACCGATTTTCAAAAACCACAAAGCTTCTTCGACTTTGGCATAGTAGTAACCTTGCGTGAAAGTTTCATCTAAATCCAAGCAGTACAGACTGGCAGAGCGACAGAAATGAGTGACATGGTTTTTCGTGATGTACATGACATAAAAGATCAAAAAAAAAACTAATATATCATTTTCGAAAATGTTTGCGCTTACAGTACTTCCTCTCCAGTGTGGCGTGCACCCTTTGAAGTTGGAAAATGGACATTTTGTGGCCATTTGTCTCTGTATCTCTACAGTGTACCTTAATGATCTTACTTATCTTTGGATGGCCAATACTCGAAGTAGTGTCAACTCAATTTATATTTGAATCACCCTATGTTTCATTTCCTTCCACAGCTTACTGTCACAAACGCTACAGGGTTGTGTCATCTGAAAGTGAAGGAACCTCTAAGCGTATTTCAGGCTTTTGGCACCGAAATCATTTGTTCTTTCACACTGATGATCATTGTATTTGGAGCTACCGATCCTAGGAATGCATCAAGGTCAGATTCGTTTGCCCTGAGGGTTGCCCTAGGTATGATTTTGAATATCTATAAACTTATACTGGGATTTTTATGTTGATAGGTCTCCATGATTATCTAGCCGCTATGTAAAACCAAATGTGTTATTGACGTTTCGGTCGCCACGGTTGACTCTTTCAAAGTACAAATGGCCTTGATAAACATAAAACATGTAACGCCTTGGTAACAGCGACCTTGACTAACGATGAGACGCCCTTACAATATTGATGCTTAGGCAACCAGAGATATGCCGCTGTGCATCAAGAGCCGTATAGCGGCCTACACCCATCTGAAAGCATCTATAGCCATCGAGAAGCATCGATCGACATCTAGACAACGTCGATGGAGCAATGGAAGGGGAGAGTCCAGTTGTCGACAGCGCAGAACTCGATAGTCCAGTCGACAAGTTTATAAATATGTGATAAAATAGACTTTAACTTCGTACAATATTGTCATTGAAAAAACTACCGTGATGGAGTAATTCAAACATATGTGGTTTTATTTAGGGGCTAGACAATCGTGGAGTTCTATCGGATCATCCTTTTTACAAGTATTTTGATCAAGTTAACCTCAACCAATTATGCTGAAATTTTATATATGCGCTTGGTTTTTATGACAATATACAAGTATTAAATGCCGCCATTTTGAATCCAATATGGCAAATGCTACAAAATGGCGATTCATCATTTCCATCGAAATAGCTATAATATGCTTATCAAATGAAAGGACTTGAGGGAAACATAATAATCAAGATGACGTCATTCTAATCCAATAAGGCGGACGTCTAATATGGCAATGTATGGGTTAAATTTTAACAGCAAGAGGAAATATGAGGATGTAACATGCTTTTATTTGAGCTCTTGAGGCGATAGAGCTTCATATCCCCACCCGAAAAAAATATTTTTAAATTCTTAGTGCATTTTCATAACCGATAAATAAAAATTTGTTCCTGAAAATGATTTTTTCTAGTATTCTCAAGAATATACATGTCTTCAACATGTTGTCTCTTACTTTTGGAATAAAAAGATACATGAAAAAACAGTTGAGCTACTCCAGGCGGATTACGGCGAAAAAACCCCGTAAGTGGATGTTTACTGATGAATAAAAATTGAAAAGATTACGATTTTGGCCGTTCTTACTTCCCACGCTTACTGGCGGTATTGTAGTCGCGAAAATTTTCGAAACTGATATGTTTTTTGGACGTTATGACATGTAGATCACGAAATAACGTGTCACTAATTTCCGTCGGTCTGACCTATAATCCCACCTATAACTTAGAAGTATCGCTCGGATTTCGATGAAATTTTCAGACAGTATTACTACTATGTCAGGGATGCAAAAGCTTTGTGGTTTTAAAAAATTGATCCAGTGGTCGCAAACCAGAAACAAAAAAAAATAAAAATCGTTTTTTGAGGTTTCAGACAACCTTGATCATTTTCGGAAAATTTTTGTAAGGGTTAAAAATTGGGGGTAAGAGGTTGCCCGGGGGTGGGGAGGATATATCTCAAATTTTCTACGTTATATTATACGCCTTCAGCCCCAGTACGTATTAGGCATATTTCACTCATCATAAATGTCCTCGTATATTTTATATAGAAACTTTAGCTACCCGACAAAACATCCACTGTACTTCGCTTAGAATACCAATTTCTTATTGAGACACTTTATTTCGCATTAACGGCGCTCTCACAGTCAAGCAGAGTTTCTGAGGGGAATCGGGGGGGTGATAGGGAAACGCTAGTAGGACGGCGTTGTGACAAGGCAAGCGCTCTACGTTAGAAAAGGATAGTAATACGCAGAGGTGTGCTGTTCGCGTGCCTGGTTGAATTTGCATATTGCACAGAGTCGGATTTGATTTGGATATACGATCTAGCGTACGACTGTTTCCCTATTTTGGCGCATAGTATACTCAGCCCTTATTACTTTTATTACCGTTATTGTATTGTTGTATTATCGTGTTGTTATTGTTGTGTTGTTATTGTTGTGCTGTTATTGTTGTGTGTCTTTCTTATCAAGGTATCAAAAATGAACAATAAGAGAAATAAACGTGGCGTCTCGAAGAAGCCGCATTTAAATACGCACAGGAAAAAAAAACGTTTTCCAGATAGAAAAGTAGGTACCAAAACAATTATGAATTTTAGCATTCATTTTGCCAATAAATTAGACTATACGTAGTTACTATTATAACTATATTTTATATGTTATTTTAGCTTAAAAATGACAGCAAGGTTTCGCATATGCATTCTCTAACAGAGACAGATGGCATGGATCTTCAAATTCAGGTGTGTATACCCTTTTTTTTTTAGATTTGCACCAGAGGCTGATATCATTTCTGGCAATTCTGATTAAAAATGCAGTAAGTTTACTTCATGACGTCGATAATAGTATTGTAGAGCAGTTTAACTCAATCATAGCTAAATTCATTGGGGGTAAACGGATTAATTATTGCAAGAAGAGATCCTACCAAGGAAGATGTGCTGCAGCCGTAGTGAGCCACAATACACAGCGACCTGTTTGTGTGATCCAAAAGCGGCTACTCCCTAGTTTCAGTCCAACCTCTTTGATTGCTAAAGTTGAAGAAAGGAGAGCGCACAAAAATCTGAAAAGGAAGCTGAAACCAAGGAAAATTAAAATCAGAGATAGTGATACTAAAGAGAACGCATCCTATGGGGAATTCTGTGAGAAGCCTGACATGAGCAACGAAGATATAGAGGCTGCCAAGGTAGAATTCTTGAAAAAACTTGCAAAAACCGACTCCAAAATTTGCCAGATCGAGCAAGCCACAAAATCTCAGGATTGCAATTTGTGGCGTCTTCGTCGAAGAATGAGGTTGACTGCGTCTCGGTTTGGTGAGGTTTGTAGAAGAAGAGATACAACAAGTTGCAGAGCTCTAGTAAACGCCATAATATACCCAACCGAATTCTTTAGCAATGCATGTGACTATGGAAAAAAGCATGAAAGCGTGGCAAAATCAGAAATAGAGAAATCATATTCGCAATCAGAAGTACAATCTTGCGGGTTGTTTATTGATAGGACCCAGCCATTTCTGGCAGCATCGCCAGATGGTTTGATAGGCGTAAAAGGTCTGCTAGAAATTAAATGTCCATGGTCGGCTAGAGAAATGACCCCTGAAGAGGGCATTCTGAACAAAAAAATTACGTTTTGGATAAACGATGAAATAAATAAAAAACATAAGTGGTATTACCAAATTCAAGGGCAGCTACACGTTGCACAAAGAGAGTACTGTGTGCTTGGTGTTTGGACCCCGTATGGTTTGAAAATAGACGTCATTCGAAAGGATGACGTTTTCGGGAAAAATGAAATGGAAGAGAAATTGAAATTCTTCTACATGAACTGCTTGCTCCCAGAACTGGTCGATCCCAGAAAAAGCAGAAATATGCCAATCCGCGATCCCGATGTGATCTTGAAGGCACAAGAGAACCGTTTGAACAAGAAAAAGAGTTCTTGAGAATTGGCTATTTTTGCTGTACTCGGGTACCAAAATGGAAGAGATTAGCATATTACATTGTACTCCGTTACTAACCCCTTCGTGTCGGCAAATGCGGTGTGCAGATCTCGCTTTAGCAGCGATGTGCGAGATGTTATGCTAATCTCTTCCATTTTGGTACTAGTACCAGATGTTCACTATTTATTGTATATTATGTATATATTGTTTATTTAAATAAAAGTCAATCGTCAGGCTCAATAGCACGTAGCATCGGCTAGCTTTATCTAGTCTGTTAGATGGCGAATATTGAAATGTCACATTGACACGTTAAGCGCCACAGTAGAATCTGAAAATCCAGTCCACTGGGCCAAACTGTTATTATTGTCAAATTAGCTTGTTTTAAGTTTCGGTTTAATATTTTGACTTGACTTTTTTCTCAAATCCTATGATTTTTCCCCTTTTTTGATTTTTTTTTCTGAGGTACTAATTGTATGTCGCGTGGCCCACAGACCAGTCGGGTCGCGTGGCACATAAGTCGCGTCGCGTTTTTTGCAAGTCAAGACTTGCATCATGTCGCGCGTTGAGCACTGTTTCGTGTCATTTATTATTGAAGCGTTGTTGGTATTGTACGTCATCTTGTCCAAATTGCTTTACTGTTTATAAATTATTGAATACCAAATTTGTGATGTCGCATTACGAAGCGGAGCAAAAAAGGCTTGAACAATTGTGTAATGAAATACTATCGGATGAAGAGAGTGGCAGTACTGAGTTATGTGGGGATGTATACTTATCTGATGCGTATTCTCCAAGTGGTAGTGAATCAGATAGTAGTTGTAGTAATTCCATATTTATCTGTATTACTGTTTATTTATACCGGTATTTTGTTTATTCCTGCATAAGACTTTGTCAATCTGTTTAGTTTATAAGAGTTCCTCCATATTTGTGTTCGTTAGAATATCGACATTTACCATAACTTACTGATTTGCTGTGAAATTACTTTGTTCATTTTTGAATGAGAATGTCTGATTATTTTATAAGATTTGCTTTTTGTTTTAGATTTGTAGAATATCCTCTTTTTGTAAAACTCTATAAACAACGTGTTTTTTAATGTTTTCATTTCCAATTCAGTATAATTTGGTCCCTCAGGCCACGGACTCTTGGTTCCCGTAAGAAAATCACATCAGCATGGCACACGTCTTACGTTACGCGGCCAAATATAACTGCCAGCAGTGAGACATATCATGTGTGTCACGAGGCCCAAAGCGCCAAATGAGCTGCGACACACGCATTATATCTCATGACGTGTTAAGTTTATTTTACGATACTCCATAAGGTTAAAGCTAAACAGCAAGTGACATTTTATTTGTGGTAAATGCGTTCACTATAATTATTATTTTTAACTAAAAAGATTACCGCCTCCAATGACCCTGGAGCCACCTGGAAACTTTTGGTCACAAAGTTCTGTATTTTACCACACATGTCAAGTCTTTTCATTTGATATGTATATTGGGGGTTTTGTACAAAAATATGTAACTCGCAATTTCGAAACGGCGGCAATCTTGGAATCAAATTTTTAGTGAAGTACTGTATTCTACAAGGCGACGACTCTTATTTGAGATATTAGCAAGTATGTTATCCGCCATTTTGTAACGGCCGCCATCTTGATTTGAAACTGTTTTCGTATTACTGTTTTGTACAAGTGCTTCCATTTGATATCCATATTGGGGTGATTGAACAAAAATGATTTTTTGTGGTATCACCTCTGAAGCATGGCCTATTGTATAAAAAGAAATGATCAAAATCGATTAAAATTTTCCCCTCTTTCATTGAAGTCTATTAAAAATATCACTTAATGGTCCGATGTTTATCTCGAACGACCGACGTTAAAACTGCTACTGTTTAACTTGGGACAACAAATTATCTGAATACGTCCTTTCTTAGTCCGTACACACCGCCGCGTTGCTTCGACTGGCAGCACGAGATAGTGGATAAAATTCGTGTAAAAGCCTATTTGCAGAGGTTTTCGCGCTTCAAAATTGACGCTTCATTTTTGAATATTTTTCAATGAAATTTTCACAGTGCACTAAAAACAAGACTCCACAGGGTGCTATAGAGCCACTTTTTCGTTTTTTCCTCTGGGTTATTTTTAAAAAAATCGAGAAGTCGAACAACAATTATCTGCACTTCCACCCACCATAACTCCTGAAAAAAATTTTTTTTTAGAAAAGTGGCTCTATAGCACCCTGGACAATTGTCTTCTTAACATACTGTATAAATTTTATTCAAATATATAGAAAAATGGAGCGTCAATTCCGAAGCAGCTAAACCCTTGTAAATGGCCTGAAACTCACTGCGTCGGAGCCGCCTTAATGAATATTTTTACACCTAAGCATATCAGCATGTTTGCATTATTTGAGGTTGCTCATAACAAATTTGTGGTCTAGTCTTGTAGTTATATTCATTTCTAAGGAAAGGTGATTGAACTGTTGTACTGATATTAAATCAAAAATAGTTGCGTTCTGTATACATGGTGTCTCAAAGTGAAATGGAAATCTTTCGGATGCTATAAAACAAAAGAATACGTTTCTCTTATGTACAACCAAATTTTGACAGCCCTGTAAACCAGTTGTAGCTTAATATCATGCTGTCCATTTAGAGAAATTAATTTATTTAGATCGCCATTATAGCCCTAACGTGATATTGCTGTTTTTCACTTATACGTGGTGCCAAAAGGTATGGTTACATCAGAATATTTCAAAAATAAGTTTCCTAGAGAAAAATGTTGTAGACGTTGACTATGACCTTCAAGGAAGTTTTAGACAGTTCAAAAGCTATGGAGGCTACAAAATATATCGAAAAATATGCTACCTTGAACGTGACCTTAGACGTGATTTTGACAATGACCTTGAAGGTCGAGGATTCAGTACGAGTAACGTTAAAATTTCATTTGATCTTAAAATGATCTTGAAGAGCATTCTCACGGTGACAATCAACTTCATAATAGACTTTGAACGTAAAATGTTTCGCTTTTTTATATCTCCGACAAAAAACAGGGAACTAACTTGAAGGTTCATCTGACCTTCAAATGACCTTGATTGTCATGGTCAGGTTCATTGACAAGAATGTGCTTGTAGACTATTTGTATTTCAGGAATTAAAAATGAATGTCAGAAATTCTTTTGATCTTCAAATAACCTTGATGGATTCAAGGTAATGAACATACTTGAGAATGAAGATTTCTGTTTTTTACATTTTTGGTGTCGAAAGTAGGGATTCACATTTGAGAACACCGTCTTGATCTTCAAAAGTCCTTGAGATTCACAGTCAAATGTATTCGTTGACCCTATCTAAACCTTACAACTTCGTTCCGTTACATTTTTTCATGAAAAGTATTTTTCCTGACATTTTATCCTTTCCATACTTTTTGGACATCCTCAAATACCCATGAAGGTTATTATCTAGGACCTGGACAAAGACATCGTACTTGAACGTAAAATGCCTCGCTCGTTAGATTTGTGGTGTCAGAAATAAGAAAACCGTCTTGACCTTCAAATAACCTAGAATTTCTTAGTCAAGATCACGTTGTTCAAGGTCACCGTTAGATACCCTTTTCAAACTTCACAACACGACACAAAACACAAAAAACCTATATAATGTCAAAAAAACCGATATAATGTCACTTCTTAAGATACGTAATACCGCTGCCGGTAAGGGAGGTATCTTGATTGAAGTTAACAAATTAGGAGAGAATTAGCTTTTACTAACACATTTCAGGTATCACTGGGATAATTTTTGCAGCAGAACCGTACACAGGTGCAGGACTGAACGCCGCTCGAAGTTTTCCATCAGCAATTTTCGACATGAACTTCAAAGATCACTGGGTATATGAATTAGGTCCGCCTATAGGCCAATGCCTTGCAGCTGTGTTGTACAGATTCACGTTTAGTATTGAGGAAAAGTATTCTCTTCACACGTTTCTTACCACGAAGAGAGGGGCAGATCAGTAGGTGTCACGTCACGTCGTTAATATGGTTATAAGATTCTTTCTGTATGGATCGAGTGTCTTATTCTGTTAATTGCAATAAAACAGCGGTTCCATTATCTAATCTAGTGATGAGCCTGCAAAGTTGAGCATAAATTTGATGTCATGTATCCATTTTGTTAATGTCTCTGAAAAATTATTAGCAATAGCGGAAGACACTGGATATAGTACATTAGGTGTATATTAATTTGGAGTTGTTTTGTTAATTTTCTGAATAAAATCATTGCAACAAATACCACTGTGCAGTTGTAGCGTGTTGTATAAATCATAAGAGTAATAATAACGGGTGATCTTTTAAGAGGTATAGGATTTGATTTAAAAAAAACACAAAAAATTTGAAAAAACGATTAAATCTTTATTTGAGTCGATAGAACGTTCGATATAATTTAATGTTTAAAGATTAGTGCATGTAAATGTTGGCCGCGGCTCCGCTTTAGATGGCCCATGCGCAAGGTAAAATTTTGGCACACTCTCTCCAACATATCGGCCGGTATCTCACGAATAAATGCTTCAATATTGGCTTCCGGTGCGTCAATCGTTGCTGGTTTATCTCTGTAGACATTAGCCTTAACATGGCCCCACCAGAAATAGTCCAACGGCGTTAAATCACACGATCTAGGCGGCCAATTGACGGGCCCCAAACGTGAGATAAACTGTTCACCGAACTCGCCTCTCAATAGGACCATTGTTTCGTGTGCGGTGTGGCATGTGGCACCGTCTTGTTGAAGCCACATGTCAGCCAAGTCCAGCTCTTCCATTTTGGGCAAAAAAAAGTTTGTTATCATCGCACGGTAGCGCTCGCCATTCACAGTTACGTTCCGCCCATTGTCGTCTTGCAATGCTTCTGGCTGGTATTCACTCCAGATGCGGCAATTTTGCTTGTTAACATACCCATTCAACCAGAAATGAGCTTCGTCGCTGAATACAATTTTTCGATAAATGACATTTCACGGTCATCACTAACACTGGCGGATACAGCCGCAATATTTTCTTCAGTCCTCACTCTACGTCTGCGTGTTGGTGGTTTAATGTCCAATAATGTAAACTGGGTTCGAAATTTAGTCACAAGCTTTCGAATAGCTCCCTCAGTAGGCCGACCAAATTGCCCATAAATTGGAAGCAGTGCTCGATGCACTCTCTTAACCGAGCATGAATTTTGATAGTAAAATTCAATAATTTGCAAGCGTTGTTCGTTCGTAAGTCGATTCATGGTTAAATTATAGACCAAACTGAACAAGTTTGACAATGACACAAGACACGATTCACGCGTAATCTGTCAAAAACAGTGTAGCTAAAAAGATACTAGCAAAAAAATCACCCATTAAAAGCATTTAATCGTGGATTAGAAAATGAGCAAAGCCGATTCTTACGGGTACAAAGTTTCTGAAAATGCAAACGATAAAAAAGCGTCAAGTACATTCATAAAAAAAAATGAATGGAGCAAGAAAAAAATTTTTCTGTGATTTTTGACAGGTCGTATTTTGGTGAAAAATGTTCGTACCTAAACTTAAAAAAAGCGTTTTGAAGCCCCAAGATCCTAGTTTTTAGGTTTCTTTGCCGAAAAATTTTGGGTGCAATGCTCTTATGCAATTCTGAAAGCGCGGGAAAATTTTTTGCAAGATATTTGCCTTCTTCTCTTTAGTCCACGGGCCTTGACGTGAAAAGGATCCTTTTTCATTCAAAGTCAGACAAATGATCGTATAGAGATTTAAAAAAAATGATTATGAAGCTAAATGTTCCAGCTGACGGACTAAAAAGAAGAGATTTTACAAAAAAATGTCTGTGCTATCTGTTAGAATTACATGACAACCATTCTGTCTGAAACTTTTCAGCTAAAAACCTAAAAACTAGAATCTTTAAGCTTCAAAATGCCTTTTTTAAAATATAGATAAGACCATTCTTCACCGAAATACCGCCTGGCAACGATTATCGAAAAATTTGGATTTTTTCCTTGCTCCCTTAAATTGTTTGATTTAATTGACTCTGACACGCAACCCTGTCATCAACTGGATTATGGCTGTGGGACTGGGCTTGCCATTGATTCGGCTTTAGCCGCCCATTTTAGGTTTCTGGTAGGTTTTTTTGTCTACGCTGTTTTCGCATAATCACTAAACATCTAAAAAGAAATTTGTAACTTGTAAATCATCATATATTTTTTAAGTGATTTTTATTTTTTCCTATTGTTGTATGTAGCTCTGCCGCCACTAGATACTTTTCAATCGTTTTTGGCGGGGTAATAAGTTTTTGTATAAATTTTATTAAAATCGGAGTGGTAATTTCCGAGTTGTAGATTGGTAAAGGAAAGACCGACGGAAATTGCTAAAATGGTTATTACTTAGAACACTACAAGTTTTTTTTTGTGATATCTGTGATCACGATCCTCTTTTGCTACTCACTGCTCTATTGTGGCTTAACAATATTAAAAAACAAATAAAACTTTTTTTCAGAAATCGCCTATGCAGTATGCCTTATGTATTAACTATCTAATGAGGTACTCTGCCCATATAGTGGAGTTTTCATATTGTAAAAGAATGCATTATCAAATACATTTGATTTCTGTTTACAATAACAGTAATCGTATATCTTGTCTGGAAATATATCCGATTCCCGAAACTATTATTTGTGTACTACTTCCGCTGATAATTTTCGTATGTGATATATAAATATGGACACATTAATTTTGTGTATCACACAACCGTATATCAGTCCAGGTAGGTGTCAATAACTAACCAGCTTCAAAATGGCCACACCGAAAAGAGATGCAGCCGCTGAACAATTAACGCAGCAATCAAAAAAGCATCAGGTATGTACGTTCATTTATTTCCCACAAAATAATTTCACATCCGACGCCATAAACGCTTAGGGAAATGAAATTTTTTGCAAAAAAGTTATGGGAGTAGAACCAGGCTTTTGTGCATCCGACCAGAGATGGTCAACTATAGATAGCTGTTTCGTGCTATTTAGTAACTCGTTAGCATGGTCTAGGCTTGGTCTCAGGGAGAACAGGGAACTTATATTCAAAGTATAAGGTCTATCGGAATAAGGCAGCACCGATAAGTGCCAACTATTACCAGAATCGAAGTCTGCAAGCTCGGTTGGTACTGTATCCTAGTTCCTATTGTCAGCTGGGTCACCACTGTGACCGCTAGATGCCGCCGATTCTGGTGCGGTATACCCGTAATTGAGAGTGTGTCGAGATTCAAGATATTTTTTTACATAGAAGCATCCGCGTAGGGCACCGCGGATGCTATGAGGAGCTTAAAGAAATTTTGTTAATCCGATTTTTGAACTTCCTAAAATTAGTAGAACTGGGAAAAGCCTCATCATGTTCTTCCACAATGTCGACACTCTAGGGACAAAACAGCGTCGTATCGGCCAGTTCTAGATGTACGAAGTTCGACACGGATGGGAGACCGAAGTGAGACGAGGCAGATTTTTAAACTTTGGACTCTATCAATCCGTTTTCATCAACCGTTGTTGCAAGCGAACTAAGCTGTATACACTGATGTAGTTTGGGAGGCTGATTTCGACTACACCCATCATAGGACTTCTTGAGTCTTCGGCTAATTTCACCAAACATCAGTTTCGTAATCTACGCACCCGATCTATCCAAGACACGGGATTTGATTGAAATCGAGGATACGTAAGAATCTTTTAAATTCTTCTTTAATCTAACCTCAAAGTGATTAAGGTCGAAAATTTCAATTTATCACCAGTTATTACAAACAAATAAGACTCAGTACACTGGGTTAGTTTGAGATGCCGATATCGAATATGACCATCAAGAAATATCCAACTTAGAGTAGGGAAACAGGACTTTTTGGGCGTATCGTCGATATCCGCAAGAAACTGGCGTTTGGTTCGTGATCTAGGCACACGATTCGCGTATGAAACTGGATTTGGTCGAAATTGCAGATACATTAGAATTTATAAAACTTTCTATCAACAGTACTAAATATTTGTGGGTTTCGTGGGGCTATAAGGGGATACAGCGAAAAGGGGGTGACGTCAGTGGAGACTCTAGCCGGGGACTTGCACATATTCTGGCCCCAATAAGAACCTGCCGGTTGTACCTCCTCTCCACCTTATGGCGACTAGGTTAGTATACACACGGCGTCTATCTCTACACCACCGCTTTGCCCTAAATTAGATTATCAAAAAAATGTGTAAATATAAAATGTACGTTTTTAAAAAAAGACAGAAGTGGAGATTAAAAGTAAACAAGAATTTATGAAACTTTTCGTCGATGTTTCGGCAAGGGAACACAAACACAACTTTCCTAAACCTCACAAGAATCCAATAATGAATTTTATGTTTATCGTAAGATAACGATTTTGTGTACGTTATTCCAATAAACATTATCACTATTATTATTATCACCCGGAACTATTCACAATAAAAAAATATGTTGTATTAATTATTATTTATCATTAAATATTATTTGAATAAAACAACGTGCAAAGTAAAAGTGCTCAGTATCTTCAACAGAGTATATACTTTCAACTTCTCATGCTGTTATAATTGAGCTTTTAAAGCTCTTAAAGATATGGTAAAATAATGTGACGAAAATTTGCTTGCAAGTGATTAAAAAAATTCTAACTGTTGTGCTACATCTCCTTTTCTAGAAAGTAGACATTTTTAATCTTCAGTACAGCTATTTTACAACAAATGAAAAAGTCTATAAAGGTTTTTCGCTATAATGATTTTGAAACCACCACCAGATAAATTTTTTGGAGCAATTTTAATATATTCATGTTAAAATTCAGTTCTTTCTGTACCTACATTTGTTGTATTCTTCATCAATTATAGAGATTTTCAAATGTTTCAACTGTTTTAATAAATATTTTCTACATATAATATTTACAGGATCGTAACAAAAAAATCCAAAATATTTCGGTTCCTGCCTACATTAAGATCCAGAACTTTTCGTCATACTAAATTCAACAATACCTTTATCCATTACCGAATTTTTGTTAGGTGAAAAGTGTTCATTTATTGTTTTGGGTGGCATTGACTTTGAAAAAAACGGAGTGGATCTCTTTTCCTACTGCAAGTTTTTTAATGCTTACAATCGCTTACTTTTTTGATACCCTCTCACAAATTGGAAAGCTGAAAATCTAAAATATGAACATTTGTTATGCAACGTAACATCTGACTACGCAAATGTATCCAGCTGGCCACCATTTGAAACTAAAGTTACTCGACACACTGAATTAGCTTACAAATCATTCAGCCGACCATTAAAACAGTTACAAGAACCCAATGAAACTGTTAGAAATATATAAAATTTATTACTTTCAAACAAAATCGCTCAGTAGTCGTAAATATTATATTGACTTTAGTGATCAAACAAATTGTTTTAAATAGCTTGTTTGAAAGGATACGCCAGGCGTGTCTTCTGCGTGTGCGTTCTTGTTAATTGTAATTCATTCAAGTTTACGATTATTTTCTCGAGCATTTATAGAACGTAGTAAAGCTCATTCACGGAACAAAGCATGTGAAGTTGTGAGTGGGTCACGGCCAGATTCCAGGTGAACAGTCTTGGTTCAGAAATTACTTCAATAATAGAATTCGAAAATTCACATTTACTATTTTACATCTTTATTGTTTTTCAAGTAATATTACAGGGTGTCCCGAAAAAAGTGTGCAATATTCTACCAGCGGTTTCTAGAGCCTAAATTAGGAGGAAAAGCTTATATAAACATTGGTCGACAAACGTCTCCTAAGGGTGCTACGGTCTTTTAAAGGGGCTCCCATGAAGATGGTTTTTCCTTAATATTTCCGAAACGTGTTGAGGGGACACCCTGTATATATATATATATGATTGCACTCATCAAGTGGCTTCACGATGTAATGCTTTCATGTTCTAAAAATTTTTAATCTGTTTTTAACTTGTTCTTGTCATACAGCTGTGTCTATTTTATATCATTTTGACCATTGTACCATTTATCCTGCTTTCACCATGTTGTGTTTCCCTCATCCTGAACGTAAACAACAATTAGCAACATCCTCACATACTACTCTCCTGATGATGATGGCAAAGACCATTGAAAGCTAGAGAGAATAAAAAAAGTATAAAGAGTCGTCCTTGCTTAAATTTTGTCGAAGTACCCAACAAAAGGCGGGAGCTTTAATTTTTCACCTAACTGGTCTAGACGACAATAACCACGTCTCAAGTTATAAATATATGTGTGTGTGGTGTCGCATCCAGGTATATGACTGAATAATAGATAAAAAGAATATTCTATTACAAACAAAATTATTAAAAATTAGAAATTATTCACATTTGGCTCTAAGCTGACCAACAAAGCAATTTCATTCCATCAGTGTCAAACAATAAATCATTTCATCAACTGAGGATATTCTGAATCATCTCTGTTTTACCGAATAAGAAATTCCCAGTAAATTTAAAACATGGAAAATTGTAATACATCCAATTATATATAACATACATTTTAAAGCGAAAAAAAGCACTGAATCACCATCTACGATCAAAATTTCACCACTCACTAATTTTTTTTTTCTTAAACTTGAACCACCACGAAGGCTTGAGATCTAAACACCCATAGGTATGAACTCCTATACGTGCAAATTGCACACATTCTGGCCCCGCCTTAGACATCCGCCGGGTGGCACCTCCACGTTCGACAGTCTACCAACTCCGGACGATATATAATAACATGCCAATCTCTCATAAACATGAACACTAAAAATGAGCTTATATAAGAAAATGTTTTATGGAGCTCTCTTAGGAACATATGGGACTCAAAATATCGTTACTGGAAATAGACAGATGTACCATTTATTAATAATGACAAGAAATTTAACTTGGGAGTCCGTTTGCAAAGCCTAGGATGTCTTAGAGGGCGACCTCTGCCCTTCTGCAACAACGGAATCTTGTGCCGACCCCGCACGATTAAATATCTGCTAGGTGTCCTAGTTCCTACCTCATCCAGCCCTTAGCAGGCCAAAACTCTGCTGCACGACTAAGCCTTGACAAAATGGCGGACCACGCCGCCCGACCAAATAGGGTTCCTCAAATAGATCAGAAACTCAATTCACAGGTCTTTAGCTGTAAAAGTAAATCCTAATTAGGATCCCTTTAGGCCCAGTATAAAGTCCCCTTCCCCGAAAGCAAAGATAGCCAGCTCGCTTAGATCCCTAATACATGTTGGTATCGAGGATTCCGGTCAGCACCTGTGTCCAGCTCGTGAAAGTACAAAGAAAAATGGGATCTGAATGTATACATTCACATGGGATCTTCTACGTCAAACTGTTTGAATCGACCAATCAGGGTCTATTCAGAGCCAGAGAATTCCATAATCCATTCAAACTAGGGAGTTTTGAAGTAAAATTGCCGTTACAAAGATTCGCGATATTGCATTGAGGCTAGTTTGTTCTTGGCGATCCAAATGAGCTGATTATTTTTTATTTACTGCATCAAGCAAGGCCTTAACTATTTGTCATGCTGTCAAAATTTCATGTATGGCATTGTCGCTTAACAGCTGTTTAAGTAAAACCGAATTCCGATAGCGTCTATTAAGTGTGCGCATCTCTGAGCACCGAGAAAAAAATTAAACGGATTAAAATTTTAATTAGGCCAATTAAAACATTTAATTAACTATGTGATGACAGCTAACAAGATTAATTAGTTTAATGATGATTGTTTTCTAACAGACAGTCTCGGGACCCTTTCGCTACACCAAAGGGATTTGCTCCTCAGAGCTCTCCTCCATGATGCCGCCGCACGATCTGCCTGCTAGGCAGACCCGCTTGACTTCGGCCTCCTATCCTAACCGTGTCGAACTTCGTACGAGATTGTGGAACAATCTGCATGAGGAGGCCTTTCCCAGTACTACTAGCCTTAGGCAGTTCAAAAATCGGATTGACAAAGTTTTGTGAGCAGCCGCGGTGTCCTGGCATTTAGGCATCTGCTTGCGCGGCTGCTTCAGTGTGTGGAGAGATCGATCTCGGTCTAACCTTTTTTTGTCACTATGGTAGAATAATTCATAAATATTTCCCTTAACAGGTCGACAAAGACGTGATAACAGCAAATTGGGGTACTGCAGTAGCGGGGAAAGACGCTAGTCTAACTGTGGGCTACAATGGCCCAATCCTGCTCCAAGACTACACGTTGATCGACGAAATAGCCCATTTCACTAGGGAGCGTATCCCTGAAAGAGTTGTGCATGCTAAAGGAGCGGGGGCCTTCGGATACTTCGAGGTCACTCACGATATCAGTCAGTACTCTGCGGCGAAGGTTTTCTCTGAGATTGGAAAGAAAACGCCCATCGCAGTTAGGTAATAAAGATGAATAAATCAAATAACATTTTAAATAGCTATAGTCAAGTATCAAAGCAGAGTAGAGTAGCTCCCTAAACTTGCGTTTCATGTTCATAGAGCTCGATTGCCTGACCGAATGAAGAGAAGAAAAAATATAAAAACTGTCACATGGAAGATATATGAACAAAATATACTGCCACTATTGTCATTCAAAAAGGCCATCGTGGGGGTCGACACCTCTTACAATGAACAGGAATTTGAACATACCCATATGTGATTTGATTCATGTAGTCCTAGAATAGAGTAGCATAAAATCATCGTATGCCACTGTTAACACAACAACACACTACGTTAGCAATAGCATGCGATGAGGTATGCTACCGTCCATCATTTTGGCACATTTTTCAGAAATAAATTAATTTTTAAAAAAAATTTCATCTGGGTCTGTTTCAGCAGAAATTCAAGAAGTTATATTCCGTTCGCTATTTTCATGTATATCTTGTCGTTTGGTAGCATTTAGAATACAACAATGCAACAACAATGCTTCAAGTGCAAGACCCCGTTTTTCTTCCTTGATTTGCCATATACAGGGTGTTTCAATTTATTGTTGCATAACTTTAAGAATCGATAGAACTTTTAAAATTAATGCATAAAGTCTATATAAACATCGGTCGAAAAATGCGTGGCTTCCGAAATACAGGGTGTTTAAATTTACTTTCTAAAATAGTTTTTTTTTAATATTTCGAACAATATTTGATGTATAACAGTGAAAATTGGTATACAAGGGTTTTTTGGTACGACAAAACGAACCATGGGCATAGTTTTACTGAAGACGCTAGAGGGCGCTCTCTACTGTACCTGTAGTGTATTAAAATGACCTAAAATTTTTTCTTAGTGCAATTTTTTGCTTTTTGAATAAAAAAACTGATTCTTCGCACTTTTCAACGTAAAGAAGCTCTCCTGTGAGTTTTCGTTATAGTTAGCCGTTTTTGAGATATTTCGATTTTTAAGGATCGATGCATTTTTAATTATTTATGGAAAATAATATTTTTTTTTACATTTTCGATTTGGGCGTTACAAGTAACTAAGACGATCGTTTAGGTTGTGTTTTTAAACACAGCAATAATTCCTAACTCCAAATAAACACAAAAAAACAGAATATTAATTTGTTTAATTTTCCAATATTATTTTTAACAAATTAAATTAATTATTTACAAATAAAATGCTATTGGATAGTTAGGACAAACATACAAAATCTAAAGTAGTTGCACGAAATGTAAACCCAATTGTTCAATACACAATTCACATCTACGAATGATCGAACGTGGTATAGCATTATTCAAATAAGGCCTTATTTCATCACATGCATTCCTGATTCTGTCTATTAGCATATCTCTTGTGGTTACGGGAGTCTGTTACACTTTTTCTTTTAGAAATCCCCACACAAAGAAATCTAATGGATTTAGGTCAGGGGATCGTGGAGGCCAGACGACTGGTCCTCCACGGCCGATCCATCTTTCTGGATAATTTTCGTCCAGCCAGTTTCTAACTATTCTCGAATATAATGAGCTGGACAACCATCAAGCTGGAACCAGGCCAATCTTCTTAAATCTAACATAGCATCATCCCACATATTTGCATGTTCAGCCTTTAAAAATTCCAAGAAGGTCGCAGCATTTAACCTTGCAGGCAAAAGGTAGGGCCCAAATAGTCGATTACGGTAGATACCAATTCACTCGTTCACACTAAATTCATGTTGAAAATTTCTTTCCCGAACTGCATGCGGATTTTCATGCGACCAAATATGTTGATTATGAAAATTTACCACTCCACGTCTAGTGAAGCATGACTCATCGGTCCATAAAACGTTACTTAAACACTCCCTATTATTATCAGTTCTATCAAGAATCCACTGACAAAATGTGATTCTTCGTTCTCCGTCCTCTGGCTGTAGTCCTTGCACAGGCTGCAAATGGTAAGGACGTCTATGGTCATTTCTAAGAACACGGTGAACATGGCTTGCTGAAATTCCCAAGGCACCAAAAACTCTCCTAACACTTGTGGTCGGATCTCTATCAAACTCACGCAGAATCATACGGGTAAATCTGCGCTGACGAACATTTATGTTTTGATCCCATTTCTATCTGCTTCTGCTGCGTTTCCATTTACAAAGCCATACACAAAATGAATATCCGCTAACTCTTGATTAGAGAATAAAAATGGCATTTTTATAAAATTTACAAACAAAAAGGTAAAAGAAACTAAATTTCGTGCATTCACAATTGCAAAAAAACGTTTCAGGTTTGAACAGACAACAAAACTAACTGTCAACTAATTGACGTTTAACCTTCTTCTGCTTTCAATTTCAAAAATATTTGCAGGCACAGCCTACTTCTAGAAATTATCGAGATACTGACTTGTTGACGTTATTTTATTATAAATAAATAAAAATGCATCGAACCTTAAAAATCGAAATAACTCAAAAACGGCTAGCTATAACGAAAATTCACAAGAGAACTTTTTTATGTTGAAAAGTGCGGCTACAGTAAAACTATGCCCATGGTTCGTTTTGTCGTACCAAAAAAAACTTGTATACCAATTTTCACTGTTATACATCAAATATTGTTCGAAATATTTAAAAAAAAACTATTTTAGAAAGTAAATTTAAACACCCTGTATTTCGGAAGCCACGCATTTTTCGACCCATGTTTATATAGACTTTATGGATTAATTTTAAAGGTTCTATCGAATCTTAAAGTTATGCAACAATAAACTGAAACACCCTGTATTTAGGAATTTCATAAAAGTTGGCATAGATTCTATATATATAGACTCAAATTTTCCTTCAGGTTTTCTCAGGTAGCTGGAGAACTGGGCTATGCAGATACTGTCAGAGACATTAGAGGCTTTGCCATCAAATTCTACACCGATGAAGGAATATGGGATCTTGTCGGAAACAACCAACCAGTATTTTTCGTGAAGGACTGTGCCCTTTTTCCAAGTTTCATTCATGTAGTTAAAAGGTTAGTTTTAGATGATAGATAAAATATAATCATTATATAACAACCAAAACCTTACATCGATAAAAAATTCTACGATTTTCAGTCATTGCTCCATGGTATATCAAATCCCCCAAACCATCAAAACTGAAACCATCAGAAATGAAACTTAATTCCAAAACATAACAATTCAAACCGGCTCGCACCATCCTGTACAAAGACCAATGCATTTCCTGAAAAATCTAATATAGCTTGTCGATGAAATTTTTTTAGGAATCCAGCAACACATTTGAGACCAGATTATGACATGTTCTGGGACATGGTCACTCTAAGAGCCGAGACCACTCATACTACTATGATTTTCTTTGGCGATCGAGGAATCCCAGCTAGCTACAGGAAGATGCATGGATTTGGGACCAATACCTACGCGTTTGTCAACGCCGAAGGCAAATTCTTCTATTGCAAGTTTCACCATGTCTGTCAACAACGTAAGAAATGTTTCATTCAGGATGATATTCTAGTCAAAAGAAAACCTTTTATCCGAAAGAACTATAGTAGTGACTTGTGCTATAGTCGAGCACCAAAATGGAAGAGAGTATCTACTACCCTATTGTTTCGTAATGTCTGTTTGAATAGCTTTATATATGTAATGCGTTGAAACTTATCTTGTGGTTGTCATGATAACAAATATTTTTTTTACAAATATGGAGTATCAATAACAATTTTTATTTGAACAACTCTAAATGCAGAATCTTAACCTTAACCCGGAAAGTCAAATTTTTTATTTACCTATACAAAATAAATGATTCTGTATTGGAAAGGTATGAAACATTCAAAGATTTAGGAGTGTATTTTGACTGTCAGCTCACTAGTCAGTGAAATTATAAGTAATGCGTATCGCAGATATGACTTTAATATCAGAAATTGTAAGACACTCAATATCACAACGTTTATTTTCAGTGCAAATTGGAATACACAGCAATTATTGGAAGCCCTATCTATGAACTCTATAGTACAAAACTAATATTGAAAAAATGCAAAAGAAATTTCTGAAATATCTATGCTATATGAGTGATGGTGTCTATTCTCCAAGAGGACATGATTACTCATTGTTATTGAATAGATTTGGCGTCCCTTCTTTGGAGAAGCACAGACAGCAGACGTCAATAAACTCCATGTGCAATAATGCGAATGAGATTGGGAGTTTTTGTGGTATCTTCTGTTGTGAATGTCAGAGATTACGAAGTGCGATACGCACAATTCTTTGACTTTTTTTACCCATTTCTCTAGACGTTTTCATTTGTGATACACATATTTATGTGTGAACATTACCTGATATAGCTACAGTATATTCAGATAAGAGATAGACCGGATGTAAACAAAAGGTTCGGGTGATTTTCACGCTAACGCCGCCGTCTCGACGTAAAACAGGAGCCCTCATTGGTCAATTCGCAATTAAGCCTATGCCGAGCGGCAGAGCAGTCGTATCAAGGCAGAGTCACATTCAGGTTCAGACGTGTTACGTATGTCGTGTGCATCATTGCAATTTGATATTTCTTTGGACGTTTTCGTTTGTTATCTTATTAAGTTGTTGAGTTTGTCGTTGTTATTGTTATACCTTGTTATTGATTGTTATTGTTATCAACTGCTTGCGCAAAATGCCCAGTAGTACAGATACTGCCGATGAAGTTGTAAACTCCTGTAGTCCACCTAGGAAACGCTCTAAAAAAAGACACCTGAGTGCAGAAATGAAAGAGGTCATTTTGAATATATATAAGATCGAGCGCGAGGAGAACGAGGCATCAACCATCAAAGAAATTGTTGTGAAGGTTTCTCACAAAGTTGGGGTGTGTCGCGCATCAGTGTTTAATGTGTTAAGACAATACAAAAAAATCACACCTTTTCTGAGCCAATGACCAGTAAACATCGCAAAAGTATTGTTAAATCATTGGATGAAGCTGATAAGCATGCGATTAGGAGGAAAGTGCATGAATTCTTCTTTAGGAATGAAATACCTAC